TTTATAAAGTGAAATCATTTGAGACATGCGGCGATCCTCAATTCGCATTGCGTGTCACGTTTTTTTAATCACTTTGGTTCCGCGCGTGACGTCACGTTTCAAGTGAGCGTTGTAGGTTGTTTGAAATTCCCGCGCGAGGTCAGTAGGGTCACTTCATGACCCTACTGACCAATCAGGATTTTCGCGCCACGCCACCGACGCCGGATTTTCTTCCACGCCACCGAGGCCGGATTTTCTGCGACACGGGCTCATTAAAACGCTGTCGCGTTAAAAAAAAAAAAAAAAAAAAAAAAAAAAAAAGAGCCGATGCATTAAAGACCGACACATAATTTACTTCTTTCGCGTTCTGTTTTTTTTTTTTTTTCACATTCTTTTTTTCACATTTTTTTGGTTTGTTTCATGTTATTTCCAGATTTCACGCACACAATTCCTCGTAGTCCTCTTACTTATCTTTAATTCCCTTTAATTCACTTTGATTCCTCTTAATTCACTTTGATTCCTCTTAATTCACTTTGGTTCCTCTTAACTGGCTTTATAGTCCTTCTTAATTCCCACTGATTACTCTTGTTTCTTTTTAATTCCTCTTAATTCACTTTACTTCCTCTTAATTTACTTTAATTCCTCTTAATTCGCTTTGTTATCTTTCTTAATTTCATTGCCTCCAAATCGCCTGAGTGGTCACGCAAAAGTTTTGGTACCCTTCGTGTCGCCGACGTGTTTTCGCTCAAGGACTTTGAAGATCGACTGTACGATTAGACATATAAGGCCTTCGCCTTATAAAAGGTATAAGGTCACGAACGAATTGTCATGCTGCAGTATCATGGTAAGTAGACGCCAGCTGACGTACGTTCTCAGCCTAACCGCTCATTCACACTTGAAGCGGATCCGCGTTCGCAAAGCGGTGGGGAACGCGGTTGTTTAAAGATCCAGTGCAATTGCACGCGCACCCGATGACATCAAGTGCGCGTGCAATTGTACTGAATCTTCATACAACCGCGTTCCCCACCGCTTTGCGAACGCGGATCCGCTTCCAGTGTGAATGAGCGGTAACTCCTCGAAGGGAGAAGGTTATGCGGAGCGTAAGATCGTCTGCTTCTGTTGCAGGGGATTGTGGTGGCGTCCAAACGCCGAGCTCTGATTGGCTCTGGTTGAAGGATAGTGGGTAGACCTCAAGGCAGCTTGCTTTGAACATGCCTTGGGGGGGGGTAGACCTCAAAGCAAGCTGCCTTGAGGTCTACCCACTATCTTTCCAATCGAGCCTCACGGAGCTCGGTGTTCTGACGTCACGAAAAAGAACAAGAAGGACTTGCTCTCCGTATAGCCCCCGCGAGCCACTATAGAGCATCGAGAAGAGACACGTGAAAAAAGTTCCACCGACAGAAAACTAATCGCAAAAGAACTCGGGGAAACTGGCGCCACCTGATGACGTTTTACGAAAAAAAAATATTTAATCAGGTTTCATCGGCGTCATTAATCGTGCACTCGAATAAAGTGTTTTAGTACAATAAGTTGGATCCTAATGCTTATTCAATATGGACGACAGAATTGGTCGTTTTCTAGATTTCGTGAGAAAGCGAGAACGCATGTGCCCTCCGTTCACCTCAATGTAGCCGAAATTGGCTTGGGAAACGAGTCTCGAAACTGACGTGTCATGGAGAAACATTATAAAACGCGATGCTCATCAAAAAGCTTCCAAAGCGACGCATATTTTAGTCTGCTCCGATTCAAGTGTATTTAATATACGTAAGACGTCTTCGGGTGGCGCTAGTTTCCCCGAATGCTCGTTTGCTCTTGAAGTTGGCTTCTCCTAAAAACACAATGTGGGAAAATATTTTTCGGTGAAAATAATGAAGGGCTAAGCTCCAGTCTGCTCTGTAAGTTGGCTTCTCATAAAAACAACTCTAGGAAAATTTTGTTTGGTTAAAATAATTTAAGGCTAAGCTCCAGTCTGCTCTGGAAGTTGGTTTCTAAAAACCACCGCACGATCTTTTTTTTTTTTTTTTTGCGGTGTAAATTATTTAGTGCTAAGCTCAAGTATGTTATGAATGTTTGCTTCTCCTAGAAACAACCGTGGGAAAACATTTTTCGGTGAAAATAATTTAGGGCTAACCTCCAGCCTTCTCTGGAAGTTGGCTTCTGCCAAATAACTGTGGGAAATTTTTTTTCTTGTGAACTATTTCTGGGCTAAGCTTCAGTCTGCTCTGGACATTGGCTTCTCCTGTAAATACTGCGGGGAAATTTCCGCGAAAATTATTTAGGGCTAGGTTAAATGCTCTGGCGACCATGGGTTTTCGTGTGGAACAGTTGACATATGGGTCATAGACATAAACATCTCAATAAAACTAAAACTGACAAACGATACAACGCTTACCAAAGCAACTTCATTCGGATGCAAAATTACGCCGATCAAAGCGGATTTAATATAGCCCTTTCGTGAGACGCATTCAGGGGGCGCTAATACCCCCGTTTTCTCTGGAAGTTAGCTTCTCCTTGAGACAGACAGGTTTTGGAAAAGTTTTGCTGACCGAATAACCACGAGCAATCGCGAAACTCATGATGCAGCGCTGCGTGAAATGTTCTGGAGATTGACCTACGCGTTAGCGCGTTATTTGGCCTCTGCGCACAAGTCCGCCCTCGTGCTTGCCATGACCCCGGAATTGTTCGATACACTAAACAAGCTAGATGTATGGCCAGAGGGCTGGATTCTTCGTGAGTTTTTTTTTTTTTTTTTTTGGTAGGCTAGACGAAACTGGTACCATTACACATCCTTATCAAATTATCATGCTCAACTTTTTTTTTTTTTTTTTTATCGGAACACGCGCGGGTTCTTTGCAAAGTCTGAAGAATATATGATCAATGTTATGCAGAGTGAGCCCGAAATCATGTTTAACTGAAACGTGACTGAGCGATAGTCTTGTTAATAGTGAATATTTTCCGGAAACCTACAATGTACTTCCATAGGCGTGATAGAAACTCCGTGAAGACCGGACAAAAGTCAGGAGGCGGAGTATTAGTTGCGGTTAGTTCCATCAACGCACATGGAGGGCACGACCTTGAACTATATGATGAAGGTGCTTGGGCAGAGCTGAAGAAAAAGTATGGTTCTTGTTTGCTGATTGGAAATTATTACTTTCTTCCTATGTGCGATCATGCAGCTTTCGTAAACCATTTCAATAAGATGCAAGGCAAAATTGACTATTCTAAGTTTAGGATGCAGACATTGGGTGGTTTTAATATTTCGCGTATAGACTGGGCTTCCGGTTTAATTACCGGCGTTAATTAAAAAAAACAAGAAAGAAAGGCCTCGTTTTTACTTGACTTTGACAACTTCAACCGCCTTCATCAGTTAAATCATTTTAAAAAGAAAGCACGAAACGTACAGTATCTTAACCATTTTGTTCTTAGCTCGAGACTGAGGCAGGAAAAGAGGAAAGTTTCGAAGTAGAAGAAAAATGAACAGTCGAAGACACGTCTCTAACACAGTGTCCTCGACTGTTCATTTTTCTTCTACTTTGAAACTTTCCTCTTTTTCTGCCTCAGTCTCGGGCTAAGAACATAATGGTTAACATCCACCAGCTCGCCTGCGCAATCACTACGTTATCAGTACAATATCTTCTCTTTTTTTTTTTTTTTGTCAAGCTTATTTGCGTTCTGTGTCACTCCGGCTTCTCAGCCCTTGGTGAGGATTGACGAGTTTCACCCGCCATTTACTGTCTCTTGTCGATTACCTCCAAATAATACTACAAAAACAGTCGTCTTCAGTCTTCAATTTCAGCAAAGGTGACTATCTACGTTTGTACAGGTATCTTGAAAGTTGTGACTGGACAAATGTATTCTACGAATCTTGTACCGCAGTCAGCCGTCACTACAAATAAATGCTCGCATTTATTTGCAGTGAATTGGCTTTCGTCCAAGCATTCAGCTTATCAAAGGTTTACTTGCACTTTCTAAAAATAATTAGAGTGATTCCCTGAAAGAAAAAAAAATCGCTCGTGCCCTATACGTTTTCTGTACAGACCCCTTTCGAAATACTGCCCTCTGTTGGCAGATGTGCGATCCCTGCACAATGGTGGACTAAATCCGCAACGTCACGGTACGCTTTATGCGTTTGCCATGGTTAGATTAGGAGGAAAAGACACTCACAGAAAAAGGTGATGAGCGCAGTGGCGTTGCACTTTAGAAGCTGTTTGATAGACTCGTCGACTCCTAGCGTTTACAGAGCTCTGGCGTTCGCTATCTTATGGAATGACTTGCGCGTTCCACGACGTCAGTTGTTCCGCCATTGTGCAGTGGTTCCGACCTTCTAATAACCGACACGTGACTTTCGAAGGGGGTCTTTTGCCCTTTAATTGGCGTTCCCCTCCTTGATTTTGGAACACTTGGGCCTCTAAACTTGTCAAACTCGAGTTGGGGCCGAAGTTGACGGAGCACACCGATTGGCCTATCACGACAATGACTTTGCGCTTTTTTCGCCGACGTCCAATTGGCGTGCTCCGCGAAATTTCTGCTCCAACTTTGTGTTTGAAGAGTTTAGGGCCCTTGATTAGTAGTCGCCGTATTAGTTTAGCCGATGATATCACTCGCACAAAAAACATTACAAACGCCGTGACATCGCGCTTTTGGTATATTGGCCCCATGTAACAGTAAAAAGGCACAAAATGAACAGAAAGATGAAAACAGACATGTAATGGCATGATGCCATCAACTCGCATCCTCGCAAGCACTTTGCATGGTCATGCATTTCTTTGGCTTGCGAAATAAATGGTCACAGAACGAATGACAAACCAAAACGCTGTGTCATATCTATAGTTGGCCATCGTCGAGTAAAGCCGATGCTTCGACCATTCGTCTCTTCCACTTTCCATCTCCCCCCTCACCCTCCCCGGCGTATCAGCTCGAATCGGCCTGCGTGGCCTCCCTTTTACAGTGCCACAAAGCGCCCAGAGCCACAAACCAGTTCACACCCGCGTTCACATCGCTGTGTCGGACCCGCACGCGGCATGCTTCCTCTACAGCCCTTCTACGCGCCAGTCTACACCGACGTTCGTTGCTTGCAAGTTGGTTACGGCGGCAGGAATTACAGGTGCCGACTCCTGCCGAAGCATCTTGACGCTGACCGCGAAAGAAGACGAGTCCTCCTTGTCTTCAACAATTTCCCGGAGCCCGAGTGCAAGCACGACGAAATGACGGTAACCCTCAAGATCAACGACGCCAAGTTCTTCGGCGTGCCTCTGAAGATGCTCGACATCACGGGGCACGTCTCTGCCGCAGTGAACAACATCCGCATCGAGGACTTCAGCGTACCCGACGGGTTATACATCACGGTTCACGTCGTCGACAAGACACCAGAGCACGAATTGGTTCGGTGGGGTGAGGACGTTCGTCTGAAGGGAATGGACAACGTGGCCGCTGCACAGGAGTGGGTGACGGAGGCGGTTGGGGATGAAAACACTGTCGTTGACTTCATTACGCTGTCCCTTACCTGTCCTTTGTCGAAGACTAGGCTTAAGGTGCCGTGCCGCGGTGCCAGATGTTCCCACGCCCAGACCTTTGACGCGATGGCCTACCTCGAGTTAAACGAAAGCACCCTCCGGCCGTTGTGGCGCTGTCCAGTGTGCAATCGAAGCATCAAGGTAGAAGAGCTGAGGATCGACCTGCTTGTACTCGAGATTCTGGGTCGCCTTGGCTCTTTCTGTGGCGCCGTAGAAATATTCCCGGATGGCAGGTGGACACCTGTTGTGAAACCTATCGACGTCATCCTGATCGACGATAGCCCCGTGAAACCGCCCGACGTCGACCGAAATCGGAACATTTCAGTGATTAACCTGGCATCGGACACTTCTTCGAATGAAGATGACTGACTGAGTGGTGTGGTAGATCCATCGTTGGTTTTATGTTCCTAAGAACCTCCGAAACTTAACAATTTTAAAGAATGATTTTCTGGCCTTTCTTTTTATCTCAGGAGGCGCTGAACGACATCGGTCAGTGATACCATCGTTTATGTATTCCTTGGACATTTTTAGAACTTGTATTTTTAATTTTGAGTGTTTTAGGTATTATTTACATCCGTGACACGAAACCACTTTTGTTATAGTATGGTGCCTGAAACGCGTGTTTACCGCGCCCAAAAAAGTGGTCCCCCGATTTCGCGTGATGACGTCATAAAATTGTCATGCTGTCGCCGGCCGCGATCCTAGCGGCGTCCCAACAGCTGTGGTAAATGTGGCAGACGCCTGTTCTGATGCATGTGGCTCGGCACTCCACGGAAAGTTCGACAGTCAGGAGTTGTGTGAGTATCGCGATGTCCGCGACACTCACATTGGCGCGTGCTTTTCACGAGCGATTCTACGACCGACCGCCAGGTTCCCGACAGCATTAAACTCCGGCTTCGTGACGTCATGTGTTGCCAGTTGGGCCACTTTTGATGCTTGGGCGGAATAGAGCGCTAAACACAGCAGTCGCAGACACATTCCAGGGACCGTAGTTCTAGTCCCTACAGGGAGTTTTCGTAGACCACGCTTCCCCCTTTGCTAAGCCCTCCGCAACGAGCAAGCCGCTACTGCGCCTGCGCGCCAATGGACTTCACTGTAGAGTTCCGTGTATCGTATAGCGGGTTGCGGAGTGTTGCGGAACGGCAAAATCTATCTACAAAATCGCCCTACTGACAAAATAAAACCGCCATGGGAAGTTTATTATTAGTATTAGTATTATTGCGAGCTTTTCTTACCTTCGATAACACTTTGCCATATTGTGTGCTGCTGAGCGTAAAACGCGCATCCAAAACACGGTGGAAGTCAACGAGGGCACGATGGAATGACGTGTATCCGACAAAGACTCCCCTGCCGGTCTCATTCTGCGAGTGATTATACAGTAACGCTGGCTGAGGACGGTGCATTCCGTGGCGACTGTTTTCGCAGCCCACATCAATTAGTGTCTGACGTCTCCGGTTAACTTCCGTCCTTCCGCTAGTACCGTAGCGGTTTTGAACAAAATGAGGCGCTGCCATAAATCGTCCAAGATTACGACGGGATCCAAAGACAGAAGAACCCTCGGTCATACCATATCTATACATTGAGTGTAATAAGCGTGCCGCGTGCTTGAGATTTACGCGGTAAAGTGCCGAGGAACAAGATCAGCGCCAAGTGGTACGTCTACGCATGATCAGTGCCACCGCAGCCGCGTAACGGACGTATGTTTCTATAGAAAAATACACACCGGCAAACATAAAATTTACACGAATAAAAACGCAGGATATCGGTGCGTTCATTGTGCGGGTTTGATTTACTTGGTCACATCAAACGCACAAAGGCGACGAAGACAACTGTCCGAGAGTCAGAGAAAAGAAGGTCGAGAGTGCATTCGTCCGTTTTCGATCTGTTCGAGTTTGCCGAGTAGCGTTCTGCATGGGACAATTCAAAACTTGAGACCAAATTCGAAAATGTCGAGCACAATGTGGAAGGATTACTACATAACAGTTAACCGTCACGCCAAGAAATATGGGGCAAATTATAAAGTCTCCACCGAGTAAAAAAAATAATACTCTCTAGAAAGAGACGAAATTGTATCCGATAAAGACACCAAAGGCTCGTAGCTTGACCCAGGAGAACGATGACATTATCATACAGCTATAGTGTTTCTCCAGAACATAGAAATATGTTGCATAAGACAGTTTCCCCATGTTGAACCTGTAAGTCATTTCCGAACTCTGAAGGACATTCGTAGAAAAGACAAATACTCCCGACGCCGTGCGTTCTCCTCTCTTTTCTATGCGCAACGTAGTTGAAAGGAAAGACTTGGGCATCAGTTACAGAGTCGGATATCCAGAATTCAGTGCCCATCGCAATAACTAGGTTCAGTCATAGCAACAAGTTCCGCAAACTCATCAACTTTTTTTTTTTTTTTATGCTTTGACAGTTTATTAACAATATTTCTAGTTCCAGCACCGGCTTGGTAATTTTGTATGTTACTTTTGTCGACTCATTCCGGGTGTACACATCACCACTGATCCTTCACTTATCGTACCGCAGAGATACCTTGTGATCGCGCTTACGAGAGCATTTTACGCTATTCAGAGGTTGCTTGTTTTTTTGTCCCCCCCCCCCCCCCCCCCCCCCCCCCCCCATAGCTTGCGGTCGTGTCTGAGGATATCAAGTTTTTTACTAACGTCGAATAAACGCAGAATAACGTGTCGAGGTCTGCTACCCGTTCCGCTCCCAAGTCTGTGAATGCGTTTAGGACATTCCCAGTGACTGTGACACCTAACTTTTCTTCAAATACATTTTTAAGCACCAATTCTTTGAGCGAAGCCGTAGTATCGTAATTAATCTCATTTATGCCATGTACAATTATGTTTTTTCTCTTCGTTAGTTTTCAAGGTCATCAACCTTTTCTCGGTTAAGTACGTTACTTTGTCAGAAAGTAGTTTCAAATTCTGCTCGCATCGGTCCACCCTCTGGGAGCACTCTGATCATTCTTTCACCATTGTCTCAATTGCCGCTAAGCGTTCGTTACTGCCTTTCATGCGCATGTCGAGTTTCATCTGCATGGACTTTATGTCGGCAGGGAGAGATTTCTGGTTAGCTAAGATTGCGGCAAGTTTTTTTCCCTCCACCCCAGCTCTCCTGAGTCGAGTTCCACGCCTCCGATTAGAACCACCATCAACGAACAAAGGGAATCAAAGCAACCCGTAACATTGCCACACGGCGTTCCTGGTAAGGGCAGCACAACAATACACGAATAATTGCTCTTGAGTGTTGAAACACAGCAAGGCCTACCGACCTGTACCAAGAACAGAAGCGGGTTTGATGGGCGTCCGCACCATAGCTGCGCTGCCCTGCCCACTGACGAAACTCAGGCGCAGGGAACCGGGGTCCTGAAACACGAGGTATCGATGATGGTAGATCCGTTTATTTTGTTCCTTGGTTCGCTCAACACTTAAACTCAGCTCCGTAGCGTAGAACTCTTTGTCTTCTAATCAAAGCAACGAAATTGTACGAAATTAGAAGCGCCTGGTGCGAACAATTTATAATAGACACTTTCATCGTCGTTGTTAGTATAATTACGAATCGCTTGTGAACCACTTGGGCTTAGAAGAGCTCTCTAAACGACGTACCATTTATGATGTGATCTGTTTACATAATGTAATTTCTGGTCAAATCGATAGCAGATCGCTTTTGTCATCTGTGAACTTTCACATACCGATGAGAAGTAGTAGAGTGATCTTACCATTTTATCCGAATACCCCATATCATGCCCCACCCATGTCTAGAATCACGCACTTGTGTAATGAACTTTATGATTCCGATTTGGACATATATCCACACAATGTTTTTTTATAAGTGCTGAAAAGATTGTAGTTTCTTATATATATTTTGTTCGTTTTTAGTGTAGGGTTTTATTTCCCGTTTATCATGCCATATACTCGTTGTAGAGACCTCTGATGTTCCTGTATTTTGTTGGCTCAGTTGGCTGTGTTATTGTGAAGCTCATTTTTGTTCATAGTGTACCAATAAGAAGGCTTTTATGACTGTTTTTGTACACTACCAGAAAATAAAGTATTTTATTAATATTATATTACTACATATCGATATACTCATCTCCTGCAACATTACCAGCGGAGATACATGCCTAAAAGACGCTACATATTTTGAACATTCAATTTTTCTGTACTGCAGTTTGGGCTCATTGTTAAAATGAGCTGTCCTATGACAATGATTTAACCCTTGTACAATGAGAGAGAAACCAACGTTTGCAGTTGTGTAACATTTATAGAGGTCAAATAAAAAAAAATAAGACTACGTTCTACGGCAGTTTACCGAAGGTAGTCGTAAGGTTTGAGAGGCCGTGAGCACCGGACCACTCGAACATGGAGCCCGCAAAAGAAAGGAAGAACAAGACAGCGCCACAAACACAGAGTTGGCGCTAAATCAGTTGAATCACGTGACACGAACTTAGTCGAAGCTGACTCAAAATGTATTTCCTGTGACGTGAGGAACACACCGAAAAGGGTACACATCACGAAGCTTGAAAGAAAGCTCACCAGAAAATCCAACCGTGCTGCAAATAAAATAAAAAATAAAAAAAGAAGACGGCAAGTTTTTTTGTTTGTTTTTTACAAACGTTGGCATGAAACGAGAGCGAGTAATTTGCAGAGTGGTGCTGCGGTGTTGTGAGGTGTCGGCAACTTCTTCGCAAACCAATTTCCGAAAACTTTGCCTATTAAAGGGGTCTTGAAAGGATATCGGGTTGAAATGTTTATGACTTTGCAGAGGCGTACTGGTCCTTGTCTTGCTCAAGTATGCTCGCACAGACCGCCACTGATTCAGAAGTTTCTTTGTCGCTGTAAAATGGGGAGGATAAAAGGGAACTAGGTATTTCTAAGTCTTGCCTTCGTAAAGCTTGATGACGTAAGTGTGGGATCGAAACCACCCACCTGACGACAGCCGAGGCCGGCTCATGGATTGGACGTGAGAACCTCGTGAGCACTCGACTTCGGCTCGTAACAATCAATGCCTCGGCGGACACTCGGGTAGTGGCTCGGGTCCAGCCACTGCGGTGATGAGAAGAGCCGAAGTCTAACAATGCCTGGAGCTCAGCACGCGTTTTTTACTTTGCCAAGCCCAGCGCCTGGCGGTATACAGCCACTAAATGAGCCGCGTTTAGAGAATGGACCTTTTCCGAGAAGCGTTCTGCGCACGCGCGAGCGCCCGATGCCAGGCGGAGGAAGTCGGAACGAAAAATCGAGGAAATTCGGAAGGGGGCTGTATATCAGCGAGTAGAACACGTAACTGCAGCATGTATATAATTGTGTTACACAAAAAAAAGAACGTCGACGGAAAGGAAAACACGACGTTTAGGTGAACGCCACGGATGCCCCTCTTTCAAGTCGCGTTGGGCAGGCGCCGCTGCTCAGAGAGCGAAGAAACTGGTAGCGTAACTCCCATTATCGATTGGTAGCGCAGGTAGGTCACTTCCTCCATTTTTAGTTCGTGCAGCCACCGCCTGGTGCCGTCGGTATGTGGAAAAGGTCCATTGGCACTCCGTTCCCCGACATTTTTGCGGGCGCCGCCATTTTGGAGCTTGTGCAGAGCAGACGCAACTGCAGAGTGTCATAATTCAAAAGTGCAACTTCCTCAGCACTAGATTCGGTGTTGGGAAGCTCGTGTAATCGCTTTGCTCCGTCGCGAAATGTTTAAACACTTTTGGATGGTCGAAAAGCGTTTCCTGTGATTTCACATAATGCTTCAGATAACTGGCAACCATGATTTCAAGACGCAAAAAGGCCAAAAGTCGTTACTCTAAAGCAGAGGCGTAGACTACGGGGGGGGAAGGGGCATCGGGGCTCGTGCCCCCCCCCCCCCCCCCCCCCCGTGCCATGATTCTTACCGAGACGCTGTTTACGTGCCATGTAACGAGCTTCTAGTTGTGGCATGTAAACAAAATAACGCACACAGCGACGGACACATGGCGTTATATACATACGCTGTAAAATGTACCCCCTAAAATAAACTACTAATAATTGCCGGTGTAAACAAAATTCCGCGGAAAGGCACCCCCCCCCCCCGGGAAAATGGAAACTCTACGCCGGTGCTCTAAAGCCTAGCTTATTTAGTGGCACTAGTTGGCGGCATAGGATAGGCATCAGGCCATAGTGGCCGCTTGTTCTGGCTCCGAGTTGAGAGGGTGAACGATGCAGCTCATATTTCTCGAATTTTTTCGGCGACTGCCACTGCCTCGAAAGAAAAACTAAGGGAAGTTTATTCGGTTATCAATGTTAGGGAGTGATTCTAAGCGAAAGTAGAAAAATTCTTTCATGACTCCTTGATGAAAAAAAAAAGTCTGGCATGACAAACGGTACCAGGAACAATTCTTTATTGGCAAGGTGAAAAAAAAAAAAAAAAAAAAAAACTACACTGATTACTTTTTTAAGTAGACCCCGGAGGAAAAAAAAAATCATATCAAGCACAAAGCCAAAATACTGAAAGAACAAGGTGTGCGTCCTGCCTAACGTGTAAAGTAGTGAGTGTTTTCGTACCAAGGAACGAAATATCAAGGTCCTGAAAATTAAGGTGATTAGATCGCCCGAAATAAACAATAATTAGATCCCCTGAAATAGGAAATGACTAGACCGACTGAAAACAGGAAAATGATTAGATCACCGGAAATAAAAAAAAAATGTATTAAACCACCTGTAATAGAAAGTGATTATATCAGCCGAAATAAACTGGTATGATCCTGGAATAACAGTGATTAAAAAAATCTTCAATTGAAAGTCATTAAAAACCTCAAATGCATAGTTATTAGAAATCCTAAAATTGAAAGAAGTGGACGTCTACGTTTAGACTAACGTGCTGAAAGAGAAACGAAGTCTGTATCCTGCACAACGTGTAAGCTAGTGAGTGTTTGCGTACTACCTAGCCGACGATCCCCCGCAGCGCGAAATCCTCTTCAGCTAAGGATCGTATCCCCTAAAATCGACTACTCCGCAGTCTCCAACATTTAAAATTCTGACATTTAGAGACTGAGACGTGTTGGCCGCGCCGAAAAAAAAAAAAAAATCATCGAGCTCATTCCGATTTCGTCACGGACGCGAACCTCTCGAAACCCGAACCGAAAGCGCGCGCGCAAGCTAAGCCTATGATCCACCCGAGGGATTCGCATCCACCTAAAAGCTGCCAACACCCTGTGCGCAGACTGTACTCACTTTTGACAACGCTTTACTAAAAAAAAGAAAAAAAAAGCCTCCGTGCCTACAAAACGACTCGCCTGAGAGGACCGGGATGCTTATACGCACGCCGTCCCCATGTTCGCCTTGCCAAAGCAGCGCGAGTGACGTCATGTCACGTGACATTTCACAAACCAATAAAACAACTAGTTTTAATTTAACCGGAAGTGAGGTCACGTCACATGACATTTTGCAAAGCAATGAAATGGCTGGTTTCGATTTGAAGCGGAAGTGACGCAATGTCACGCGACATAACGGAATTTATTACCGGAAGTGACGTCATGTCACGTGACAAGGGGGCGTGGCCAGGTGCTGTACGGGATATGGTTTGCTTAGGCCTCCCGCTCTATCGGCTTGGCGAGAAAGCGCGGAGTTCCCGCTCCAACGATCTCAGAGTGCGTCGTAAACCGGCGTGCGGTCGTGCATGACTACTGCGTGGTGCACGTTGAAGACCCCAGGCTAGTGGTTGTACCGCAGTGGCTAAATTGCTCATCTACAGCTGGGACACCAGACGACCACTGAGGCAGACTCACTTCCGGCTGTATAAACATACACACAACAATTTGCTTTTTTTATATAATGCTGAATCAGAGTGGTAATATGATTACTTTAACGCTACTGTAATTCAGCCGCTGAACCATAGGGATAATTTTGCATTGTTTACATTGGGGGCAAGGTCCGCGTCGTTCCGATGCCGGTGGTCACCGTACTTGCTTAGGCGCGATGAAAGGCATCTACAGGTCCTTCTGTGTGAGCGAATTTGCTGACCGTCCTATGAACACTCGTGGAATCAGGCAATATTCTACACTATAGACCAGGGGCGGCCAAGCTGCGGCTCGCGAACCGCATGCGGCTCTTCGCGTGTTAAAGTGCGGCTCGCGGCTTACTTGGCTTACTCCCCTGCCCCCCCTCCCCCGCCTCCCTTCCGGTCACCACGAACACTTCCCCAAAAAAAGAGATGGAACGGGTTTTAAATTGAAAGACAGGTTGCGGTTTGGTAGTCTTGTGCTACCGCTACCTTACGTACACTTCGACTGCTTTTGTCTCAGATAGATTGAAAGTAGTTCGAATTCCGTTTATTGTTCTGGACAGAAGCTTGCACCCCCCCTTGCGGCTCTTGGAAGCTTCGTGCTGTTGTTTGCGGCACCTAAGCCGGGTCAGCCTGGCCACCCCTGCTATAGACCATACCACTCACCTCTGACCATGGGTCCTAGATTATCATCCTGCTAGATTCTATTGATCTTCAATTCAAGCTTACCACGACGAGCGATGTAAACCCCGCAAAGGTACGCATTCGAAGTGATCGCAATATAATGATTATACATGAAAACTTACGTCTGCTCTTCGCAAAATCATGTTATGCGTCTGCCAGGTGCGCCGAACCATTGCGTGCGTTGAATGCAGAAAACACTGAACAGAGTACACAAGCCACGCGAGGACCTTGGATTAAAATTACAGGAAGATCCATTGGTGGACTCTTAAAGAATGCGTTAAGCCTCACAGTGGCCAGCCTTGTCTGCATAGTTCAAGGTCTTGTGGCGGATTACGGAACGCTATCCGGGTGCTTAGCGGGCTGCGGAAACGGTCTACTACAATTCCGGCGTTTCGCAAGGGTCATGATAACGTATTCCCTAAGAATACACCAGTGGATCTTAATGTAGTTTGTTTCACCAGGCGATCAGAAATACGCACCCCAGCACTCAGAACCGAAAGACACTGCCGGGTAAAAATTCAAAAGGGCGGCGGCGCCCCCCTTTTGATGGCGCCCTGGGCGCTCGCCCAGGTCGCCCACCTCTGCCACAAGCACGAGGTTCCACAAAGCGAGCACGGAAATGCACGTGTTTATTTTCGTGATAAAAAAAAAACTATAATTTGTTTTTCTTTTTTTTTTTTTTTTTGGGGGGGGGGGGGGGGGGGGAGACCTAGTACTTTACAAAGTGGACGGTTGATGCACCAAGGCAAACCGTATTTGAAGATGCAAGGAAATGTGAACTATTCAGGTCACAACGGAGATTTCTTGTCCGTATTTATTGAAACCGGCAAAGAGGACACAATGAAAAGATGATCGTACGAGATATTTACACAAAATGGTGGTGCTTGAACAAAAGGAAAATAAAAAGAAAATGAGAGTTCTTAATTTATTGGGATGTGAGCAGAAATAAAATTACCAATAAAACAAGACTAAAAAAAAAAAAAAAGGAAACCTCCCTCCTTTTTTTTTTAAGAAGCTTATACCAAGTCCTGAGAACATAGCAAATATTGTGTAAAAATAAACATGCTATTCTAATTAAAAGATGCCTTCACAGTGCTCAGACACTGAACACATGAAATCTTCAAGAATTTCAACCTTCAGCATAATGTGCAAACACCCATGCTACAGAACAGCAAAACCACAAAAAACACACACACACAAAAAAAAAAAATAAGCGGCTCATCCTGAGTCAGTGACCTTACAACAGATTTTTCCGAAAGCCAATGCAGTGACCACATCTTTTACAGACCCAGCACCATGTGCGTTCACCATTGAATGCCGTCAATACTGAAAGTAGGTAGCACCAAGCACGCTCTCCGCTAAAACATGCCCACGGACACATGCATCAACAAGGCTGCTACCGATCATTCGCCACTTTCACTATCAAACATCAGCCCTGCACATCTCCAAGTTAGGTGTACTCTATACAATGTGAAAGTGTACACTGCACATTTTTGCAAAAAACAAACAATCAGCCATGGACATCTTCATTAATTATTTCAACATAAAACATATTCATTACCACAGACTTCCAGCAACATGTTTGTGCAGTCACAGACAAAAAAAAACACAAAAAAACTGTTTTCTGTTGTTCACAGGTGGAATGTCGCCATGTTGAAGAGGCACGTGTCGTGTATAAAGGTTTTCCTTAAAACCCCCAGGTGGTACCAACAAGAGAGACGAACGGATTGACACGTTCTTGTGTCTCTGATAATACCCCACTCTGAAACTGTTTTACTAATTCATGTTGTGGCACTGCAAATGAATTTTCATAGTGTCCTCAATTTTCAGCCTTTCTTTGAACTGTACACCTTCAAAAGTGAAACACCCGATGGCGCATATCTTGAGTCGTCGGATATCTTCAGCAGTTTTTAGAACTCCAGAGTGCCAGCATCAGACACATCCAATGCCATGAGTGAGAAATCGTTTGCTTTGGATGTCTTCAGAACATTGTCTAAAACATTAAAAATATTCAGAATCATGCGTCTCTAGTTATGAGCAACCTTCAGTGCCAAAGAATAAAACATACCTGGCGCCCAACTACAGCTTGGACACGAGATACCAGATATCTCCAGTCATATCATAGAATACCGCACATCTGCCCATTCCAGACTAAGTGCCCATTCCCAAATTTGTAAGATCTGAGAAAGTATGCACAGTACATTTATATGTAAAACTGACGCCCAAACAAGCGCCCATCCCCCAATGTTTTGCGATTATAACCAAATTTTGAGTGGGCACTTGCCCAGCATTTCAAGGTAGGTCATTTTTGGACCTCAGCAAGACATATTTTATACACTCGCACATATTCAGCACTCTCCAAATCCAGCTCCATGCATCTTAGTTCTGAGCTGCCCGCAGCACTAGATGCCTCCAATGCTATACATAGTATTCAACACCACATACCTTTACCCCTAAACACCTCAAGAGAATAGACCAATCTCACCAGCCAGTTTGGCTACATTGCCGCTGCTGCAATGCACCAAGGACATTTTAGCCTTTCTCCACATGCAAAGTACCTTGTTGCTGCTTTGCACGTGCAGAACAGGAGACGGCACGAGCTGTGTCGGACACTGCCGCCTGGCTCCTGAGAACTAAGGTTACGGCGGCGTCACGCATGCACCTGACAGTTAGCAAGATCGGTCTACTGGCTTAAGGCACGAGCAAGTAGCGTTGAATCATCACGATGCTGCGACGCCGTTCTTCTTCGTGGGAACTGAGATAGAACTCTTGAGCACAAACTAACAGCTATGGAAGGTCTCTCACTTGCCCACAGTAGCATCTGTCTCCGAGACCGAACCCATCCAGCTTTGAGCACGACCGGCGTCCTCATTCGCGCCGCAATGTGTCGAGACGTCTTCAGCGCTGGGCGGTCGAGTTTGCCAGGAGGCGGTCGGCCTGACGTGCCAGAGCCTGCCGATCGCGCAGCGCCTTGGCAGCTAGCTCTCGGTCCTTCTTGGACGGGCTCTTCTTGCGCTGACGTGCGGCTGCCAGACGCCGGAACGCATCCAGAAGTTCGTTGTCGGCGGCGCGCAGCTTACGGGCGACTTCCTGCTGTGCCAGGCTGTCCCTGGCTCGTCGCAGCAAGGTGTTCAGCTGGGACCCGTTGCGTGCGCTCACGCTGCGCAGTTCGGCCTGGCAGCGACGCAGTTCAGCCAGAACCTGTAGCATAAATTAAAGTGAAAAATTCAGCACACTCAGTGCAGAAGAACAGAGTCTGATACTATCCTTACTAATCTGTTGGCAAAGAGAAAAGTTAGAATAGATGAAGAGGCTTTCGTTGGCTTTAATACTTTTTAGAAAATGTTCACCAATCGTCCGTCGTCGTGGCCTCAGATTTCTGTCAAGTGACCAAACAGGTCAATTCTGAAACAAAGCTTTTTTTTTTTTTTTTACGTTTGAAACAGGCAGGCGAAAAAAATAAAAACCAATCGTGACTATGGCCACGCGGGCATTAAACTTGGCATTCCGATCACCAGTTTTTTTTTGTTTTTTTTCCGCGTTTGCTCGCACGGTTTTAGGGAGACAGACGAAAAATAAAGTGTATGTACCCCATGATGAGAGGGTAAACCATAGCGTGTTTATCTGAGCTTTACATCAAAAGAAGCAACAAATAGAACTGACGAGTGTGTGACTGCGACGAGAGCATCCGACGCCACGACTGCGCAACACTCCGAAAATGACAAGGGGACGACGAAGAGATAAGACTCACCTTCTAACCGGAAGATCTAGGTCAAACTCTATTATTTGGTGGGGAGGGGTGAGGAGAGAAGGAGGTATGCATTTTTGTTGTTTTTTTTTCTATAAGGGAGAAACCCTAGAATTTCGAGACAAAAGCTTTGTTGAGGCAAGTGGCCAAAAGGGCACTACTATAACATTCTATTGAGCTTGTCATACACATTTGATGATCCTAGTCATGCAGTCACAAATGGGAACCATAAAGCCCCATACACACTGCCCAACATCCTACAAAAGGCACGGTGTTTGCTGCACACACGATGACAGAAGTATTTGCAGTTCTCAAATCTTTTTCTGCGAATGCCTTTGCGTGGAGAATAACTAACGGGCGTTTTCAGGGGAGTCCACGAGGGTGAGAGCACCCTTGGAACCCAGTGTGGGAACCCGAGACTATAACGATTCGACACCCTCACCTGGTCGTCTGGGGAATCGGTGTCAGCGAGCAGGCCCTGCTCGCGCAGCTCTCTGCGCACCCTCCGCTCTAGCTGTGCCAGGCCGGGAGCGGGAACGAGCGGCGCTGATCCCCCAACGTCCGCCTCTTCCACCGAGCACATGAGGTTCTCTTCCATCAGGCACGACACCAGACGCTGCGTCAGGCTCCCCAACGGGCTCGGCTCCAGCGAATCCTTGGCCACGGCGCCGCCACGAACCACCTTCTCCGTCAGCTCGCAGCCTGCACGGTGGGGAGACCTGCACACAAGACACACTTCCCTGTTTTCGTTGTGCGTCCAATCACTAACGCGGAATGTGTTTCAACGCTGGGTTTCACGAGAAAAATGACATGTCACGATCGACCGACATGTGTCATGTGACATGACGTCACATACTGTCATGTGACGCTGACTGACATTATGTGACACCGTTATGTCATGTAACATCATACTGACATTATGACATGTGACACTGACATTATGTGACACCACAACGTCATGCAACTTTATAATGTTATGTGACGTGACGTCATGTGACACTGACATTATGTGACACCAGGATGTCATGACATCATGTGACATGGTGACATCATGTGACACCGTGATTTCATGTGACACTGTGACGTCATGACATCACAGTATCGCATGTCAGACACATACACAGCACGTGCCCAGTTCATTCGCAAGACGTTTTGTGCGTCCCCAAGTTTATGAGACACGGTTAAATTTTACCTTGCTAATGCCAAAATGTGCAATTGCAAAAGCAGCTTTAAAACGGTTCTTCGTGCCGGCTGTAGAAGGTCTAACTTTTGTATGAGTAAGGCGTGTCCTTGGTCTGACCCCCACACTTTCTGTGAAGGTACTTCAATTTTAAAGGTATAAAAGAATGGCAACCAAATGTGGACAATATAGGACGGATAACTATAAATATTTACACAACCCACCCTTATGGTATGAATGATCCAAGCTGAATATACTCTCTAACATTCTACCTCTCTGTTGAAGGCAAGCATAAGAAACTTTTCTTGGTGGAACACCAGAGCACTGCAGAGCAATTTCTTTCCTATCCTTTACATAGCGCCTTTCCTACCAATGCCAATAGACACTGAATTCTGTTTTTGCAGAGCAGTGGAACCAGCCAAAAAGTTATCATTTTTATTATTATCTGACTGTCATAGTCCGGATTTACTTTTTTTCTACTCGAATGAATCTATTCTATCCTTAAACTGCAGAGTTCATAAATGTATCAAAGGTCCCGACCGTGTCCTTGTACTATAGAGCTCTTGACTATGTCGTAGGATTCCACCGTATGCTTGTACCGTAGAGTCCTTTACTGTGTCCAAGGGATCTATCGTCTCCTTATACGATAGAGCTCTTGACTATGTTGAAAGACTTTACCACATCCTTGAACCATAAAGCCCCTGACCAACTTTGCTGCCATGTCCTTGTACAATAAAGTCTTCGACTGTGCCAAAACAACTCTACCTGGGTACTTTTTTTAGTGAACCACAAAGGGTCACCCCACTAACCTTCCACCAGCCTTGGCTCCTTGACCTTGCTCCTCGAGAAGATCTTCCTGAGCCCATCGCTGCGCATAGTGCCGCCCGAGCATGGGCACACGCTGATATTCTGCATCGTCTTCGCGCCCGCGGATCAGGTCCTCCAAGGCCCTGATATCATCGCTCGTGATCTGAGCGCAGTAAGGCTCCAACGAAGCCCAGAAGCGGTTGGGCGCGTCGTTGCGTGTGGCTGCCGCTGCAGCCGCCGATGGCCCGTCTTCCTGGCTACCACCGGTCGCTAGTGTAGAAGCAGAAGAGCCTACTTGCTTTCGGGGAGGACGCCCTCCTGTAAACACCTGAAAATAGATTTTTTTTTTTTTTTTTTTATTTTGGCAACATTTATTTTGTAGCTACAGAAACATGTTTATTGTAATCTACCTTCACGGCCTCATGCTTTGGCCATTGGTGCTGTCCTTTGTTACTAGGTCAACTCAATTGCAGAATTCTCGTGGAGCAGACCCCCCTTCTCCCTCCCAAGGCCACCACACATAAAGCCCCTCGACGTCATTCGTTCGCACAATGGTTGCCCTACTTGGAAGAAACACGAAGCGCGAATTTTATCGAGGGGCTTTAGCCACTTGTCGATCGATGTGCCATCTGAAGGAGGCACTTAAAAAATGAAAGCCGTTTACAACTCCCTGTAATGCCGGATTAGAGTGCAGCTTTTGAGGAGGAGGATGGAAGCGTACTGAGGGATAGGTGACTCCCTGAGGTCACGTGACCACAGGGGCCTCACATGACCTAAGGGGGGGTGACGTGAGGGTAACTCTCATAATCCTCGTGACGGTAATCCTCGTGAGAGTAACCCTCGTGAGGGTAACCCTTTTGAGGATAACTAACCCTCATGAGAGTTACAAGGGTTATGAGGGTAACCCTCGTGATCCCCGTGAGGATAACCCTCGTAACCCTCACGAGGGTAACCCTCGTGACGTCATTATGAGAAACTTCCCATAATGCAACGCGCACTTACGTTGACGGCGACGCTGCTCAAGCCAGAAACGGGCGCCTAAGAGCTGCGCTCTAAAACTCCATTTTTTGGAGCGGCTATGGTGAAGTGCCATTTAGACGCCGTGCTTCACTTTAGAGTGACCATAACCGCTGTCTCTAGAACTGTGGCGCTTCTAACGACAGGAAGCAAACCTTTAGGTGAGAGGGAGGGTGCTGTGTGTGGAAGTAGAATCTATAGACAGTTCCGCAATTGAGTTAATCTCATAATGCTGGTGCTGTTATACTCGGAGATCGGCAGCCGAGCATGTTGGCGCACAGCAGCTCGGAGCATGTGCAGCGCAAGGGGTGGAGTGCCCACCCCTTGCGCTACAGAACCTAGGGATCCTGGGTTTAACTCTCACCCCCCGTCTGTTTCATCTGGATGAGCATCATACCGGCATGCGGTATGATGCTACGCGCATCATGCTGTATCACTACAGCGTGATGCGCGTAAAAGACCCCGGCCTCGCTCAATTTCTCGTCTTCAGCTGAGACACCAGACATCCATTGAGGCTGACTAATTTCCAACTGACTAAACATACACACAACACAATTATTATGCCAGCATACCGATGCAGAACGACGCCAGATAGGGACAGCTATATATTCGTGACCACAACACAATTTTAGCCAGCAAAAACATGAAGCTGCGAGATTAGTTTGTGAAAAAAGATTGCCCTAAAAAACCGCGATTAATGGTGGCCCTTCATACGAGCGGTCACCATTAATCCGAACTTGGGAATTCTGCAAACTGTGCGTGGAGTGCCCACCCCCTCCAAAGCACCGGCATCAGTCGAAAATATTCCGCCCATTACAGCGGAAACGACGGGAATATTGTATGAAAATAAATGCGCTTTCTCCAATTCCATTCACACTTCCTTCAAAGCTTTTCATTGGTCACCATCTTGGTATTTTTTCTGATTTGACCGGACAAGTGCACACGTCTAAATTAACCCCGTTTTCAGTCAAAATGAAGTAGATCCCTGATTTGCCGACAGGCAACTTTTACCGACAGCTCAATATGAATACTTCACTGTACCGGTAAAAAAGGTTTACAAGGAGCACTCGTAAATATTGAGCCAGCATTACTATGCAGCATGCACGCACACATTACTGGCCTGGGCCTTGCACGAAACAAACTGACACGGCACTGTACAAGCGAAGAGAGATGTGGGCTGTGGTTACGTGAATTTCTAGAGAAGTTTGTTCCTGGAATGTTCCGACAGGGAGGAGCCAGAACAAGGCCAGAAAAGGGGTCGAAAATCGACTAGCGCGCGAATAAGGACGGTTCCTCGAGCTCCTGTCATGCTGCGCCATCTCACGGCGTTTGTCAGAAATAAGAGCGAACCCTCGGCACACCTGTTCCCTAGCGAGGAAGCGCTGTTCACACATCCCCCTCTTCTTCTAGAGCAAATGCTAAACTTGCATTCGCGCACTTCTCTTACTTGTCGGGTTCACACACGCAAAATCTCATATCTACACTATGGACTACCTACAGGACATCGAGGTACGGTTAAAGTGCACCACTCACTCGAACCTCGCGTTGTACTAGTACAGACTACGCATCAACGCACCTTCCCACCGTCTCTGAACTTCTTGGTGGGTTTGCCGTCCGGCGATGCCCGACTTCGCTTGCCAGGTGTGGACGGGGGTCCAAGGGGAAGCTTCTTCTCCTGCCAGGAAACCAGCAACTGTGTTTCGTGCGTCAGTCGACGCCTCCGCTCACACACCGACACCAAGAGGGTTTCGAGCTCGAGTTGAAGCGGCTCGAGGTCTTCCAGTACGATCGCCGAATCGCCCTGCGCTATGGCTGCGTACCGGGGACACTCCTGCGAGTGATCCAACGGGCTCACGTCTGGGAACTGGAGCGGGCACTCTTCCGAACCGGATCCTTTGCCTTTTCCCTTCATCGCTGCGCGGGGAGGGTCCCTTATTTTCGAGGAATGTCCCCGCGTTCAAGGGACATCGACGACAGCCAAACTCGACGTAGTACGCAGTTAGCTGCCTCCTGTACGCCCTGCAGCACTCGTTGCATGCGGGAGCATAGAAAAGTATGCACAGCTCTTTAGCGTTTGGTTGTGCAGTTTCTAGCGCTGTACAGCTGTGCTTCACTGCGCAAAATTAGAAAAAGAAGCAGCGGGCCGGAGACAGAAGCACAGAATACCCGACGTTGAAAACGCGGAAAAAGTGTGAACGCAGGAAACATCCACTTCAGTTTTGTGGCGCTACGAGCGCACGCGCGCCCTTTTGAGTTTCGTTTTCACGGTGTTTTTTTTTTTCTGCGATCATCGCGATCATGCATCTCATACCAATATACAACGCAGATTCTAAAGTAAGAACTGTAACTTTTCTTTATGAATTTAGATAAATCAGTTAATCATTTAATTGTTTAATAAATGTTCTGCAATTAAAGCATTTTTTTCTTCTTCTAGGAAACTGGAGATCTTTTGGGCTTCCAGTTTCCAGTTAGGCCGGCCATTCGAAAGAGGCACTTCGTTTGTCCTCATCCTACCAGCCACAATAGCGCTCGCACACACAGTAGACAGCCGGTGATTCGTAAAAGCAACAGGTTTATTGCGTGACTAAAGTCAGTCACACGACTGTCCGCAGAGAAAGTTGTCCAGGTACACAAAACTCGGTTCATTTAATTGTTTAATAAATGTTCTGCAATAAAAGCTTTTTTTCTTCGTTCCTTTCTTTTAGGAAACTGGAGATCTTTTGGGTTTCCAGTTTCCAGTTAGGCCGGCCGTTCGAAAGAGGCACTTAGTTTGTCCTCATCCTACCAGCCACAATAGCGCTCGCACACACAGTAGACAGCCGGTGATTCGTAAAAGCAACAGGTTTATTGCGTGACTAAAGTCAGTCACACGACTGTCCGCAGAGAAAGTTGTCCAGGTACACAAAACTCGGTTCTTCCTGACCGGAAATCGTACAAACACTGTGGATACCCTTTCCGGGTTGTCAACGGCTTTTGTGAAAAAGTGACAATTATTACGTCGGTTAGGCCGAAGAATTCAACCTCGCGGTTCTTCCGTTTATTTCAGGCAAGCAACATGTGGTGTGCCGGAAATGACTGCCTCAGAAAACCGAGCTGCGTTCAGAAACGTGGGCTCTCTTTTTAAGTTCGTTCGAAACAAAGGCACTGTGAAAATCCTTGCATTCTAGACTAAAGTGCACATTTGAAAAAACAAAGCAAATACAGTCCTAAAAGACTACAACAGCATAGCACTGGAAACCAGCCCCTCAATCTGTTATCAACATCAATATTGGTTCTTTCCGATAGCGGATTACCCTTAGTGCCAAAATTATTTCCTATCTAAGCTTCCTGTACATAGACAAAAGATACAAAAAAGATGCCTTTTAAGGTACGAACGCAGACAGCTCCTTTCACCCACAACCAAAGGGCAAGCACAGTGAACAATTTGAAGAGTTATCCGTTGCCAGCAACCATGTCTATACATCCCACAACAGAAATACACGCCGCATCACCCACCTCGAACACAGTGCCGGGAGCACTGCAATAATATATTTCGTCAGCCAGCATACCATCAAGCATTCCAACCAGTCATTGTTCCGGAACCAAAGCCACCAAAACGGCACTACTTGCCGACACCATGAACTCCGTTCCAACTGTCTGTCCAATTGCACTTTCCTGGATTGCACACATTTCTGCATAATGTCACCCAAGTTCGACCGGCATGCAGACACTCGCTGACGCAGCTACAACATTAGAAAATGTCACTCATGTGCACCAGATGCGCCAAACCACGTACTGGACGCTTTATACACGCTGGTGCGCAATGCTTGCATCACAGTGTTCCAAAAACTAAACCAGCGTAGCGGACGCCACTCCCATGCGGCAGATGCTATATGTCGTAACGGACAAATCATGCTGAGCAGTCTCCATGCCCTGTAGGATGTTGGACGGTGCACACTTGAGTAGCAGACGGCATAGCAGATGCCATATACGGTAAAGCAAACGCCGTACGCAGCAGAGCAGGTGCCGTACGCAGTGCAGCAGACGACCTACATGGTGTAGCAGACACTGCCCACAAGCAGTCACTTGTCAGGTTGGGTGGGGAAACGGGTTCTCACTGGTACAGGATGTGGAAGACCATCTCGAGGTCGAGGGACTCTCGAGCGTTGCTGAGAAGCGGCACCAGCGCGCTGTCGAGGGGCTCCTGGCAGACGGCGGGCAGGGGCTTTCCGCGAGCCCCGGCCTCGTAGCCCACCCGGTCTGACCCCAGCTGGGCTCGCAGCCCCAGCGGGGACAGGGGCTGCAGCAGCGGGAGGTGGGGCAGCAGGGCGTTGCAGAAACTGCGGGCCAGGCTTTCGGCTGCATGCTGCGGGTCTTCGCACCTGACGGTAGATGGCGACATAAGAGCTCGATTGACACGTCTGGTCCGGTGGCTGCTTTAGAAGTCTCAAGAGCAGTTCCATAATTCCTCAAATTTATACAATAAGAAGAAAGGAAACAATTACTAGTGCGATTATGCCAAAGAACAAGAACTAGAAACAAGACGAACGGTGCACTTCCATCTAGTCATTGATCCCTGTGCTATCAGTAATTATTGTAATGTATCCACTATAGTCAGTGAGAAGTTAGGAGTTTGGGAGAAGCTCTTCCCTCTTTCCACTTAAGCAGAGTGAATGCTGGTATGGAGGTTGCCTCCTCTTGAGCATTCACTCAGCAAAAATGGAAAGAGGCGGGAGAAGCTTCTCCCAAACTCTTTTTTTATTATCCGAAACGACTGAAAACGATGCCGGGACATTACCCTCAAAATTTGAGATTTGGGAATTCAGTATTCGTGAAGTAAAAAAACAATTTCCAAATGCCGAATTCGAAGTTCCCGCGTGATCGGCGCCGGTGCCTTGACGTCAAAAATCGCGGAGACCTGAGAGTCGACTTCCTTTCACCACTCCCTGCTGTTGCCATGGCGACCCAAAGCGAGGAGGAAAGGAGCGAGCGCCCGGCGTTGCGGCGGACCGGTTTTGAGCGGTGTCGCCTGTTTTCCGTTGGAGGATACAAATCCAGGAGACGGCACCACAACGAACTCCCGATTTTTGGTATTTCAAAAAGAAGGGCCGCAGTGCGTTCGCAATTGCGTTAAAAAACATGTTTTAGGATTGCCATAATTAAATGTTATAGAGATGTCGCCTACAAAGCTTCTAAATTTCCTGATTTTTGACGTCACCGATCAAAAGAAGCGAGGAGGCGAGACGCGGGAAAATCAAACGCCAAAAAGAAAAAGGCGCGCGCGCGCGGAAGAAAATTGTTTTTCGCGATGCGTTTTTTTTTTCGTGTCTATGACTGCAACTTGCATCGTTTTAGACAATAAAAATAAATACAACCTTTGGGGTGTCAGTGCCCCTTTAACCTTTCACCGACCATAGCTTACCTCTCCCATCTTGCTGCATCTTACAAGCATACCTACGACACTGAGCCACAGTATCAGCATTTCGTTAGCATGGATGTCGCCCCACGCTCTGTAGATTCGTAGTGCAGCGAGCTAACGAGCAAAGAAATTGTATCAGTTAAGATAGTGTTCACTTTTGACCCCACAGTATGGCAGCCACTCCAATCAATGAAAACGCAGTTCTCTTGGCTCGCTATGTCCCTAGGCCCGAGGTTCTCAAACCGTCCGATCCCGAGGAATGCCTGCCTCTCTAGATGGCTGGATGGATAGATGGATGCCAATGGCTGTACTGTTAATAACGGGCAGTAGCTTGTGCCATTTAGCCTATAAACCAAAAGTATGATTACTAGCCAAGGAACCCTTCTCTGTCTTGGCATTGAAGCAATAAAGCAGTGCAGAAGCCTAGAAACCTTGTAAACAATAATGCACATCCTACAAAGTGTTTGGCACATAGCTAGGCATCAATGGGTGCCTCAGATCTTATCAAAATAGCCTTTCTACAGGAAAGTCCTTTACTTAAGGGCAGAGACAGACAAGAAAACTCGGAAGCCTCTAGGTTCCTAGGAACCTAGTTTGTTGAGAACCCTAGGCACTAGCTAGCAGAGAGCGATACTTGGATACGCGCAAAATCGAAACAAAGAACGGGGTGTAAGGGGGTGTAACGCACCCTCCCCAGCTTGGGCTGTCCGAGCAGAGAAGGAAGAGCTCCGTCCACCGCACCAGCAGTCCCTTCGCGCAGTGGTCCGTGGGAGAACGCAGACGCACACTCGGCACCCCCTCCAGGCTGCGCCCGTCCACGCAGCTCTGCACCCTGAGGTCGAGAGACGTCTTCGTGCACGTGTCGGAGCAAGCGCAGAAGAAAACGGCACGATAGGTGACACGGAACTCGTGCACTGTCGCTTATTGAGAAGTGCTGCACTTATGCCAAACTACAGAGCGGGCCGAAATGGATCGAACCCCCAACGTCTCGTAAAGAACCTTACGCTCCATTACAAGACATTGCAATGCCTTGTAAGGTACTTTAAAGGGACCCTGCAATAATATTTAAGCGTCTACCTTTTTTGCGGTTTCCACGCCTCTTGGGGTTCGGGCAAGCCAGCGAGCACGGAGAGAGTAACTAAATATCAGTGCATCATATTTTAACCGGACGACGCGGAAACCTCCTCCACCAACGAGGGCGACCCGCAGTACCGAAAGCGCGCAAAATGTGACGTTTTTGGTCCTGGGCTTAATACTGGTCAGAGCCGCTAAAAGCTTCTTTTCAGTTGAGACACAAAATATAAGTGGCACGAACCGTTTCCATTATTTATAAAAGTAGTTTTTGTTAGGTATTTTAGATAAGAAAAGAAACAAATGCAGTTCATAAAGTACCGAAACAAGAAATGACCTGGAGAAATACCCGCCACCAAGCGGTGGAAAAGGCGGCGCGTACTAGAAAGGGGTAGTGGGATCAGGGGCCGACACGGAAGGGTCTCAGACGTACGCGGCGGCGCTGCGGTCGTATGGGCAGGAGGATCCGACTGGCTCCGAGCGTTCCGAAGGCCTTCGGCGAGAAGCTTTGTCTCGCAGTTTGGCCGTTTCGCGGTATGGCAGCGCAAAGTAGCTCCCATTCTGAACTGGTCTTTACACAGTGTTTGCTGTCGTTTGTGGCCAATGAAATGTCATGCCGAATTAGTATTTAATCGCGCTGCAAATGCAATGAGAGCCACTCTGGCTACCCGCTGCATACAGCCTATCCAGAACACGCTTTAATGGCGCTTTCTCGCGCCGTCGACACAGAGCACAGCAGATGCGAGTGCTCGATGAGCTCACTACTTCTCCTCTAGTTCACGGCCACTCTCAAGCAACCAAGGACGTCTGAGGGAGGTTATTTTTTGCTTGTTTTTGTCATTTTAATTTGCCTATAACTTTTAAAATAAAGGGAATTTCGAGAAAAAAAAAGTTTCACCAAGTTACTACACTCAGTGCGCTCAGGTTAGGTGGAAATTAAAAATTAGTAAAAAAGTCATTGCAGGGCCCCTTTAAAGGGCTACTCCACCGATTTTTTCATTGTCTCCGATTTGCTTGAAATTTTGCTAAACTAACCAACAAACATCGCGAAAATAGTATCCCAAATATTAGGTCAAAATATTGTTTTTTCGCGAAGTTATTGAATTTACAGTTTTGGTCCTCACCGTGTTTTTCAAGCTCGAAGTCTCTACTGGCAACAATGAAAAAGTGACGTCAGTGGAAGGCAGGGGTTCACTCTTTGGGCTGTAGATTTCGTTTTAAACTGATTCGAAGCAGTTTCATGGTGTCAAATGAATGCTTGCGAAGCTCGCTGCAGTACCCGCGCTCCAGCACGGAACAAATGATTGGCATATTCCATTTTTTGGCTGCTTGCTCGACTGGCAAGCCTGCCTGCCACTGACGTCACGGCCCTGAAAAGCGCGCGCATATTTGAATGTTGGTTTTTGCATCACTTTCATTTGCCGATTTTGCAATAACTATTATGAATTTCGCGATTCTAAATAGCATACCGGAGAGAGCAAAGGCCGGGGAGTCAGAAAATATACTTAGTTGAGGTAGCTCAAAAAATCGGTGGAGTACCCCTTTAAGGTACCCTACGAGGCCTCGCAATATCATGGAAGGCACCTTAAGGTACATGCACTTCACAGTTAGCGTAAAAATGACACCGGTGCTTCTTTTTTTTTTTTCACTCACCTCAAACGGAGTATTGTTAAGCACTGAACTTTACCGCATATATTGATGTCCCTAATGAGCATATTTTATCACACTACCGTAAAATCCCGAGAGATGCCCTGCTTCCTGAAAGGTAATCCACCCGTATTTTTGGGTGTTTTCCAATTTTCTTTTAAACACCGAAAGATGGCCCACTCCTAGTAATCATAGTGTTCAGATCAATGATGATTTTGACGTAAATGCGTCTATACCCGTTTTCACCTCAAGGAGAAAGGAGGTTTTGTGCAGAGTTCGTACGAGGTAGTTCTTACAAGATTTGGTTGTCAAGGGAAGAAGAGATACTTTTGAAGTTCGAAATGCGTGCATCTTAATAAAGTGACATGCATCTAGCGCAAAATGCACCTCGATATATCCCAATTGTCTAGATAAAGGGGGAAATTAGTAATGCACCGCAAGCAGCCAGATTTTTTTAGTGCGGTTCTTGAGGTGAAAACAAGTAGTTAGCCATAGCGGGATATAAGCGAACATTGCTGACTGGGAAATACAGTCATCTTTGCTTCATTGCCCCTTGTCGCAATAACAACCTTGACAGAGACAGATGTTCTAAAAATAGCATTTTTTTAACTTTTCTCGACTGCACACCGAAAGTGAGCCCATTCCTTATTTTCACCCAAGTTTCTCTCGATTTAAGGGGGGACATGTCTCGCGATTTTACAATAGTATTTTGATGGTGACTTTGTAGTCCTAACAGAGAAGCAGGAAGCTGTCGACTGCTCGTTTGTGCTGTGTCATGCAATGTACAGCGCATCCACCCCCAAAATATTTACAGGTCTTTTTTCTTCATTGCAAAAATAAAGTATGCATCGCCAAATGCTCAGTCTCCGCCAAAATGTAGCCCTAGCAGCCCGGATCAGGTGCTAAAGTTTCAGAAGTCGCCATTACCTTGTTAAAAAGTTATAGGGGTTTTCTGAAACTTTTCACGGGAGAGTGGGGTCGTTCTCGGCAGTTTACTCCGTTTGGTCTCAACTATTTGCGAGTGCTGTCGGCAACCATTTTACCGTTACAAATTTAATAAAATCGCTTACAACTTTTGGATAAGACAACGGTTTGTTCCGAAACTTTAGCATCCGGTTCGGACCGCTAGCACCACACTTAGGAGGAAACTGAGCATTGGAAAAGATGTAATTAATTTTTCCAATTAAAACAAAAATGTACATTTTTTGGGGGGATACTTTGTACATGAGACATTACAATGTCCCTATTGTAAGGTACCTGAGGAAAAATTGCAACCAAAGCCTCGTGAGCAACCTGCAGCTAGGTGGCAATGTTGCTTCGCATAAATATCCGAGAACAAACTTTCTTCGACCGAAACAATGATCAAAAGAATCTCACCCGATGTTGATGCGCCTGTCGTCGTCCACCCAGACGACCGCAACGGTGGAGTCCTCGGCCGCGCTGCTGCCCGTCACGTGGAGCTCCCAGTCCCGCATTGCGCGCAGCGCTGCCCTCAGCGCCGCCATGGCGGTGGGCGACAGCTGGACCAAGAGGCCGTCCTCCACCACGCTGCACTTGGCTTCGCCGGGGCCCTTCAGCGCTCCGCTGAACACCACGAAACTGGCACCCGTGCACTGGCAGGGGCCACTGCCAGGTGCCGCCTGAAGTCGAACCCACCCTTCTATAGGAAAACCCACTTGTGCGGTTCGTCGACAAATCCCGGGTGACTTCGGGCGATTTGTAGGTGATATCAAGTGATTTTCAGGCGATTTCGACAAATTTCGCTGAGCAACAGAGCAGCCGTAAAGGTTCGCTCACGCACTTGCCACTGCTTACGACCGAGTTCTCGCGATCTCTTACAACAAGCGAACGCGCCGGCACGCTGGCGCCATCTGTGAAGTGGCCTCGGAACTGCACTTCATCAAAGCCAAGGTTTTGCAACATTTGCGAGGTCAAACGTTCATACTATCTACGAGAAACTGTCGTTTATAACATCGTCGAAAGCATCAAACCAACGAGAGGCATCTGGCATGCCCCAGTGAAGAACTGGGGATTCCTTTCACCACCTGGGGAGCTCTCGACACGTAACCGAAATCTGCTTCACGGCGGCTCCTCCGCAACGAGCCTCCGTCGGACTGCAGGCAATCTCGGCCGAGGTTCAAACCCGCAACCGCGGTCTCCCGTAAGCCGGTGCTTTGTTTCGGGAGCATTCAACGATGTGACCCAAATTTTTTGTTTTCCTTTGAAACTCGCATGCGCAAACAAAGACCAACATTAGCTCCATGCCTTGTGAAGTGAACGCAAAGTAACTATTTCAACAACTCGTCATCTCAAATAAAAACAATATTTTGCGGTCCGTTTTAGAGTCGCCAACAAACTAACAACGCCGGGGCGCGTTCTTAACGCCTGGTCCCCAGCACGCGTTCCGCCGTGCCTTGGCCGCGTGCGCATGCTCGAGTATGCACGAGACATTGAAGCACTGTGCAGCAGACGGTACTACCTAAGCTCCTCCCTTCCATTCTCATTTCATCGGTGACCGCTGGCGCCACCTACCGGGTATCCGTGGAACGCTCGCGATGTCTGTACATTTCCCATCTTTTCTCGCACGCCGTTCTTTCTCTATGCGGAGAGCAAGTCGTCCCCTTCTTGCGCAAGAGTTGCGGTGAAGTCAGAACGACGCCGAGCACCGATTGGCTTTGACTGGAAGGATAGTGGGTAGACCTCGATGCTAGATGCTTCGAGGTCTACCCGCTATATCTTTCAATCGGCCAATAAGGGCTCGGCGTCCTGACATCGCCGCAACCCCCAGTGCAACAAGCAGACGAACTTGCGCTTTGCATTGGCTCGAAAGAAACCCACCTGAAGAGCCTTGGTATGGTAGCTGCCCTCGTCTGCCTGGACGCAGACCAGGTGGCCGTCCGCCTGGGGGCTCAAATTGGCCGCCAGCGCCAAGACGTGCTCGTTGCCTTCCAGTTGGCGCGCCAGGGCGTCGTAGCGGTTCCGCGGCACCCGCACGGTCATCCGGTTGCCTTCCACGTGGACCACGAGCCCCGGCAGGCAGAGCAGCATGTACTGGAAGTTGCGGAAGTCCTGGAACAACAAACGGCGGGCATCGGATGATCAGACACTAATGGAGTGTGCGACATCTCTGAAGCACCGAGCCTCAAACAATGTATATAGGGGGTATTCACTGAACACCATATTTGGGGGTGCTGTTTAGAGCGCATGCTCAGAACAAGCGCACAGCAATAATAGGCTGCCGAGACCGGCAATCTTGACGGTGTAGAATGCATGTTGCAAAAGAACTGCAGAAGCTTGTCATCAGCACGCACTCAACACTTTGATGCCGAGAGCTCCAATTTATGAACCTAGAACTCCTTTGAATTGTGCTTTGACCGTGTGAAACCAGGCTTTTGAAAGCTTGGCAATGTGCTATGCGAGTACTTTTTTGAAGAACAGTCACTTCAAACATTGCCTCAACAATTTTATGTCTATGATGTGGGAAAGCTGAGTAAAACCTTTGGGAACTGTGGTATATGCGAGACAACGGTGGGCCAAGCATAGTCAACAGACAGCCCAAGAAAGAGTAGCTCGTATGCTTTTAGGCTACATCGGCCATTAGCTCCTTGTTACCATGGACACCTCCATTTCCATAAAAAAATTGTCCATAATGCGAGTTGTTCGTAGTAATGAGACAGAAATGCATGTATTTAACCGGTTCTTCCCCGAAAGGTGTTCGTGTAGCGCGGTATCCATATTAACTAGATATCACTGTGCGAGACACCACCCCCCACCGCCTTGGTCCAGCAACAGAGAGTGGAGTCACTTACCAGCAGGACATTCATGATGGTGTGGCCAACTTCGGTGTACACAGGTGGACGGCCACGAACACTCACTAAGGGGCACGGGTAGGCTGCACCAAACAATGGACAATAAAGAACGAATCAAATCGCCAAGTTTGAAAATAATAAAAATAAAGAGTATTGTTCTTTTACAAAAGTGAAGAAGTAGGAGGAGATTGAGTAAAAAGCAGGATGTGAACAATTTTCCGTAAAAGATTGCATACATTCGAGGGTGTTGGCAGGGGGGTGCAAAAGGGGCAGTTGTCACCCTCAACCCTCGTATAAGTGCACTTTCTTGCCAAAAACAGCAGCAAAAAGAAAAGGGCAAGTGTAAACAAAAACAGATTTGTGTTCTAATCTTTACAAACCAGAAGTGTTCCTTCAGAACACTGCAACTTGTTTCACTCCAATTGCGAGCAAAGACTAAGCCACAAGCACGATTCTCTAAACCAGGAGTTCTCAAAACTTTTCAATCTTGAGAAACGCCGATCCGTCTCGATGAACCGCCGCCATCGCTGCATTAAAGCCACGTAAAAGACTACAGACCCCGTGAGCAATAATGACACAATAGGAAGTGTCTGGTACACAGCCATCCAATAATGGATTACTCGGATCTTTAAAAATGTTGATTAAACCGAAACTTTGAACTTGCTCCGATCGTCCCGATAAACCCACGAAGCACGAAATATGTCGTGCGTGAATTATGAGTGCGCTAATGATTTGCTATGCTCGGTTGCATGGAGCTTTGGGTAGTTTCAGATTCTCCGCACACACGACACTCTTGCGATCTCCGGGTTCGTGTCAATTATCAAGACAAGAAGTTTTCCATGGATTCTGCTTCTCCGGTTGGTCCGTGTAAGGCCTTGAATTCTTAGAGCTCTTGAATTGTGAGGATCGTAGTAATTCAAGTAATCGCGAGAGAAGATTCATCGCTCCTTTTACTCTATCAAATGACTTTTGTCTGAAGTTCACCTTGTGATGTTAACGAGTCCACGTGGGAAGCTACGCTCTGTCTGGAGCCAACTGCTCATGCCGAAGGTCGGCTGCGCTGCCAACGGTCGGCTGAGGTCCATACTTCGTTTCACTTTAAGTCCAACCGCAGTCGAAGCTACGGTTTGATGGAGCCAATCAACCAGTGCCAAAAGTACATTGTCACGGCACACGTCATCTTCTCACGTTTGCCACTGCAGACTAAACCAATCATGCGCAACAAGGGCGCCGATAGCAAACCCCCCCAAAAAAACAAGCGCCATTACGATTTGCTCTACTGGACTGTGGCGTCGGCTGCTATCGGATTTCAGTACAATTACGTTGGAGTAAGTATGACTCGCACCGATGATCGTCCACGAACCGAGTACGATGAACTGAGTATGACCCACCGACATCAATTGCCTGTGGACCGGGCATGCTGGATTATGTCCGACTTACCACCAACTGTCGCCTACAAACCACCCTGGACCAAATATGACTCGCCGCCAATAGTCGCCTGCGGACTAGGTACCACTCGCCGCGGAGAGTCGCATGCTACTGAAGGCAACCGTCGGCGGCAAGTTGGGGTTAGTTCGGTTGCCTGCGCTCTCGTTCGTCTACTTGTGGCGCCGAGCAGAAACGCCATACTGCGGATCCCGTGGTCCGGGGTTCGATTCCTGCCGCTCTCCTCGGTGAATCTCTGGTTTTGACTGCGTGTTCCTGGTTATGATCACGCGTGAATTGTTACAAACAATTATGGCTTCCATATGCTTCGGATACTTATGCATTGTCTGCTTCGGGCTATGCGTCCTTCATGCTGCCTTGGCCCGCGTGTAACGCTTATTAATCACACTCGAGCCTCATACTTTCCCATAAACAGATTGTGTGTTAAAAAAAAAAAAAAACAGTTTACTCATACTCTATCTCACTACAGTATAGACCACTTACAACGTAACCACTTATAGTGCAGGACTGGGTATAACGCGGTTTTTTTAAACCACCGGTTCACGTCCCATAGAACTCCATGCAATTACATACTGCTTAAAATGCAGGCGCGAAGGGAAATACCGGTTATAGTGCGGTTTTTGGCACAGCCCGCCAACCGCGCCGACGACCGGAGCAGCGAGCTCGCTTCCCTGTGTGACACTAGATAACGGCGCTGATAGCGCGAGCCGCAAACTGCACTCGCGGGGCAAGGAGGTTGCTCGAAAACGCGGGGAGAAGCGAAGAGAGAGGCTTCAGTTGCCATAGCGACGGAGGGACGCACGCACGAGTCGTTCACGTGCGTGCATCCCTCCGCTGCGTTGGAAACAAAGAAACAAACAACCGCAACGACAGACCAATCGCAGGTCGAGGAGAAGTGTTCGCGCGCGTTGCATGCCGGTCCCAGGCCGGCCGCTTCTATTCCGCAAACATGGCGTCGGTTGTGATCGTCGTCGTAGACGGCGTGCATCTCATCGTTCTGCGTAAAAGCGCTATCCTTGACTGTGAATTTTCGTCGTGTTTCGCTATGATAACCCAGCACGTACTAGAAGGGAAGATCCACCTACTCGTGTGGCGATGTCGTGGCGGCGCTCTCAAGACGGCAGAAACGCCCGTGTCGTCGTGTTTGTTTACTTCGACTACAGTGGTGATTTCTAAGCATTTGTGTCCTCGAACATCGCCCGGATTTCTTATTTGGCGCATTTCATGCGTGTGCTCAAGTTCAAGGTATTACTGGCACGTACCGTATGAAGGATGCGAATTTTCACGCGTTTTCATCTCCGGAGAAAAGTGATTAGGGTTAGCAATCCTGAACGCTCGCAACGTCCGTCCGGGGGAGAAAGAAGAAGGTACCGAAGAGATCGGACGCGTTTTTCTAGGCTCCCGATATTAGGCCTAGCACCTAATACACCCCGTCTTGAAAGTCTGGGGAGCCGGTTGTCGAAAGACAATGATGCCGGCTCCTCTGGACAACCAGGAAGAAGCGGCCAAGACTTCGAGCCCTCAAGACCAGCAATTAGAAACCATGGACATGGACACGAGAAACCTCGCCGGGCCAAGCGCCGGACCTGCCGCTGTCACGACGGGACCGGCAAGTTCGACCCCAGCGAAACCTTTGCTAGTCATGACACCAGTCATCGAGCTGCCCACTGTATTTCATTTCGGTGAGCAAGCCACTTCTTCACCAGAGAACTCAGCACCGACTGTTGAGCAGGCTCTACGAACTTTACTTTCGAGCATTTCGAAGGAAAGCCTTGTAGACATTTTCAAAAGCATTTTAGGAGAGACTCACAACATTGTTCCTGTTGCCGAAAAGCAACAGAAGAAGAAAACGAAAGCCAGAAAGGCCAACGAGAAGGCGTCGACCGTCCCTACACACACGCCTGCAGGCGCTACGTCAAATATTCCTCCGCGAAGTCAGCCCCACGACACGACGGAGGATAGGACGTCGCAGCCAAGAGCTGCAGCTGTGGTAGAGGAAGCGCCCATGCCGCAAGACAGCGGAGATCCTTGGATAACCGTAACACACAAGAAAAAAGGCAAACGGGCACGGGGGAACCCGAATGCGCAAGCAATAACGGGGGTTGTCGCCAAGCCCCAAAAGCGTCGGCAAATCGAGTACAAGATCCGCCTGACAAGATCACGTACTTCGATCAAGCCGCTCATTCCAAGACTCAAAGTGCTTCTAAACAGCACACATGCACCAACGACATACACCATGTACCTAATAGAAAAGGCCAATACCATCTCGGTCAGGACTGACTCGGAGGCATTGGCGGCCGTCCTAGAGAAGATCGTCGAGGTCGACATCGAGGGCAAGAAAATACCCGTTCAAGTCTTTCGCACTTACGGCGCAACCTATTGCAAGGGAGTAATTTACGACATTCACACCCTACAAGAAGATCCCCAAGATGAGGTACTCAACCTTGAACTGGAATCGGAGAAGGTGCGCGTGGTGGCCGCCCGACGTCTGGGCAAGACCAACACCGCAATGTTAACCTTCGACGGAGAAAAGCCACCGCGATCCGTCTTGTACGGAAGGCGGTACATGCGAGTGTTCCCGTACATGCCAAAAGCAGTGACCTGCGCTAACTGCCACCGCTTGGGGCATAAGCCGGACATTTGCCCGACTGCTACAGTCTGCGCAACGTGCGGCAACACGCATAGCGAAAACCAGGTGGGATGCCCAACTCCGAACGCCCTGTTCTGCCAAGGGTGTAAGAAGGCTGGGCACATAGGCACAAACCATGCCTGCCCCACATGGCAAGAAACCAACAAACGGATGAGAGAACAAGTCAGAAGCTATAAGGAACAGCACAAGCTGCAGCAAAAGCGAGAGGTTGCTTCCAGGGAGATCAGGATCCCAGTGCCGCCGAGCGCCTCACAACTCTGGGCTGACAGGCTCCGTAAGGGACTCGACCCGGCAGCACCCCCAGCAGATCAGAACACCTACGCTTCCTTGAAAGCAGAATTGGATAGGCTGAAAGCCACGGTTCAAACGCTGCAAGAAGAAAACAGACAATACAAAGCTTCCTTTAACCAATGGAAGACACTCGCCAGCAGCATATGTGGCATTAAAGCATAATCAAGGTGCTTCAGTGGAATTGCCGAGGGCTTCGCAGTCGAGTGGCGGAGCTCAGAGCAAGATTCCAAGACAAACCCGACGAGAAGCCCGACGTCCTGCTTGTGCAGGAAGCCAACGCACACGACATTAACCTACGAGGTTTTATTCTCTACTCAAGCCCATCGATCTCTAATAATCGTCCGGGACAGAGCGCCGACCCTCCAGGGAAAGCCTTGGTCTACATCAAAGAGGACTGGGATCAGCACCAGGTTGACCTGTCAAAGTACTGCGATGACAACCAGGAAATAGTAGCAGTTCGCACCACGGTCCAGCGGCAAGTGAACGTCATCTTCACATCAGTCTACTACCGACCTATAAGAGGCAAGAAACACAACTACGATCACGGATGGATAGGGCATTTACACAGTCTCTACCCAAAGGAGCAAAAGCTTTACGGAGGTGACTTTAATCTACAACACCATCTATGGGGTTACGATGCAAACACAAAGGGAGCGGAGCAGCTGCTCGGTGAAATGCAGGCGCACCGGATCCAACTAGTGAACAAATCAGGAGTCAAAACGCGAATGGGGGACGTCAGGCAGAAAGACACCACCCCCGATCTCACGTGGACTTCGAACCCTTACACTCAACATCAAAAGTGGAAGCGAGCCAGGGACCTCTGGGGCAGCGACCACTGGCCAATCTACTTTGAGTTCTCACCAACTCGGAAGATTAAAGGCAGCAGCAAGAAAAGGGTCGTGCAAATGGTTCACTGGGACAAGTTTCGACAAGCGCTAGAAGCGGACAACTTTCCCGGGTCCAGCTTTGAGAGTCTGCTCAACAACGCCTTGAAAGAAGCGACCACCGAGACCAAAATTGAAGAAGATGCGCCAACTCCCGACCTGCACCTCTTGCGAATATGGGCTAAGCGACTTCAAGCGGTGCAGCGGTACCGCAATGGACGCAAGACCCCGCAAGCCCGGCGAGCAATCACGCGAGCCACGGTAGAGGCCAAGCAGTACGCTAAGCAACTCGGCACCAATAGGTGGATAGACTTTAGCTCCTCGCTAACCGAGAAGACTTCGGTGAAGCGGCTCTGGGCGGTAAGTCGAGCCATGCTCGGGAAGAAAAAGAGCAAGAAGGGCACCAGCATACTGGCACTAAAGATGAACAAGACAGAGGAGCAGCTCGCTGACATGGCCGGAGATCTTTTTTTTCCTCAACCGCCATGTAAGGATGATCAGGGGCTCGGAAATCCGTACAAAATAGAGGTCCTTGCACCGGACGAAGGCATGGACCGGCCTTTCGCTCTGGGTGAGCTCGAGTGGGCGCTCCACAAGGGGAAATCCTGCTCGGCTCCCGGCTCAGACAAAGTCACAATGACTATGCTCAAGAACCTCCCTGAAAACACCAAGCTCCAACTGCTAAATTGGATTAACCTCATTTGGATCACCGGCAAGCTGCCCGAGCACTGGAAACACTCTTTGGTCATTCCCATACCGAAACCCGGCAAGGACAAGGAATCACTAAACAATTATCGGCCAATTTCTCTAACATCATGCACGTGCAAAGTCATGGAGCGGATGGTATTGGCCCGAATTGACTGGCATCTCGAGACTACGGGGGCCTTTCATCCAGCTCAGACCGGGTTCAGGCCTTGCCTGGGCACCCAAGAAAGTCTGGCCCTGATATCGTCCAGCGTCATTCGCAACGTGCACAAATCTAAATTCCGGACCATCGTGGCCATCGACGTGAAAAAAGCGTTCAATTCGGTGCCCCACTCGACAATTATCAAGGAAGCCAGCCGGCTTAACATCACCGGCAGGACCCTCAACTTCATCAAGAGTTTCCTGGAAGGGAGGACATTCTCGGTAGGCTGCGGCAGGCACGATAGCGCGCCAAGAGCGAACCACGTGGGTGTCCCACAAGGTTCGGTCCTCTCGCCTACGCTATTTAATCTGACGATGGTGGCGCTACCACACGAACTCAGTAAGATCTCTGGCCTAGAATTCACCGTATACGCGGATGATGTTTCGATCTGGGCTTATGGGGACGATCTCGAAAAGCAGCGAGATATACTACAATCTGGACTAGATATAATCGAGGCTCACCTGGCCCGTGTGGGAATGCAGGCGGCACCAGAAAAGACGAACTACACGGTCGTACGCAGCCCGAGAATTCGCGTGAAGGAGGACTATGCAGCCAAACTCAACCTGGTCCTGGCGGGGAAACGAATCCAGCCGTCCCCTTCGGTAAAGATCCTGGGGATTACCATCGAGGAGAACGGCAAAGGAGACGCTTGGCTCCGCGACACACTCAAACAGTGCAACTCGGTGCTCAGCATGATCAGACGGATCTGCAATGCACGCGGAGGAGCATCACAAGACATTGCCAAAAAAATGGTCAAGGCTCTCGTAGTATCCCGGGTATGCTACGGAGCACGCCACTATTGGCTGACAGCAAGGCAATGGGAACGTCTCGAAGCTTTGAACAACCACGCTATGCGAGTTATCACTGGACTGCCCCGTTTCACTCCTCTCGTCAAACTGAGGCAGTACGCGCAGTTGAACAAATTGCACGACGTCGTGGAAGCAAGAAGGAACGCGCACGACGAACGCCTTAAGACGACACCGCAAGGAAGAGGCATCATGCGACTCCTAAAAAAATCGGTAGATGGCCTCCCAGAGCTGCAGAAACAACTGCCTCCGTGGGAAGACCTCGAGGCCATCACAAGCAGAAAGCCTCTAAGGGCATGCAGAAAAGGGGACACCAAACAACTGGCCCGCCGGGTAAAAGCACACAACAAAATGGTGGAGAGCTGGAAGCAAAGCAAGACCGTAGTTGCTGCTTATACGGACACTGCATTGCTTGAAGGCCCCGTCACCCTCAAGTCGGCTGCCGTGGTATTCCCAGCACTTCGAATCGAGGCAATTGAAGCATTACCCCCTACGGTGTCGACAAAGGGAGGAGAACTGGCAGCCATCCGCCTTGCATTAGAGACGGTCGTCACTCAAGCCACCGACCTCCCTGAGAACCTCAGGATCTTTACGGATTCACAGGAGGCGGTGAAAGAGTGTCGAAGCAAGAATAGCCCTAGCGTCCAAGTACGCAAGATCAAAAAGCTCGCCACGACACTTAGGTCGCGAGGTGTCTTTATAAGAATCGAGTGGGTTCCTGGTCATGCGGGGATCCCAGGCAACGAAGAAGCCCATCAACTGGCCCACGACGCCCTTGCTACCCCTTCCTTCCGCGGGCCCGGAGATGAAACGCTTCCACTTCAAGATCACCAATATGACGTGACCGCTCGAGATCGAGCATCCATCGTCGATTGGCAGTCACAAGAATATGACCCCGCCGAAGAAAAGGCCGGGATAAAAAATGAATACCAGGCGAAACTTGAAGAGCTCCTGCCCGAGCCGGCACATCCCCTGCTCCCTTCACGGGGATTTGGACGACGAGGGCAGGTTCTGCTCACCCGAGTCCGCACAGAAGCAACACTATCACCCGCGAGACTCGCATCGTGGAACAAAGGCAAAAGGTCTGGCCTTTGTTCCCAGTGCGACATGAACGCTAAGGCGGACACATACCACCAAGCGTGGGTGTGCCCCAAGTATCACGCAGAAAGGGCAAAATTTCGACCTCAGAACATTGCCACTCTGGAAGGCTGGACTCATCCCCCTGGAAACGAGAACCAACAACGAGCGATCCTGCGAAGTCTCCTGGACTTCCTCCACGAGGCAAAGCTGGAATCGTTTATTTAGTGTACATATTTTAAATAGTATGCCGCATCCAGGCCTCGACTATTAGCCACCGATGCATTCTTACACCCCTCTCCCTGCTTAATGGCATCAATAAACGCTCTTTGAACTGAATTGAACGTCCGTCCGCAACCCGCGACGCCGTTAAAAGGCTGCGCCAGGCAAAAGCCGCTAATTTCTTTTAAAATGTGTGACACACTTGAGACATAACTGTACTAGTCTATTGAAATAAAAACTTTCCTCAAACTAAGCTTATTTTTTCATCTAACATAAAATAAATTCTTTTACAAAAGTAAGTTGTCTCATGGCATGTATTTTGGCCTGAAAAATTGATGTTTTGGTTATAGTGCGGTACCGCTTATAGTGCAGATTCTCGCGACTCCCGAGACATACGTTATATGCGGTCTACACTGTAGTTGCACGCAGTGTAGTCAAAGCCACGGGGGGAAGAGAAAGGATAGCTGCTTTTGTGCGAATTTTGAGTCGGCAAAAACAATACTTCGTGGGTCTTTCAGACAAGGAGCTGAAGAAGCGAGCCCCTTCGCACTCACTCTGGAACTCGCTGCCCAGCCGTAGCAGCAGCCTCAGGGGCAGGAGCCTCGCCCAGGGCAGCTCCCAGCGCTGCAGCAGCAGGGCGCAGAGCCACGGGGGGCGCGGCAGGGGCAGTTCCCTCACGCACTGGGGCCCGGGGCTGATTAATAGGAAGCCGCCGTGGTCCCCGCTGCCCAGAATGCCCTCCGGGAACGGGAGCTGCCCCAGGGGGCCCAACGGAGCGCCCCCTCGCGAGGCGGTGCCGTGCAGCGTGCTGAAGAGGCGCAGCGCATCCCGCGGCAGGCGGACCTCGCCAGGCAGACGCTCCAGGAGGAGGACCACCTCGTCCTGGCCGACTGCCGCCAGTCCACGGCTGCTTAGGCACCAGCACTCCCTTTTCACGCAACATTCCTCTAAAAAAAAAAACAACAAACAAATATATTGCTGCTGAAATTGCTGCGCAGGTTAATGTTGTTGAAATGCAACGGCATTTCGCACCGTCTTGTACTGCGTAAACATTTATTTATTGAACCACTTAGGCTGTGGAAATTCTACCATATCTTTGCCAATGTTCATGAAGTCTCCTATCACACTTAAAACAAATTCACATGATTTCTGATCTGTCTACTTCCCGTAACCAACAAACAACTTTTGTTTTAGCATTACTGCAATTCAAATGTTGCTCTTTTACTATATCAGTATAAACATAACATGTATATAGACATCATAAGATCCCTTGGTAACTGCATTTGCTGTTCAGAAACTAATATATCATGCACATTTGTTGGGCATGTTACCCCCTGTGTGCACAATCGAAGTAGGCATAGAACAGATGCGTGCCGTCTGCTCCATCTGTTACAAACCGAGCCACAGGCACAAAGGTGTGCAAAGTTTGCCAAGAAAAGCTGCCGCACGTAAAAATACCACGTCAGCCATAAAGTCTGCTAAACATGGTTGTGCTAGAGACCAGCACAAGTAACCTACGGAGATTGCAACGAAAGCTACGGTAGCACCAGTTCGAGAGGAGCCACCATGAGGAAGCAAGTTATTCACTACATTGGAATGACTTTCTAACAATGCCTGTCCTATGAACACGCCAGTTTAACCCTCCTTGGACGAGCAACGCAAATTCACAGATACATACCAGCTATGTGCATTCTATAAACAGTTGCCTCCCTCTAAGAGACCAATGCCGTCAGCTGAAAAATTGTGACACACACCCCAATGTGCCGTGGACACCAAAATCAACTTCTGCCGGTGGACAGTGTTATTGAGCACGTGGTCTGCCGGTTTGCAGTAGTTATGTCCGTGAAACGTAAGATATTGCGTCCAAAATCTTTCTAAAATGTCTGTAGCCTTGCTATCATCCTGCGCTGCACTTCATGTAAATTTGGAGCTTCAAAGAAAAATGCTATGCTCACTTTGTTGCGAATTCGCAACATTCGGCATGCAATGACGTGCGTGTCGCGTTTTGAGTGACTTTCAAAAACAAAATTTCAGCTTGTAAATTAATTTCAATGGAAGGGAACCCGTACAAGGCTGACCTCAAGCTCTCTTTAATCTCGGCTCAAAATTAAGAAACCTTGCATTGCTATGCACTGAGCACATCCTTGACGTAGCCATCCGCATAACTAACAGAGGGCACGGGACGGTGGTGAGCGACACAAGCCAGCGGTGCAAGAGATTGGGTTGTAAAGGGGCAGACTGTTGTCGTAATGTGCGGCAAATTCAATGCTCGTCTTTACCAGAACAAGCATCTGTTCTTACAAATTTACCCAACTATAAAGCTTGAGCACGGATGCTTCCAGCACTTTGCCGCTTGTTATTAGCAAACAAAAAGCAAACCCTTGTTTCCTCAAAAATACAATTATTTTTGAGGAAAAATTCAATCTTATGCAGGTGACGTAGAAAAAATAGTTACTCTGCGACCTGTTGCGAATTCAATACATACCCCAATTTACGAAATGGCATTCTCGTCCCAATCGTTAGAGTGGTTATCTTTCTTGGAGCACATTACAGCAAGAAAAAAAAATGTTTTTACACAATTCATTAATAATTTTTGCCATTAAATGGTTAACAAAGAAAAACTATCCATGTATTAAACCATTTTCTATGGTCTCATTGAGTTAGCAGGATGACTACGGTATTATGAATTCCTATCTTATGAACAGTTTTTCTGTTTAAGAAATAAGACACACGGCTCCATTAGGTGTAAATAATTGCCACTACAAACATTCTAGGTATACTTTCTAATCAACATGATATAGTAGGTCACTGTGCTCAAGTATGCTAGCGGCACTTCCTATGAGGACGTTCTCGATCCAATCCGAGACAAAAAAAGAGAACCAAAGCTACAGCATTGTGGTTGTTATTTCGTCGTTTTTTACTCGAATTCGTGTTTGACTATCCAAGTGCTGCAACAAGAGTTGGTCAACACTCACGCTTCACAATCTTCACAAGCACGTGCAGGTTCCTGGTGAGAGCAAAGGCCACTGGATCTGCCGACTCATCTGTGCAAAAGAAAGTAAAAGCGGAACTCGTAAAGTCTGGAAACAGGCTACGGTGAGTGCGCTTCTAAACGCTTACCCTCAAACAACGCCAGCAAATCTGCCTCGTTTTCCAACTTGAGCTTTGCTTGACCACCTACAAGGCAGAGGTGACAACGCCAGAGTCAGCATACTCGAAAGTCATCATATAAGGCAGGCAAGATAATCTCATTCGGTGATGCCCTTTATTAAGCTCTTAAGGGGGAGATGTAAAATCTGAACCACTCAAGTTATTGGAATGAAATTTGCAGGAGAGATTTGACATAGGGTGTAGGTGTATTGTGCAAGCTTTCAGCTCTCTAGGATAATTTTACATGCCTGGATAAAAAGATGTGTCATTTATTCATTTTTATTTATTGATGCTACCGGCCGCCATGGCCCGTAGGGTAGCCAAGGCGGGAGTCATTCTTTGTTAAGAAATCTATGATACGCAAATGAACCTATTAAGCACCATTTTGACTGCTTGAATACAAAGTGAGGAACGTGGGAGACCGGTGAAGCTTAAACTTCTGCCGAGAATACATGAGAGAGAAACATGTGACAGCACAATTAACATTAGCAGACCTAACAATGGAAGATCTCACGCACACATTTCTACTCTTTCTGTCCCTCTAACATACAAAAAGCGACCAGGACGAATGGTTTGCTGACCGATTGTAATAGATTTTCAGTTTGCGGAACAGGGAATTGTCAGTATAAATCAGAATCTCGTCAGCACCGCCTCAGACACCTCTGCTGCACATTTTGTAATTCAACATCTATACTCGTAGACAACTTTCTGTGGCATTTTAGAAGAGAAGAGTGGACATGCACAGCTCTGCTTCACACTCAAGGTGCACAGCTTTGACTGCAAAGACACGGAAATTCGTTCACGAGTCCGAGTTCGTTTTTGCGTCCTCCGAGAACACGAAAACCCACCGGTGAGCGCGATGGGCGGCAGGGGTCCCTCGGCATCCGAGAGCACCAGGCGACGTTCTTGGAGCACCTGTTCGTTGGGAGAGTTCGTCTCGGGCGAGAGTCGCTCCCGCTGGGTCGCCAGGGGAGAAAGGGATCCGTCCACGTCTTCGGAGAGGTCGCCTCCGGGCCGTATGCCGTCCGAGAACATCACCTACAAACAACATTCGTTTCGGCACTCTGCACTCCTGGGACATTCATCAATGGAATAACCTCTGGCTGAGCCAGACGCTACCAGATGACGGAAAACAATTATGTTCCTAAACTAAGTTATCTGCACGTTAGAAAGTTCACTATGTCTGTGTAAAAGAATATCAACAAACGACTACACCAATGTTACGAACCAGCCACGTCACACCGACTTAGATACGCTATCTCGCATCTATATAATGCGAGAGCGTCAGTCTCGCAAAATTAACTACTGCGCTGGATACTCTCTCAGTCAAATTACACCAACTCCACAGTTCTGCGTACACGAAGTCCTTGGCACGCATCACGAAACGCAATATTCATGGAACGCTCGCCGCCACTGATGGATACGACAAAAAAGCGAACTGGACGTGGTGAACGTTTCTGCACTGTGAGAAATATAAACCTGCGTTAAAATTTTGAAATACTGCAGCAATGTTGCAGGAAGAGGGGGGGGAGACATCATCTTACAGCGCAGAACGAACGGAGCCTTTCAATGTGCGTCACACAGCAGTCACGAGACCGCACAATGGCGACGATCGAGCACCAGATCCCGGGTTTTGCGGCGCGAGCCTTCGCTCCGCTGCCACGCTCGACCGCAACACCACCCGGGGAGCTCACCTGTTTGGGCGCTTCGCCGTCGGGGCGCGGCCCCCTCCGCAGAACTGGTACGAGAACCGTGAGGGGTGGCGCGGCCTCCGTCTGCAACAGGGGTGGCCCCCTCGTGCAGTACTCGTGCGGGTTGCCCGGACTGGGGCCCCCCAGCCGCTCCACCGCCGCCACTGCAAGCACGACACGCGCTCAAGTCACCGCCCTTTCTCCGGTCGACGCCAGTCACATTGTGGTCTCGTGTTGGCCTGGAGAGGGCGGGACAACCTGTCGGAGGTTCCGATTTCGGTCGCCGTGAGAGCTAGAGCTAGTCTGCCCTTGCGGAGCGAGCCAAGTTATCGTCTACAGACGGTTCATCTGCTAACGTGAGTGGAGAACAGGGTTTGTCTGTTACAAAGTGTCATTTGCAGATAGAAAAAGAATGAAAAAATGCCGGCTAACAAACTAAAAAAAAAATATAGATTGTCTGCTGTGTACCTACTACTGAGTGCCACGACAAGGTGATATCAGACACAAACTGCAGTAGTGATTATCTCCTATTTCATGTTCGAAGCGATTGACCGACCAGAGCTTCCTTTCCAAATCTTAAGTTGTTCTGTTGCCATACATGCAGTGACCAGTGGACAAAGGAGCACTCCAAACAAGCGCATCAGAGGCCGCAAGACCTCTCTCACCATTCATGTATAAGCGATATGTCGTCGCCGAGATATTGCCCAATCGTTAACTCGCGAACGGATCAATGAAGTCTCACTGGTTGACGATGTGTGCCCAGTGGAAAGCTGCAACGCCACGTCTGATCAGCAGCTAAGAAAGGACCAAAATGGGACTTTGGGCGAGGATTTTGGGGGAGACCAGGACGTACCCCTTTGCAGCACAGTGAGACAAGGCAGGCACACTCGACCTTCCCGGTTTTCCAGGCACGGCAGTTGAGTCTTGTGGCCGCAACACGACGAACAGAGCACCTGCGAGGAAGGGCGACCACAAGACAGTCGGCGAGATGGCCAAGGAAGAATGAAGTTGTGGAAAGCTGTGCTTCCATGAAGACCACATCGTAATGAAGATTAGATTCTAAATCACTTCATACGGCACGAAACTTCGCAAGTCCAAGCTACAGAGCACTAGGTCACTGCCGTAATCATTTGGCCCACCAGAGCACAGAAAATGAGCCTGTTTGAAAGGATACTGAAGACAATTTTTTTTGCTAACACTGAATGTATTTTATCAGTTGATTTTCGTAGAGTGCTGGAACAGCTGGCTGCAGGAACCAGATGTACCAAGAAAACGACACTGAAAAGCGTTAAGCCTGTACGGAATCATATAAAAAGACTTCAGTTCCCCGCCAGGATTTGAACTCACCACTCCAGATTGTGAGCCAAGTGCTTTGCCAACTGAGCTTTACAGGGTCTGTCGTCGGAGCGTGCAAAAGCGAACTCGTTTGCACGGCGTACGAAGGGGTGGTCGCGCGCTTCACGGCTTTTCACGTTATGCTGTGCATTTTCACGGTGCAAGTCGAAAATGTGAGCTGATCTTCTGTAGGCAGTGCCATTTAGACGCCCTTCTCAACTTCCCTGAAAGGCATACCGTACATTCCCGCTTACCAGTTTTTGTCAGCATGATCAAGCATGTATAAATATCTTTTTCTTTCTAGGACACAAGAACTGAATTTTCATGTTGCCCTATTCGTTCCGAAACTTTGAGCAGGTGTTTTCTTACACGCTGCGGCCTACCAAAATCTAGCGGAAGTCATCAAAATAGAAACTCAACCCGTCACTTTACTCTTGCGACATATTTGTCACCCGCAGTTGTCTGCTCAGAGCTCCCATTGCTTGATTCAATGATTCATAGCAATCAATCTGTGGTGCAAGAGACCATTTGTTACAATGAAATTTTGTCAGTATTCCCTGGGACACTACAAAAATTAACATTGAAAATTAATTTCAGAGTTATTGCCAGCCATCAAGTAGCATGAATGGTGCAAAGGCAAGCTGTCCTGAGACCTCGAAAGCAGCTTCCTATTTTCTTTTTTTGGCCACGGGAAATTATCACAAACCCTTTAAAATGTAGGTGCTGAGGGCACAGACGTAACAAAAACAATATTACCTTGTCAACACACTTTTTCCCCCTCATGTTAGTTGACCTTGCACGATGCTCTTACAAAAAAAGCTGATAAATCAGATCAGTTAATTCTAGCCCCTGACACAATTATGATCTCTATGAACGTACAGGAATGAAGAAATCACTTTATTACCCTCACTACCCTATTTTCTACAGCAAAGATCGTAATGGTGGAGCAGTTAGAACAAAGATAAAAAAGTGCCTGCGCAGCATAGCAGAGCTCAAGAACGAAGAAATTAGCAGGATTCTAATAGTGTAAATAGATCGGAAAAAATGTTGAACCTGCTTTGCCAGCTTTTTTTTATTCTGGAGAAGTCCGGTCTTCAATAATATGGCTTGCCAAAGCATGGCTAACACTTCCCTAATCCCCAGCCTTCACCCCCAATAACGGGGTACAAGTTGGCCGTCAGCAACACGATTCAAGGTCAACAAATAGACTCGGACACTTAACGTCTGACACAAATCTTACTGTAGCTTGGGGTAAGATGTGGAAGAAAAGCTTTTACTATTAAATGTCAAGCTCCAAAGCATTCAAATATTAAAAAAGGCCAATCAAGAATAACAACAAAAAATGAGAAGCGAATGAAAATTCAACATGACACACCAAAGATGTCCACTTAGCAAAAAAGTCTCTCATCGTTCCATCAAATGAGCACTGTTGAAGCCTGTACTGGCTCTTAGCAAACATAATTAATACATTATAACTTATTTATACTTGTATGTCATCCATTATGCGCATGTTTTTGGGTGCCGATTTTGAGTGACCAACTTGGTCACATTGCCAGAATTTTCTCATATAGTATGGGATCTTTTGAAAATACCTAGATCAGCATAAGACGCAATAAAAACTCTGAAAAACAGTTCTGGGAAAGGATAATCGATGAAAAGTGCACCTTTCCAACTTTTCTCCAAAATCAAGTCAGACATAATCTCTAAAATACACAAATTACCCATACCGTAGTGTAGAAAACAACTTCGAGAGAGCATGCAGCCAATTTTTATGCTCAAAATTCGTACCACATCACTGCCTCAAAACAATTCTGACGAGTTCACATCTCACACATCTATCTGTTCATTTGTTTCGATATTACTTTTTATGAACCTCTACCAGCCCTATAGATGACAACTGAAAAACAAAGGCATACTATTAGGAGTGTCACATCTAGAAAACAAAAGTTCATAAACTGCAACCCTAGTTTTGATACTCCCGCCGGCCAAAAGCCGTTCAACGCTTCCAAAAGGCAAGCTGCAACAACCGCTCACCTTCCCGCAGGCCCTGCAGTGGTGGCGCCGCTTGAGCACCGTAAACTTGACGTCGCACAACATGCAGACCGGTGCGTCCACGTCGGGGATCCAGAAGGGCTTCACTTTCCCCAGCAGCTGTTCCTCCTCGCTCAGCGGGGGAAGAAAACTGTCCTCTTCCTCCTCCGCTCCCTCCTCCTCTAGCAGCTGATCAAGTTCCTGCTCCGAGATGTTGGCGCCCGGCTCGAAGTTGATTGCACTGTCATCAAAAGACGCCGCCTCCGCAATCAGAGTGGCCTCGCCCGTAAGCGAACAGGACGAGACCTGTGCAGATCCCGGAACAGCCACAGCCTCCGCAGCGTCGGTAATGGTATCCAGTTCCGTAACCTTGGAAACAGTGATGCCGCCGTCGTTCTCCTGGACCGCAGGACAAGACTCACCGTCGGCCGCTTGGCGCTCCTCCGTCTCTTCCGCGCAAGCGTCGCCGACGTCAGCCTCACCTTCGGGTTCGGCAAGGTGTTCCTTGGGTACAGCGTCGCTTTCGGACATGGAAACTTTGTCTGGTAAAACCGTAGTGGCGACCTTTGTATCAAAGAGACAAACTTGGCCATTTTCGGCGACAACGTCAGACACTTCGCTTCCCTTTCTTGACGGATCCGGCGAGCCGCCAATGTTGGCAGTTGTCTGCTTCTCTTCGCCGACGCTCGTCGCTTTGGGCACGGCAGTCGAACTGCTGTCTGCGGCCGATTTGGTGTCTTCAAAGTTGTTTCCCTGTAACGGGGTTAGTGGTGCCGCCAGACCTTTGATGGTGCTCTCGCCGACAAGTTTGCTCCCTTCCGGCGGAAGCGCACTGGCGGGTAGTTCGAGGTCGAGTAAGTTAATAGAGGGTGGATCGGGGGGCACTCCATTAGCAGACGAAGACCACGACTTGCCGCCGTCGTACGACAGTTCAACGGAATCCAGCAGCATCAACGGCTCTGAAGCCTCCGAGGCATGTTCTTGCTCCGGAGTCGCGCAGTGGCCGTCGTTGGGTGAAAAAGACGTTGCGGGAGGCGCACTTTTGTCTGCTCCCGCGTTCGGCACACTGCCAAGCTGAGCGGGACTCGTTGCATTCCATGAATAGGTCTGGCAGGTCGAGGCAGCGTTGGTGACATCTGGTGGGGACACTGCCGGAACGGTCACCTCGGGCGGCGCGGCAACACTTGCAGACGGCAAGGATGTCGGCGGTGGCATCGAATGGTCCCCATTGTGGTTTGGGAGGATGCTGTGGCACTTGAGGTAAACATGGTCGTTGTGGGAAATGCGGCTCGCCTGCGGTTCTGGGGCCGGCGTCAGAGATGCTGGAACAGGATACAACATCAGTTGTTTGCAGACGGCAGACATCCCACTCGACATAATGGGCGACGTGCAAAACTCGTCGAGAGTGAGTCTTGGATGCTCAATGTCCGCTGAAGACAGCCTCAGTGACAGAAATTGTAACTACAGCGAGGCTCCTAATACCAGTGGGGCAAATCGGCTATGAGAATGCATACATACATTTAAAACCCCGAAGAGTGAAGCCAGAAAGGACAATCACAAACAGAAATCGACCAGCACAGCTAGCTGTGTTTGGAGATTCATGCTCATGAGTGTCCCTTATGTTCCCACTTTCCAGAGTTTGAAATGCCTCTATCAAACATGTCCGTATCTTGCTCAGACTTCATTACAAGTAGGTATACCTACATGACATACGTCTTGCGTGCCATGTCACACCACCTGTCACAGACATGTTGCACATAATCGTTCGTTTACTGCTTGTTTACGGTGACGAATTGTACGGTGTTTAGAGAGCACTAGGTAATGTCGCCAATCCGTGTGTGACACCAACGAAAGCCATCTATCGTTCGCCCTAAACAGTTTGGCAACATCCGACGGACTCTCCAAAAATACTGTACAAGGGTTGAAGAAGCGGTAACCACGAACACTTGGCAAAAGTGTAAAGATCAAAACAACGAACGATACCTTCGCTCTGCTCAAACTCATCGAGCACCCGGTCTAGATCAACGGCAAACTTGTCCATCTTCGCTGGGCATCCATTCCAGGCTCGTATCTCACTGGGGAAAAAGATAAGCCCGGATTAGACGAGGCGGGCTTATTATCGGCAAGCTAATCCCATTATAATCGCGGCGACGGCGCCGTCCGAAACTCGAGCGGATGTCGCTTGCCTCCAGCACAGCGGGCCGCGTACAAGAAAACAAAACAAATCACGGCAAGCGGGCGACACATCGTCACAATCGTCCTCACCTTGATCAAAGGTGCCGTCGGGGACATCCTGCCACCAGTGCAGCAGTGCTGGTTCAACGGTGACCGTGTCGAACTCCTGCGACGACCGAAGGATCGAGTGCGTCAGCGGAGGAGACTACACGGCGCTGGACAACCAGGCGGGTTCTGTCTCGCATACCAATGACTCGGAGGCTTCGGCGGACCGAACTTGACGGAAGGCGTGTGTGACACCGACACCGCGCTCAACACCTACGGGCCTACGCCGTGACCGGAATGAGCGGAGAACCGCGTGACGCCGAAGGCGGTATAAATTGGTGACCGCGGCCAGCAATCACGTCTCCGAGTTGCTCGAACAGGCAAAGAGGCAGCGAGCACAGCAAAAAAGAGCAAGCATCGCAGGACAGCACACACGGAGAAGTGAAAACAGTAGTGCTCCACTCGACAGAGAGACGCAGAGATGTTCAGCAGTTATGTGACGGTTATCCGTTAGAGTTTTGTTAGCGCTGCAATCGGTAACGACAACAATACATAACAAAATTTATTGAGAAAAGAAAATTAAATTTGCGGTATGACTACGCTTAAAAACTTTTTTATTTCCAACTAATTTTGCAACCTACATTACGTAATAAACATAATTCAAAATAAAACATTATTATTAATACGAAGTCGAAAAAAAGAAAAAGCCACAATGAGGCGATCCAATCCGGTGATGGACGCTGCTTGCTGCTGAGGGGGGCAAGTGCCAGCGTCAATAAAATTTGACGTAGAGCCGAACGATAAGATGAAATCGATCACCTCCCCGTTTCTAGTCGCCCCCAGTTGTGCATAAAATTTGAGATCGCCGGTTGTCCCAAGAAAACGAGCGTCATGGCTCCGCGACACAACCTTGTGGTTACGGTCGCTTTTCATGTGGTCTGCCTTGCTACAGGTAAGCACATTTTCTGACCGGCTGAGTTGAAAAAAACAAAATAATAATAATAATAAAAAGACAGGCTGGAAGGAGTCCAAAATAACGAACCATTACGAGTGACGCGGCTGTCACAACGCCTTCTCGTCTGCTAAACACGCCGACTTCTCGCAAGCTGCTAGGGCGTGTCTCTCTACTAAAAAATGGAGCGCTTCTGCACGTCAAAATAAAATTCCAAAACTATGTTTCAGTTGCCGTACCTGTCTTGGTCTTTTTTGCGGCGGGAAGACCGTTCAAGCGGGGTTTCTTCTGCGACGACGAATCGTTGATGTACCCGTTTCGTGAATCGACGGTCACGTCCAACATGCTGTATCTGTTCGGCACGTTCATCCCTGTGATCACGGTAAGGAACTTCGCGTTGTTCGGAGATTAAATGATATGCACACGGTCAAGCTGAACTACAACTTAGTTAATGCTGCTGACAACAACGGGTAGTTCCAACCAGACAGCTATGTTACCAACAATCACGTGCTAGCTAAAACGCAGGCGTAAAAAAAATAATAATAAAAGCAACGAAAGATTATCTTGCATACCAGTGCACAACGAAAATTGCTGACTCCAGTCTATAGCAACTATCTCCCAGCAAGTTATTCCTACCCGGTGTTATCAAACTGGTCCTGCTGATTGTGATATATGTGACACTGGTTTGTTTTGATAAAGCCTATGGGGCCATGTGATAAGATTTGAAAAAGGGAATGCCCCCCCCCCCCCCCCCCCCCAAAAAAAAAAAAAAAACCCAGTGGCCAGACCGGACATTAATGGCAATATGATTGATGGACAGTCACTCTTCCTTTCAACACACTCGGACTCCGAGACTCGGTATATGACAATATTTCCCGGCGATGTTCGTGGATGTCCCAAAGGAAATGTTTTATTAGGCCCACTTCAGACGGAGCAATTTCACCCAGCAACTTGACGGCGCAACACCAGCAACACGGGCCGTCCGTGTACACACGCAGCAACCGAATTGCTACGACTTGCTGTCATCATCATTCACTTTGAATTTTCTTGCAGAATGTAAACACCCAGCTACGTGCTAAAAACGTGTTTTTATATCTTTAAATGCCATTGAGAATACTAACTCATCTTCCTGAAAAGGTTTATTTCAAAAAATGATTGATTTCAAACCAGAACCAAGTCTTTAGCTGTCATAATCACCACCACGGGGGTGTCACGTGAAAATATTGTGTCCCTGATTGGCTGCTGCCGCCTCAAACGGCTCCGAGTTGTTTGATTTGCTCGTCCGTTTCGAGCTGGACCCGATCTCAGCAATTTGTGTCGATCCAGGGAAAGCTAGGGAACAACCCGCCAGCAACCTCAAAATTGCTGGAAAAGTTGCCCAGTCTGAAGCGGGCCTTAGCAGTTCAGGTACCGGGGCACAGTTAGAAAGTCACAGTACAGACACAGGTACTTTGTTTGGGTTGCAAGTGTGTGTAGATTTTTTTTACAATTCCCATTTGTCCGACTGCCTGCACCTAAATAATGGATTAGCTGGTGTTGAGACTACTTTTGGATATTATTACTTAGTACGGCAGCAACGGGAGTTCTGCAACTCCACTCCAGAGGGGAGCACCTTCACTTGCAAGAAGTGCCTACAGTATCGTCATCAACTACCTTCCATCGTGCTTTCAAAGGTGCCATATAGCTTTGGAAATGTTTAACATATTTTAACATTTCCCAAAGAAATGCTTTTCTTTTAATTTTAAATTAACAATTAAATTGTTAATTTTAAATATTTCCTGTGTTGTGGACATCAAAATTATTTCAAATAAGTACTCGCATACTCTGTAGCAAGAACAATGTCCCTGCAATCACGATACATTTGCTGTAGATTCATGATGTCATCCCTTGCCTAAAAAAGAAAGTGCATGTTGTTTTTTGCTTTTTTAGTACAGGGCTGCTAATTTTTTTGTGTTTACCGAAAAGCTGGCAAGCAGAAAAAAATATCCTAATGCGTCGGTAGCAGCGCTGCTGCAAAGAAATGAAAGACGTTTGCAACTTCCTGTAATGCAGATTTAGAGCGCAGCTCTTGACAAGGAGGAAGGGAGGGTATGCCCCTCCTCATCTGTACCCTCTCCTCCTACCCTCCTCCTCCTTTCACGCTCGAAACGCGCATCAGCACGGTGACGTCCTGGGACCATCTCATAATGCAACGCACGGTTACACCGACGCCGAGGGTGACGCCGCTCAGGCTGGAAACAGGCGCCTAAGAGCTGCGCTTTAAAACCGAATGCGTATTTGGATATTTTTTGTTGCACACCGTCCGTCGGAATTTCCACAACAGAGTATACACACTCCAGTCACTGACAAAGTGACAACAGCAGGGAGAAGCTTCAGTTGTTCCTCCTCAAGCACGAGCTTCCCTCTTTTACAACGCTTTAGGCACCTTGGGCGCGCAAGCGCAGGCAAAGCACAGCGAAAGTCATGACGCGCCTGATGGAGACTGAGCGCTCGAAAGACCCGCCCTGCCATTCTCGCCCTGTCAGTGGCCGTAACATTGGTTGACTGGATTGGGTTGGATTATGGCTGCTGAACTCCTTGTACTGGGCGACCACAGTCTAAATATCTAGATCTAGCCAAAAAGAAGAATGGTAAAAGCGTAAGCACTCTTGCTGTGGCACCCCTCCCCCATTTACAGCTACTCTTCCCACCTGTCGTCCAGTCTGCTTACTGCAATTTCTGCTGCCTCGCAGGTACAGGCGGTATTGCAATGTCCGTCTGTCGTCTGCACGGTTGGCGCATTGCCGCCGCACGTCGTCCGTTCCTGTCGTGTCGGATTCGATTCCCCGAGCCCCGTTGCAATGGCATGGTCATTTGCATCGGACGGTACGAGCGGCCTCGGCTCACAGCGCTCTTTAACCGATGTGGAAGGCCGCTCCCTCGTGCTGGCTGCGTAGCCGAAGTACTATTCAGCCCCATCTCACCCGCCACTTCCCTCGCAGATGCTGGTGCTGGAAATGGTGCGAGGCTACACCCAGGTCCCCGAGACCATCGCCACGAGCAGCCGCCCATTCCTGCGGTGGAGGGTGCCCCCCGTGCTGCAGGTGCTCTACGTCATGGTGGGGGTGTTCGCATTCGGGGCGGCCTCCAGTCAGCTGGTGACGGACATCGCCAAATACACCATCGGCAGGCTGCGCCCGCACTTCTTCGACCTCTGCCAGGTGGCCAACCTCGACCAGCTGTGCAAGGACCCGCACGCGTACGTGGAGGACTTCCAGTGCAAGGCCAGCATCAGCGACCACTTGCGCAAGGAGATGCGGCTGTCCTTCATGTCGGGGCACTCCTCCTTCTCCGCCTTCACCATGCTGTACACCGTGGTGAGTGATGGGCGAGACGCGCAGGCGTTGCAAGCGGTTGCGGCCTGCCGGGCAGTTAGTCTTCTGCTTACGAAATAACGAGAAAGCCAGTATCTGAAATACTTCGCTGGCCAAATGCATCCCATGCTCCGTTTCACTTTAAAAGTCCAACCGCTACGATCAGACGCAGCCAATTGGGCAGTGACAAAAGTGTGTCGTCGCGACGAGTGTTGTCTTTGCGAGTTTGCAATCGCTGACTGACCCAATCGAGCATGGGGAATGCGCCACGACGCCGCACTTTAGTTGTGCGCGATTGGTCTAGCCGCTGGTGGCGTACCCTCAAAGACCAACGTGTGATGGTGCGCTTTTGGCGCTGCTCGATTTGTCGGAGAATAGCATTGACTGCGGTCAAACTTGAAATGAAACAATACATTTTGCTCATTTGCATTAGACAGGACGCCTACAGCACCAGATCCCCCCCTCTCGGCGTGGACAAATGGAGTCCGAGAGAATGCATGCGCATTGCGTCGTCCACCCTTTCGTGCCGCGCCGAGAGGGAGGACGGCCGCCTTGGCGTTGAGACAGCAGATTCGCCGAGAGAGCAGAAATGGCCGTCTGTACCGTCTCGAACGCTGTCCACGAGGATAAATGGTGGCAGCCCCCTCTTTTCAATTCAAAGGGGAAAACCCTGAGGCTGCGCGTGCCCAGCCGTTCCAACTACGCAAAAGCCGTCGGCCCAGAGGCCATTGGAATTTCGCGGAGTAATGCGTACTCCCTAGTAACAAATTTGGCCACCCTGCGAGACGAGAGGAGGAAGCTCTTTCCCACTTTCCTCCCCAACGTTCCTGCCGTAACAAGAAAAGAGGAAACTGACCATTTTCAGGCCAATTTTGCTGCCCGACCACCGTTCTTCAGTTTGGGGTTAGGCTACAACGGAACCTCGAAGGATTGGAAAGGATTATGCCAGGGTTTGTTTAACGCTTGCGCAAGAGCAACATGTGAAGGGGTAAGGGAGGAAATTAAGACTTTTATGGGCCCCAATGTAAAAACTCCGTTGTATATTTGTGTTATTTTTCCCGGCATGCTGGTTTACACGAAACCCTAACACGTTCAACGATTGCAGCAGAGACAAAAGCAGCTAGATTTATGTCTAGTACTCGTTAATCATTTCAACCGGAGCTTGGTGTTCCGACGACACCGCGCACTCGTCTCCTCTACCTCACTTTCTCGGCGTATATGCTGCTACTGGTTTTGAAACGAGGAGGCAATTGTTTATGGAACGAACTTCGGTGTAGCGGCTTATGGAGGTCACAGTGGTCTTCCCGTGTAGCGGTTACTCTTGGTTCACACTGTGAAACTTCCTCTGGCTCCAGCTGTACCTGCAGGCTCGCATGCCCTGGCGGAGCCCCCTGGCTCGTGCCGGCCGCGCCGTCATCCAGATGGCGCTTTTGTGCCTGGCCTGGTACACGGCACTGTCCCGCATCTCGGACTACAAGCACCACTGGAGTGACGTCCTCGCGGGCGCCTTTCAGGGCTACCTGGCAGCCATACTTGTGGTGAGAACGGCGTAGCTTAAGTTTCTCTACGAATGTGGTCAGAAGAAACTACAACGCATGGATGCACTCACATTAGCCCAGAGCTGTGTATATAGAGAGTTTGGCCATTCATTGGGAAGTATAGGAGTCAAATGAGGAGACGCCATTGGCCGAAAGCGCGCTGGGCGTGTTTCAGGGCGTCTTCACAGATTCGAATGTGGCCAACCAGAAGCCGGAAATACCTAATACCCTGGCGGTGCTCGCAAGAAACGAAATTAATAAGTGCGTCGGAGTAACTCTCGGTGACTGAAAATATGGTGCACGTGATGTTTCAATCACGGTCATCCAAAATCATGGTGGAAGAGTGCGACTAGCAGAACGATCGACGTAATCCGTACGCCAGGTGCCGAGGGCCAGGAATCTGCCGTCCGAGCGGTCACACTCTGTCTGAGTAAAACAGAGTTTGAGCAGCACATTCGTTTCTTACATCTTCCTGCATGATCATATCCAAAACATCACATGCACCCTATTTTCAACCATAAAGGGTTACTACATTTAACTCTTACGCGCTTATTAAAACCATATATGTATGATTAGAACAGTTTCTCGCTACCACCGCTAGGGGATTCTTTTCGGCTTCTGGTTGGCCAAGAGAGCACGTCAAGCCCTCTTTCTGTGTCTGGTGCGCACCCTGGCTGTGCCCGCACCTCCCATTGACCAAACTCTCTATACCCAAGTCTGCATTAGCCCAAAATGAGCGATAGTGTGCAGAAACGTCTGCAGAAACGTCTGCATCCAAGCATTGAGAATGGATGTGCAGCCACTTATAACAAATTTTTGTTCTAACAAATACTCCCCCATAACAAACTTCTGTTACTATAACAAACACCCATTATAACAAGCTTCTTTTATAACACCCACTTATAACAAACTTCTGTTATAGCGAACACCCATTTTTAACAACAACAGAACTCGCTCATAACAAGCTTTTGTTATAACAAGCATATATGAAAGATGCAACATATTTCAAGTAAAGCTTACTAGTCTGTTTATAAACAAACATATTTTGCAAAGCTCTGGAGTTTGCTGTGAGTGGATGTACCACTCAAGAGGTGCCTCACACAGGTACAAGTTACTCCTGTTACCACCAGGTGGTACTAACAAGTGAGGCAAATGAATTGGCATGTTCTGGTTTCTTGCGTCCCCGACTAACTCTGGCACCATGTTTTTGTTAGTTCTAGTACGATCACTGTTCTAGTACGATCGCCTTCTTGTACGCAATGTTCTGCCTATGTATATCGTGTAAAGGTCTAATCATCGCATTTCACTATTTCCCCACCAATGCAATCCACTCTTGTTGCAGGCAATCTGTCAAAATATTAGTTGCTAGAATAACTAATACTATAAAAAATGAAACTTTTTTTTTCTTCCTTGGGGCTACATTTAGATTTGTTTGAATAGTATCCAGTATGTACAAGACAATAATGCCCAATTTGAGGCATGACTGTTGCCATTCATTGTTAGAATACAGGGTGGCAGGACGCTTGCTTATTGACAGTACTGTGTTGTTTGTTAAGAATGTAACTGGCATTTTATGTTTCATGCTTTGCAGTGTTCTTAGCTTTGTACATTGTGCATAGTTTGCACCCAGATTTCAGAATTAGTTGCAAAATTCAGATACAAGTGTTTTGCTTTTGGAGACGTGCTTTTAGAACGAAGATGACAGTCTTCCAGAAACGTTGAAGCTCAGAACTGTCTGCAGCTTTTTTGAGGCACATTTTTTATGTGTCTTACAGGTACGCTGGACTGGGGAACACATGTTTTTCAAGACAGGTGGCACCAAGAAATTTGCAGCTTGTTCTTTAAGTGAACTCGAGGAGATGCGTGGATTGAAATGTCTACGGGTGATGGATTGAGGACGATTTGTTTCGGAAACAATGCCCAGCTTCAAATGAATGGATCCGAGAGGCTTCACCGACACCACCTGGAGGTCGCAGTTGCACCGCGTAATTTGTCGGAAAAGGCATATGACTGCCATTGGGTGGCTGTTGATTCGTTAATTGGGCTATGTTCTTTACTAGGCTTCGCCAATGAGAATGCAAATAAACATAGATACAAACAACTTTTGCCTCGAAAGTGATTCTCAATAAAACCCAGTGGTGTGACACTGTACGCAGGAAAGCAATGGTGCCGACAGTTCAATTAGTAGCTCATCTGTCCTAAATCAAGCCGACGAGAATAGCAAATTTTTAATTGGCTATGCAGAGAGTTAAGTGTCCACGCTGGGAAAAAAACATGAAATACCAAAAATACCACTGAAAGTCGTCGTTCACAAATCGTTGAAGTAGTTGTTGAAATAGTTTTCAAGCTTCTACGCCAAAACTTTTGTTTTGAGCCCTATACTTGCAAGGAGGGGAGGACTAAGTAGACTTCTGCTACGAAAGCACAGAAAAGTCGACAATGTACAGATACGACGCGAAAACCCGACGAGCTCGGTTCGATGCTCGATAAAACGCGCCAAGTTGCTTGTACCACATGCGATAAAAGCCAAAACTCCAGGCTCCTCGGGAACGCAACACCCAGGTGTAGAAAGTTTTTACTAAAATATATATTTTTCTCTTCTTTGCTTTGCTCTAGGTCTGGGGTCTCTCGCCGCTGTGGCAGCAGTTGAGACGCCAATCGTCGATCAACGGCGACAGCGACACCTACCAGTCCTGCCGGACCGAAACCGCCGTTCCGCTTCCTCCGCGGGGACGACCCCGCGGCGCCGACATGCCGTGAGCCGAACCACCCTCGCATCCCGACGTGCCACGGAATTTGCCGGCAGTCGCCGACTGAGGTGCTTCGGCTTCGACGCACGTTTACGGCTGCGGCGTCCGTCGTTACTGCGCCACCTCCTCGACCGCGGCGCACCAGTTCGTTTCTTCGGGCCACGTTTAACGTCCAAGCTACCTCGAACCCTGTACCTTACACGGAGTAATTCCCGGTAACACATGTACTTTGCAATAATTAGAAAACATTATGGATGCTCTCTAATCGTGCGACATGGGTGCCGTACTTTCTGGACCATTTCCGCATCCGGTGCATAGACTGCAGTCTAAAATATATGGTACGCGTTTTTTTAACTTCAGCGTCGTTCCCTAGATAGTTCAAAGGCACGATAGTTGATAACTAGAGTGCCGCATTAACGACGGGTGTCGCTGTTTAATCGGCGGCGATGTTGAAACGCCCCGGGGTGCTACGAGATTGGCGTGCGACTGGTTTTAGCGATTGGTGGCTTTTAAAACCGAGTTTCAATCGTCCGCATGCCAAGGGATCGCGCGGCAGAACTCTTACGTTACGCCAGAGGTGATGGTTGTTTGTTTCGCTGGGAAGCAGTGAAAGTGAAGGGTAGCAAAGAAAGCACATTCTCTCGCCTAGTACAAGATTCTCGGATTTGCATTCATTTTAAGATGCTACGAGCAGTTGCCAAAAATTCATTCACCCGGATTTCACTTAACATACTTTGGCAGATATGTCACATCATTGCGTGGATTTCTAATAAGCATGGTACCAAATGTTAGTCTCGTCATTCTACCTCGACAAGCGCCTACTTACCACTTGCGTCAGTCGGTCATCTTTTAGTGTCGTTACAAGTAACGTGTCATTGCTTTAGTAACTTCTTCATTCTTAGAACTCGAGAAATATTGAATCATTACGACGGTAAAGCTACACTTAATGTGTGTATTTAACTAATATTTAAAAAAAAAAAAGAATTACAATTCCATGTTTTACTAATTGACAGATTACAAAAGAGTTGTTACCAAACAATGATGCAGGTGCATTTTATCAGGAACAAGAACCACGGTTGTCGCTGCACCAAAAACGCGACAAACGTCTCGATAACTTGTCGACCCCCCGTGGTGCCATGCGACTGTGATGCATTTGGTACCAATTTTCAAAATGACCTTCATAATCTATTGTACATCATCTAGAGCCTAGGCACTCGGTTCTTAGTGCACATAGCAGCAATGTAAAGCTTCATAGTGATAACAGCCATGTTACTGCGCCATGACCTGAAGTTGCCCCATGTTCTAGAGGAAAGAGCATTTGCTCAAGATGTGTTCATTGCCTTCACCCGGCTTTCCGTGTGCGTGTATTGCGTTCACAGCTCTTTATCCTTAGCCGTGTCTTTCATCACGATTCCTGGCCACTCTTTGCACGAGATTAGAATCCCCTTCTTCTGCAGCAAACTCGTTAAGTTTGATCTTGTGGTAAATGTACTTAAATGAACCGTAACTGGTCGAGCGAAAACTCTGAGGGTTCGTTATTTTGAGATTATTTTTCCAGCTGACCCCATGCTAAACACGAACTGGCGATACTAGCGCTCATATTGACACTAGTGTCTATTTTTGAAGTTTAAAGGACACCCTAAAAACATTGTTAAAAAAAAAACAAAAAAACTTTAATGTTACAATTTTTTTACCCATGTTCTTTTTCATCCCATTTCTGTCAAAGATTTTAATGGATTTCATCTATGTATTTTATTTAATATATAACTGAATAATGTATAAAGCATTATAAACGGATTTGCCTTCTTTAATAGCTGTAGCATCTTTGCATGGTTGCATAGCACCACAATACATGCGCCTCAACAGCAGCGGTTGCTGTTAGTCTAGCATTGCTCAGTGTAACAAGGTAAAAAAAGGTGCTTCAGTAGCAAGCTGTCTCACCTTTGTGTCCAGGTAAAACTGTTCATTACAGCATGCTGTCATTCAAATAAGGTTACTGGTTTCTGGTACATAAAAAAAATGTTGACATTTATGTGCTTGAAATTTGATTTTCATGAAAAAGAAAACAAGAAAAACACTGAAAATGTGGTAGGCCTTTCAGCGTTTCATTGCATTATTGTTGATTACCTCTCATAGACATCAGTCATGATGCGGATAGTCATCGGTCATGCGACGATTTGTTACATTCTGTACTATTTCACTACCAATTGCTTGTTGGCACACCTTCTTATCCAGTTTTGTAAATGCGGTATTGTTACATTGAGTCCTGTTGGTAATCGAGGCCAGAAACCAGAAACCCCACCTATAACTACTGTACTAGTGTTAAATCGGCGCAGTGTCTGTTGTGCATACTTTGAACTACTCTTGCATCCAGACGCGTTGTTTGCATGCTGCTGTGGCACATTTCGTGGAAAGTTTATTTCTCTGCTTTGAGACGATTGGGAGTGGCAGGACTGCCTTGACAATGCCTCGCACCGAAACTGCCTTTTTCGCCTATTGCATTGCCACACACTGCCTTCTGTCTGCCACCTCAGGTTGTATGCCGCTTTAGCGTTGAAGTTGAACTTTAGCATTGTGCTAAATGCTTTCGAGCAATCAATAAACGCCGCATTTTGTTGCTACATGTGTTAGCCGTGCTTTTTTCGCCAAGGCAAGAACATGCCTAGCTCGGATGCAGTTTCAGTGGCCAGCACCACAACCACTGTTGCTTTGGGTATGGACGGGCGTTGTATCAGCTTCTATCGACGGCTTAAGGAACACAATAAAGATGTGGTGAACGCTAAATAAGCCACGAGAGGCAAATCCGAGCTGGTTGACCGCAGCTGGACAATGGGGCGTGTGTTCGACTTTAACAATGTCTCGACCTTGGCTCGTGAGCAACGATGGGGTCCGAGAAAGTTATTGGAATCCTGCTTTGTCCGCTGTGACCAGAGGCGTGCAATGCCAACTGGGGCCCCCTACCAGATTAGTGAACTAGTTTGTGCTCCCGTGACCATTGGGTTAGTGTATACTGAGGATGCCATCTGTGTAGGTGGTAAAACGTCTATTGTTATTTTTTGTGTTGTAATGGCAAGCCCAAGTTAACTTTTTGACTATGATTTCCCCTGGCTTTTGAGTACATTCGCATTTAGCCTTTCCCTGTTTAAACAGCCAGTTGACACAACCCTGCAAGCTTGAGTCAGGTTCCTTGATCTGATTAACCGTTAACCAAATTAGGAAGTTCAGTTTTAAAATTGCATCCAGTTATATCAAAAAAAAATTTTTTTTTTTCATGGGTCACTTTTTGAAAGCTTTAGTATTCAATTTCGTGCTTAGTGTACAACGCTGCCAATGGTACTGGCATGTGGCTTGTCTCGCACACACATACACATAAATTGCAAAATCAAACCACACACTCGCACAAGCAGGTTCGACAGAGTTGCACACAAGTACGAAACTGAGCATAGCAACTAGAAAGCATTTACCAATGCACCGCCCAAGTTCCCATGTTGCAACACTAACCAAGCAACCCCGTGACTGATTTGCTTTCCCTTGCTTTAATTCATGTTAGGACATGCCTAACATGAACACTTACGACCATGATTTGTTACCACACAAATTACAGTCATGCAGCTTGCTAGGGCCAACAGGCCAGCTGGGGATTGTGCATGTGCACACGTAAACGTTTGTACACACACCCGGGTAAAGGTGCACAACCGGACAAACAGTAAGGACAATGCACACGAGACAAATACTGGAATGCTGTATAAAAACGATGAAACAGGAGAATGTACAACCGTAACAAACGAGCATTCAACCAACACACAACACCCTTCCCCAATGCGTTCAGCACGAACGATCACTGGTCGGCAGTGAGTGCAAGATTGCTGAGCAAGTCCACCGGCCGTCCCCCCAAAACCCCATTTATAATGAGCGAGTCTATGTCCAAGGTGATGATGAGAGAGCTGGTGAACAAAAATCAAGAAACCCACCCCTCACACTCGAGTCGCCAAACATTCACAGAACAAAAACAAAAAGCTCCCAAATTCCACTTGCCCTCGTATGATGACAGAAGCGTTGAATCGTCGTATCGAGAGCTTAAATGGAGCTCATGTTGCATCGCAAGCGTCTCAGCGTACGTCCATTCTGAAACGCTAGGAAAACGCCGAAGAAGTCAAAGAAGCAGACGGTGAAAACAAGGCGCTCCGGTACCGTCTCGAGTAACCAATCTCGAACCTCCATTATTTTTTTTCCCCAAATCTGACACTACTTTGAGAATGTTCGGCAACCCGTGCCACACTTTGAGCGAAAAGTCTACGATGACGACGATGATGGCATTGATGACAGAGTTTGCGGAGAGCGGGGGAGGCTACGCCACCCGACAACCTTCGTCCTCCGGATTCTCCGGGGCGCTCGTGACGGCCACTCTGCGTGGATGCACGGGACTACGCTGGGGGTAGCCGTTGGACGTTGCCCCCGGCGGGGCCTCTTCTAGGACCCTGCCGCCTTGGACTTGCCGCAGGAGGCTCAGGTAGCCCGGGCTGGAAGCCACAGAGCCTTCGTTAGGGAGGGCTCTTAGTAACGATCCTTTTGTAAAATATTGACATAGCTGTAGTGGCTACCGTAATATCCCACGTCATCGCCCATCCCCGAGTCATCACCCACCCCCCTTTTCGGCAAATAGTGATTTCCAAAAAAAATACCCGAGTGACTGCTCACCCCTACAAATACCCCAACTCGGGATCCGCGAACATTCATCTTACCCGAATGATGCTGCAACGGACCTTACAATTGGAGGACGTCCGTGACAAAGCAAAATGAAGAAGGGAAAGGCACTTCACTTTGTTTACGGATTTTCACCACGATTTCTGCAACTCCGAAGTTGTATATTCGTGCAAAAGGAAAACAATGCAGGCAACAAAATTAAACTTTGTTTTATTACAACAAGATTTGTTGAGACAAAAGAAAAAATTGTTTTATTACAACAAGATTTGTTGAGACAAAAGAAAAAATCAAAGATAGCACAAGCAGTAACCCTCATAGATTGCGAGGTCAGCAAATGCAACATATACTGGAATGTAACCGGGGGGTGTAAGGTCAAAGTCCGTTTCCACCGAAATAAGGTCACCACAAACCCACTCCTTTTCCCAGTATGTCGTGGCCGGGGTTAGCAAGGTTGTGCGATGTTTCAGACAAAAGCCAATGGGCAAATAAAGATTTGGTGAAACGCCATACACAGACGTTTGTAAGGCGTCCCATTTCGAGCTCCGCACTCGAAATGGGGGACACCACGCGTCTTGCGTGGTGTCCCCACGCCAGACCTGCCAAGCTCTAATTGAGCAGTCATTGTCTAATTAGCAATAATGTGCTTAATTAGAAATTATCGATCGGTTCGTTGAGTAGTCAATGAACCCGTCGCACCGAAAGCTACGTGCAGCACAGTGTCTAAGGTTGAACAGGCATGCAACAACAACTTGTTATTTCACTGTTTCTCTCCATTTCTCGGTGGAAACTTTTGGTTGCGGAGATTTCCGCGTGTTTACGTGTACTGTATGTCCCAGAGGAATACAGTCTAAGCTCATTACAACAGACCTGGTTACAACAAACATTTAGATACAACATACCGATTTGTGAAGTTCTGTTGGTTTTCCTCTACATACCATTGACTCAACTTCATATTTGCATACAGCACACTCCTCTTACAACAGCCCGAAATCTTCGTCAAAATCAAGGTCTGTTATAACGAGCTTAGACCGTAGTTTGGAAGTTTGGGAAAACATTTGGGCCTCCCACAAAGCAAGAAACAGTGTGCTGTGTGCACTGTGCAGTGTTGAAACTTCTTTGGAGAATATGCTACCTATACATTCTGGCAGCAGACACTCACCACTCGGCCGAGGCCCAGAGTAGGAGCTTGTCCAGCGCTCCAGGCGGTGCCACCAGGGGCGCCACCAGGCAATCTCCCAGCATCAGAGCGAGGGGAAGTGCCCAGTCGCAGCAGCGTGCCTGACACAACAACACCAAAGATTGCACCTTTGGGGAACCGTTCACATTTCCAACTTTTGTTTACAAGAAGAGTTAAAAAAGAAATAAACAAATTTCTTTTAGTTATCTTTAGAAATGGTGTATATTCAATGAAGAACGAATAAATGAATGCCACTTCCTACATCGACCACATCTAGAGTAAAACAATACATATCCCAAACAACACTAAAAGGATTCCGTAAAAAAAAAAAAAATTTACAGGTCACCTTTTGAGTAACGAGAAAAGTGGGCTCTTTCAAAAAAAACGAAAAGAGCCCTTCAAACGGTTTTACCAAGTACGAAGTATGTTCCTGGCTACTGAGTTGGCACTATACTTGAGCAAAACAAATTAGAGCTGCGAGTTAATAATTACGAGGTAAACACGAGCCAGATCTTTCTCCTCGCTGATCCCGCCTACACTGCCCATTCATGAACAGAATCAACATCCAAACATTCGAGCAGTTCGGCTTTCAAGCCAGCATTCGACGCTTTTCATAAATCTGTGCAATTTGCAAAATCAAAGGACACGTGTAAAATCGCACAACAAACTCATTGTTTCCCTAAAGACTGATAATCAAAATTTTAAAAAATATATGGCAAATTGCAAGGCAATTGTGTTGCATACACGAAATGTTCCAGCATCCCAGGCGTTTACATCGTGGTTTAGCAGTATGTCTCGCCTGTTCAGCCAGACGCCTACTATGTTCACAGCACTCTTCGCGAGATAATCTTAACGCGTGGCACGTGTACACCTAAAATGATAAACCCGGTGATCTTCCAGAACCTTCTAACCCACTCCTCCTCTCCCACCTGGCCTAACCCTCCTCTCCCACCTCTGGTCACTTTACCTCCCCGTTAACCAATCAGCGTCGAGCTCCCCACTCCTCCTCACCCACCCGTCAACCAATCAGCGCCGAGCCTCGTGGCCATGCTTTTATCCAGGCTTCACTCCTGTTTTTTACGAAATGCCACCAAAGAGCGTTTCACATAAACGGTAGTTGGATACAGAGTAAGGATGGCAGGGAAATCTTGTAGTTGTGCTGCCTCCAGCACAAGCTTTCCTTGGTCACTGACAAAGTGAAAACAACAGAGAGGAGCTCCAGCCTACCTTCCACAGCGCTTCGTGCAGCCAAACTATGGCGGAAGGCCGGGCGAGGCTTCTCGTACCTTTCCCAGCGCTTGCAGCAAGTGCCGAGCCTGCGCCTCGGCCTGGGGCGGTCCGCGCCACTCGGCCACGCCCACGGGGGCGGAGACCTCCTCTTCCTCCGCCCACCAGCTCTCCTCGGAGGTGCTCTCCGAGTCGGCCGGCGAACCGCGCGTCACCGCCGCGTTGGTCCCGCCCCCTCCCGGAGCCTCCGGCCCGTTACGCTGAGCGGGCGGGGCTTCCTCGTTGCCCATGGAGGCCACGCTGCCCGTGGGACTGGCCGCGACGCTTTGGGGGAGGGGCCACTCGAAGTCGGTGTGCACCGCCTTCAGGGCAACCACGAAGTCGTCCACTCGTGCCGCTCGGAGTCTGTTTGGATGTCGGCGACGTTAGTGTTTGGTACGCGGTCAGACAGCCTTTTAATGAACTCCGGGGAGCAGATTCAATATGACTTGTACAGGTCGCTTCGTTCTATGAGTTCGGTATAACAAGTCAAACGCGTGAAACTTCGTAACAGTGCATCCGCAAGTCGCATGCGGTGTTTTAGGAAACGACAACGGCAAAGCTGGCGGTGATCCCTGGTTTGCAAGAGGTCTGATATATTGTGACGTCGGTGTAATTGGAACAATTTTTATCTTGGAAAACACTTATCAAAAACACAACTTGGTAACGAAAGGTCAATTCCCAGCCTTTACGACTCATACTACCTTTACTGGCTCATTACAACTGAACAAATAGGCCGAGGTATACAGCAGTTCAATCAGAGAGTGGCATGGTTCACCTTCAGAGTGAGCTGCACAATCCCCAAAAAATTACTATCACGAAAAAAATTGAAGAGTTATTAAATACAAGATAAATACAAATTTGTAAGCAGCAAAATCAATATCAACGAGAAAAAAAAAAAAACAGAAACAACTAGCATGAAAATTTCGGCAGAGACACTTAAGACTGTTTACATGTAGGAATGCAAAAGCATTCCTACACGCAGCGCATTCCTACAAGCAGCGCGCCACATCTTCCTTTTTCACACGGCGCTCTGGCGGCGACTTTACGCTCCCCCACTGCACAGGAGCGGCAAATCTTGCCGGCTTCACGACGGCTTCCATGACTAAGCAGCTCTGTTGCTATGCTTTTCTTTGTGTATTAGTTCTGAGGCGCGTCCGCTTTGACCCTGAGCCCTCCGTGACAAAGCATCTGCGTCGTGCTTTCTTTGTGTTTTATTTCTGAGGCGCGTCCACATTGACCTTGGGCGGCGTGTGCTTGATGACATATTTTTATGACCATCTTTTGGGCACAACGCCGCGCCTTTTCGCGTAATGAGACAAGGATTTCGCCTTAAAACAAGTACTTCACTACAAGATTTAAGATACTCAACAGTGAAATCACACTTTCGACAATGAAATGCTAGTTCCAGGCTCTCATCACCCTCCCCCATGCTTGCTGCAGGGTTATGGTAGAGCTGGCATTAGGCTGCGATCAGACGAAACAGCCACACCTCACCTCTCCTTCTCCAAGAAGGGTTCGAGAGGGAAGTCCAGGTGGGCAGCAAAGGAGCCTAGTTTTCGTAGCTGCCCGGCAGCTAGAAGCTTGCGTGCATGGCGAGACAAGATCACCTCCATGAACACCTGATTCACCGTGTCTTCGTCCCTGGGAAGCCCATGGCAAAGGCCGAGGTTAGGCAGCGGTTTGGTGGCGCCCAACGCAAGATTTCGACGAGTGTGTATAGTAATTAGGACGTGCGGGCAACATTCGGAACACGTGTCTTATATAAGCGTCACGTGCAACGAGCCCTCTAGTGTTCACGAAGCACCCACTGCACGTGGCACTTATGTTTAACATATGATCCAACGAATGTGCCACATTTAATGCTCGAGCACGAGATGCGGCACACAAAAGGGTGCTAAAAAGATGATTCTGCCTGCCCGTAATCTCAGCAACTGGAACCTCGAGTTCAGACATGTCTACAACTTGTTACGTCATGAAGCACGTTCATACTCTCAATAGGTTCTCCAAAGCTATTGCACAGTTTATGCAAACAACCCCCACTGATATGAACACCCTTAATCTCCGATGCCCCCCCCTTTCCGACCGCTCTTTTGGGGTACCTTGAAATAAACAATGCGGGGTGGAGAAAATGCACAGTGGGAGAATGCCGCCTGTCTGTAGAAGAATGCAGTCTGTATTGCCTGTTTTCTGTACATATTTCCTGGTCTTTGTGTTCTTTTTACAGGCTTTTTAGGCATCATTTTGAAGGGAGTATGACTAGAATGCCCCTTTCTGCTATCAACAATGTGTGTTAGATTGGTGACTGCTCACAGGACATAACCACAAATAAAAAAAAACACTCAACTCTAAAATAAACTTTTATAAAAAACAAATTACTACTGTAATATCTTGAGAGATAGGCCAACCTAAAATCGAAAGCAAATCGGATGGAAATACGGACTGAGCTAACTCTCGGTGTGCAATCAAACAAAGTTGAAAAAATGTTAGTTTTAGATTCTGTGATCTGCAAAACTTGTGATTGCAGGGAGAGTCACAGAACCAAAGGTCACTGTCCTTCTTTTTGACAAAAGCTTGTTTTGGCACTTAAAAAAATATTTCTTGGTGGTTCAGTGTCCTTTTAGATGGGACTTCACCACACTTGCAAAACCACCATAGGAGCAATTTACCGAGGCAAACTCGACAGTGCCTCTGATCCCCAAAAGGAGGGCCCACTCACGTAGAGGGGCCCGTCGGGGATCGGGGCGGTGCCGTCTCGGTGTCGGCGGGGTCGATGGCCCGCAGGAACCGCACCAAGTCCCTCGCCAGCGTCCACCGGGCACCGTCCAGAGCCGCGCCCAGGAGCAAGGTGGCGTGCTGCCTGCTCACCAAGGGAACCTCCAGGTTCTGCAGCACCTGTCGACGAACAACCGTTCGAAGCATCGCACGTGTGGCACCGCAAATCCCTGGTCAGAACTTAAAGGGGATGATGCAACAATTTTTGTACTTTCAGTGAATACTGCCTAAAATTGTATCCTCCAATGTTTGTAAGCTATGAAACGCAAGCTAGTCTTATTCTTTAGGCAGTAGCAGTCGCAGAAGACGACGGACACCGCTGTCAAAGTTTGAGAGCTCTCCCCAGCGTAGAGGAGCGCACCAGGAGGTAAGAGGCCGCGGTGTCCAGCTGCCCCTGCAGCAGGCACTCTTGGAAGAGGTCCTTGGGGTTCCCCACGGCGGCAAAGAGGTGGGGCCAGAGGGCCAGCTCCGTCTTCCGGGCGCACTGCACCACCGTCTGGAGGAACACCGGGAACTCCCGGATGAAGTCAATCACCCGGGGCAGGAGGGCATCTGCAATCGGTGTGCCCAGATTTCACGAGAGGCACGTCGAGACACCGATTGTTGGATGCCAACATCAATTTGTTGGCACCATATTTAAAAAGTGCAACGAGACACAGAGAAGGAAGATAGCAAGAGACACGGTGCTAATTTACAACTTAAGTTTATCTCTGTAGTCACCTCGTATATGTTACCAGTGCCAACAATGCACAAATGAATGTTTGAGGGAACATCGATAAAACATAGAAACGGTTATATCAGGGCATCTTGCACTGCAGGGATTTTGGTTGTGCCCCCCTCTTCACTGGCTGTGACATGCTAAACAAAAACAGAGACCAGATAACACGGGAGGCCCGAGAAATTGGTTGATTGGAATTGCAATGTGTCAGCACTCCCTCTGTGTCACTGTCAGATAAAGAACTACGGCTTCTCGACCGAAGGAGAGCCGCTTGTGTTCCTGCCGATGTAACAATATTGTTTTTGTTGGCACCGGTAATATATATATCTGGTGACAATGAAAATATTTGTTCGCGTCTCGTATTATGCATTACCAACTGGCCCAATTTTCCAACCTTATTGGCATCACCTAAATCAACTTCCCCGTCAATTTATCGATCAAGTGACACGTTTTAGATGGAGGATAGATCTGTTCCTAACTTTGCAAAACAATTGGGTGGCTCCTCAAACTGGTCTAACTTCAGCTTTGAGAAAAGTTGTTTGTGACGTCCCTAGCTTTAAAGAAGATAGCTGGTGCATGCAACGAAATAGCGGGACTAAAAAAAAAATGCTCAGAGTTTAGAGGTGAAATTTTTCATCACTTGAGTTTGCGAGCACTGAAATCTGCCTTGTCCCTAAATGACAGTTCCCCTAGTGACAAGGTGTCCCCTAGGGAGAATATAGTCGGTCACATCGCAGATGCAAGGGAGTACAAGAGCAAAGTTTGGCATTCGTTTTGGGCAATGACACACACTGTCTCGATTGTCCCTATTAGCACTCACCCGGTATGGGCTCTGACGACATGGCCTCTTCCTCCAGCACTTCGTGAAGCAGCAGTTCGAGGGAATGGTGAAAGTAGGGCAGCTCTGCACAGCTCCTCGCAATCTCCCAGGCATGGTAGCCCAGGCTACAGAACACATAGCAAAAGCACCCGTCACTTTCCAGCGTGTGCAAAGAGAAGTGTTCGCTAAGTCTCATGTCTAATGCTGCTGTTCTTGGTGAAACAGGATGTATTGGTCAAAAATGAAAAAATCTTCGAAGTGAGACGAGTGCGTATCTTTTAAATAATCTCTTTTATCTACATAACCTTAGGCACTTCTTTCACATGAATGACTTCAACAGTATCTCAGGGATGTTTTTCATCCCTTTTTGTGCAGTTTCAGGAGACATTACATTTAAAGCTACACTTAAACAAACTTAAACAAATGTTTCATGCCAGAACCTTTAAATGGAATAATAAAAAAAAAAAATATTTAAAGAACCCAGCAGAGAGAAAGGGTGAAAATCTCTGCATGTTACGACAACATCATCGCAAAATGACATTGAAATTAATCCACCATGCACGGGTGCGACAGACAAGCCTTACATCTTGCAACTATCCACATAAAAATATTAGGATTTGGCTTAAAAAGGCACAGTGGAGATGCATACAGCTGTATTACACTTAGAGGCAGGTGTAAGCTCGTTCGTGGCTACGAAAAGGCATTAGATTGGAAGCGACCGGCTTTGACATTTGGAAGTGCAAAAAGCGAACTCACTTCCTGCAGAGTAGCTGCCGCAGGATTGGGTGGAGGTACACTTGGCTCTGTAGAGACAAGACAAGGTGTCGATGATAAGCTCTACAGCACCAATTCATAACCTGAATTTTCATAAAGAAGTGAGGGCATAACATTCTCGCATGCCTTGAAATACAGAGCCCAGCTTTACAACGCCTGAACAGGTGTGTTCAAATTCGTCAGAATGGAGTTGTGGATCTCATTGGATTCTTATGGCTAGGCTTGGTGACTATACCTGCAACACTTGGGTTAAGCAATCTCATTGCAGCAGAGTGATAACAAGATGTGCAGGCTTCAACATGACCTGCGTTTCTTATTCTGTTAGCAACTAGAATGAAAAATGGAATGATGGGTGGAATCCAGCGACTGGAGACTACATAATTCACGAGTGGGAACTCACCGACTTGGAAACGACGCAGAGGGGATAGGTGTCGCTGCCGCACAACGCCGTGTCACTCTCGGCTCCCAAGACGACTGCCTCCTCGAACAGCACGGCTGGAAGGCAGCCATGGTGTTATCAGTTGCTGCTACCCAAGCTCCGAGACGGTATACAAAACCTCTTTCAAACCTTTGGTACAGTCAAAGTGCACGCATTGCTTGTGTGCAGTGAAGCTGGTGCAAAAAAAAAAGAATCCTCATTTGGAGAATACTGTTTCCCAACTGACAACTGCCAATTACATTGAGTCTTCGTGACAAAAGAGAACCATGTTTTTCTTATCGCAAATGGCTATATGCTCAGTCTCTGCCTAAACATAGTGTTAGCGGTTCGGACCAGACGCCAAAGCTTCGGAACTTACCATTACCCGATTCGGAAGTTATAAGTGATTTCCAAACATTTCAAAGCGATAGCTTTATGGGTGACACTTTGCAGAGATTTCGACCTTGTGGGTTGTCGTCGCCGCACGCGTGAAGAATGGGAAAACCTTTTTTCTCTCCCCTCTTGGCACGAGGAGAGGGAAGTCGGGACCTCCCGTCAGCCGTGCCGCGCGAAGAGAGCAAAGAGGGCAGCCCTGGCGTCTTGCCAAGAATGGCGCGACAAAGGGAGAATCTCCGTGTCGTCTGCTTGAAAGACTTGTTTTCAAGCATTACTCGCATTAGTATGTGAAATCCCACTTTTGCAGTATCCAATCGCTACGCATAATGTTGGATGGTTTTAAAACTTCCACTGCAATCTAGGGTGTTTAATTGACCTTCAATAAAGTCATTTCTCTCTCCCCACCGCAGTTACCCACTTACTTCACAGATCACAGAGCGCTGGTGGCGGTCATCAGGGGCAGTCACGACGCCAACCACGACGGCTATGAGAATTAGCCACGTCCCACCTTTGTCCTCAGGTATGTGACGGCACAATTCCACCCGCATTGCGCAACCGTGCTACAGTTATCACTTTTGTTTCTTTGCACATTGTGGGCAAAAAATATGACTTATTTAATAAAAAATTGTTGACCAATACAGCCCGCAAATACATAGAGATGAATGGTATCTGCTACCACGAACAAACCCTATTTTTGCATTCAAAGTTACAGAAAATCGCTCGCAACTTTTATGTCGAATGATGGTAAGTTCCCAAACTTTGGCAAATGGTCCTAACTGCTAGTGCCACATTGAACCATTGCTTTATCTCCATCCACAACGACGGGAGAAAACCAAAGGAAAAAGGTGCTTTCGCAGCTCGACTAGCCCTTGGTACCCCCACAAGGCAAGCAACACCAACATAAGAGGGAAAAAAATATATACAAACCTTCATATATACAAAATTACTGAATGCTCGGGCAGAGACTGAGCATTTGGTAATGCACACTTTACTTTTGCGGCAAGAAAAGATTTGCTGCTTTTCGCCACTGCGTGAAAAAAAAGGGACAGTGATGGCTGTTGCTGAGCGTACACGAAGTGACGGCGATCGCTGTTGCTGCGTGTACGGGAAGAGGCACAAATAGCTGTTATGCACGCATGAGCACATGTGAAAATGTCGATGCCGCAAATGCAGCTGGGTGATCCCCATAACAACTATTTCTTTACGACACTGTTCGCTTCTTCCGAAACACCCTGCGGATCGTCCGTTCGACGTAGTTCACCCCAACACCCTGCTCTTCCCAAAATGAATCGGTGCTAAGAAACATTCGCAGATTTCGTGTAAACACAAGTGCAGCAAGATCTGCGGACCGGCGATGCGTTCCACCGCCCGTCTCGCCACCAGCGGGTCTGCTCAACCCACCTAACGGATAGATGTGCACGGCGATGGGCAGCATGATGCGCTTGGCCATGAAGGCGTGCCGGACCCCACCCGGATTTCCGCCGGGGGGGAAGAGGGGCAGCCAGACCTGCATTCCCTGCACCCCGCAGGCTATCCACAGCGCCTGCGTCAGGTGGGGCATGCGGGGGTCTGGACGGCCGTCCGCCACCCACACCTGCAAGGAAAGAATCGAGCCACTCCTTCAAACCGCCGCCACAACGTCCCGTACGCAAAACGCGTCAGCTCCCACGACCTCGATCTAAGTCCGCTTTCTTCTTAAAAGCATCCGAGACTTTGCCCTCTGTAAAGGTTTGTGTCATTCAACATGTGTGGGGTGTCATTCCTACGCGAGGTCTCGAGAAGGTAGACGGCTCACCCTTTCGACGCAGAAGGCGAGGACGGTTGGGGCACTCCAGTGACGAGCGGCCAGTCGTCCGCCGCCGCGCGGCGTCCCGCCCACCGGAGTGGCGCCGCCAGGGGTGGTGCCAGAGGAGGCCGGGTCCTGCTGCAGCAGCACCAGACGTCCGCACACGTTGAGCAGGACGCCCAACTTGGCTGCCGCACCCAGGTGGGCCAGGGTGGCCGACACCACACACAGCGGGTGGGGCACCAGGCCACCCAGGTCAAGCTCCTGGAGCCGCTCGAGTCCTGGGCACCGCCCGAAGTCATAACAGTTGTGACCAAAGTGCTACATTATACCAAAAGGTAACAGTCGAAGTATCGTAATGACCCGAAAGACGGTTCATACTTAGAAATTAAGATGTCCCAATAGATGGCCCATCCCTGAAAATTGTTTTATCACAATCGTAATCGATGTACCGTAATCTCCCAAAAAATGACCCACCCCTAGAAATTTTGTTCTATTATGATATTATCGGTACGAAGTTTGACTTATTCACATATTAATAAAGAATCTGACATTGTAAATATATTTACGAGATGACAGCCAACTTTACTGTACAAGGGTCCCACCATGTCAAGGCTGGTTCCTATTCTCGCGACTGCTTACGGCCAAAGAGGCTGAAAACTGGTTTTTAAGGCCTTCGTGACTGCTTACAACCGCGGTCACAAAAGGCTTAAAACCGCTTTTTAGCCTCTCCGGTCATAAAGAGTCGCAAGTGTGCGGACGAGCCTTAGCAGTGCACTTGACGAGAGAATAAATTTACTCCCCCGCAGTTATTTTGTGCTGGAAGTTTGACCGTAGAGAGTCTATGACAACTGCGTTTTCCCGATTTCACGCATGGTCGTAAAAAGGAGAAATGGCCAACATTGTGCTTTTGGTGAATTTTGCTAAAACAAAGCGGTGGTCTTCACCTCCGAGGTGTATCCTATAGAGGGCAAGGCGTCCGTCGGCCGTAAACACCAAGAGCCTATCTTCCGAGAGGGACAACTGAAGGACCTGAGCCTCTAGCCGTAAAACCCGCACAAACATGTTGTCCAGCTTGGTCGAACGTGGATAGAGGCGTACCTGGGAACGACACAAGAGAGAGCAAATCAACAAAGGTTCGAGTCACAACCTACAGAGAGATATCTCGGTGAATGCAATAAAAACTTCAGTCGTAGTGCCGTTGCAGTCGTAATGCCTTCCAAACTAAAAAAGAGGCACATTCAATCGTAATGCTTTTCAACCTGAAATATATCATCACAGGGCAAAGGTCAACCATGAGACAAATTCAGTCATAAGAACGCTGTCAGTCGTGGTGCCTTCATGGCATCACGATTGCAATGTGAGTGGCACATGCGACACATTCAGTTGTAAAAAATTTAAGCTGAGATATGTCAACACACATCCGGTCGTAGTGACACTGTCAGCCAAAAGCGCAGCTGCAGCACTGTCATGATGTGACAATAAGACATGCGGCATGTTTAGCCGCACCGCAAATGGCCATCGCAGTGAGATTGTCCACTTGAGATCTGCTTTTGACCGTAATAGGGCACCCGCAAAACCAGTTCGGTTTGCACATTCTGAAGATACTAAGAGTGATTATGTGTTACCTCTTTAAATTTCTGACTTGACAGTAGAAAGTTTGGCTTTTCTTCTGCTTGCTTAAAGTTATCCCAGGCAGGGCGAGGCAGAATAACCCACCTCATCTGAACCATCGCGGAGGTTTATGCAGCCGACGACAACCAGGGACTGCCACCAGAGCAGACCACCCGTCACCATAAAATCTTGTTCCTGAAAGAGACCAAAGTAGGAAAAGCGTAATCAAGGCACATTCACACAGAAAAAGAAAATGCGCGTTTTGGTCCCGTCGTTGAAAAAAATGAGGCGGTCACACGGGGTCTCCCAACGTCGGCGTTTTCTCGTAGAACCTCGCGTTTGTTGAGAGAACACGGAAATATTTTATTTGTCTGCTTCGTACGATCATTGTTGCCTTGCTTTCGTGATTGCATATGCGCTCGGAGACAACCGTCTTCAGTGAATGGACAACGGCAATGATTATATATACATTTACACTCCAGTGGTATGCAGCATGTGAGAGGCACGGACTTGAACGCGCAGCTTCAGAAGGTTTAGAAGGTGCTCTTTAGACGTGTCTTTGTACAAACCAAGCTTAGCACGGTGTTAGGCCCACGCGTCCGTACATTTGATAGCACTGCACGCAGCCTGTGCGATAGTGTCTTCGAAGGGGACCTGTTGTATTTCGTGGTGGTAGGTGCACACAAAGAATGCCCAAAACACATTAGGGGTGATCGCTCTCGCGCAGTCGGAACACGCGTCAAAGTTCGTCGTAGGTGGCGGCTTTCGCGCAAACGATGAAGACTAGTTTCACGGCGTCGTACACGCACAGCAAACACTGCTTATGGTCAGAAGTTCCGACTGGCTTGCTTTCCTCCACGCTGAAATGCTTCCAGCCATGTTTGGCGGCTGCCCGCACCCCTCGACCCCTTTGGCTTTTTGGCCTTCCCAGCCTATCGAAAATAAGAACAACAAAAATGGGTCCTAACCAAAAAGAGATAACACGTCGCCCGCTGATAGGCTGAAGCGCGCGTCGAGAAAAAAATTGGGTCCAGAGACGTTGTCTCTCACTGTCGCCCCCCCCCCCCCCCCCCCCCCATCCTCGACGTGCAACTTTCTTGAATACAAAAACAAGCAAAGAACTCGCCCCTTGGCACGCATTTTTCCCCTGCGTAAGTGTGCCTTCATGGCTGCAATATTATTCTAAGGCACTTTCTACAAATCCTCAGTCATATTTATAGGCAAACATTTGTGGGTCAAATACAATAAATATCAGAAACTATAAACCATTCCACTAAGGGCTCTCCGGACGGTGCCATTTTGTTACACTGCAGCGCCATCTACACACATCCAGGAATTTCAATGAAATCGTCAGGGCAAAAAAGGGAAGAGGGCACATGCCCAATCCCAATAACAGACGACAAACTGGTCGTCTTCCACGGGCATTTCAGCCGATTCGGCGGGGTAGAAGAGGCAAAGAACATGTGCCGCCATTCTCGTCGTCAGGCCAGTTCCGGTGGGCTGTACCGCCGAAACTGCTTAAATGTGGAGGCTCATTTCTTTCTCACCTCTCATCCCAGTTAAGCGGACCACACTTGGCATCAACTATTTTATGGTAGATTGTCAAGGCTAGCCTAGCTTCCATAGTGCTCCAACGCTGAGCAAATGTGTGACTCCGTTAGGCATCTCATTTGCACAAGAGTATGTGCGAATGAGACGCAAGACAAAGGCAAGTGCTCTTGCAGCACCGTAGAAGCTATGCTAGCATTGAGGGCATGGCACACGATAGTCGACGCCAAGTAGAGACAATTCGAGAGACGAATTCAGCAAAGATGAGGCCGGGATTCTGCTCGACTCAAACAAACACCTATCCCCAAATTTCGCCACAATTCCTCACACAATCTCACACTCACGGCTTCACTTGATTGGTTCCTACGTATATTGTCTCAAAACATCAGCAAATTCAGCTTGAACCTGTTTTCAGCTAAGAATATAATGATACAAAAAACACATCTTTTTCTTTTACAAGGAGGACTGATGGCTAACTGTGTTAGCACACAGCAGTTCGGTGCATGTGAAGTGAAAGCTTGCACTGCAGAACCCATGAATCCTGGGCTCAATCCCCAACCACGCCCTCAAGCTTGGCGCAGTATGGCCATAGTAGCTTTGCGCCATAAAGCCCGTAATCAATCAATCAACCCAACCACGCCCATTTCAATCTGGATGAGCGTCATACTGGCATGTGGTTGTGAATAACTACTGCGTGATGCAAGGTAAATGCCCTAGTCTAGCAGCCGTAGAGCACCGGAAAATGTAGGATCTACAGAGGTGGCACCAAATGTTCATAGGGGCTGACTAACTTCCCTTAGTCAGTACACACGACACTATACCGTCACAGGGTTCCCTCTACTGAAAAATATGAAGCGCAATAATAAAGTAAACAATGTTGTACAAGATAGGGTCTCACCTGAGTCTCGTTGCCAAAGAACTTCCACTTGTTGTGGGTGAGAGAGCAGTGGGCAAAACCCCCTCGCCCAGCCACTGCAACGTGATGGCACTCCGTGTCGATGGCGGAGTACTGCAATCGGACCGCCAGAGTGTGGACATTCGCCACGGGTTGCCCGTACCCTAAGCTGACACTGTGACCCACTCACCCGAATAGGCCAATTGGCTGCCAGATAGGTGTGAGGAACCTGCATCAAAAATACAAGTCGTCGTGTTGCTCCCCAGTTAGGACTAGTATTCGTAGAAGAAGAGGGCCCACCGTTGTCAAATATAAACTCCGTAAAAAGAATGCAACACTGAGGACAAAACAAAATACAAGTCCCCCCCCCCAAAAAAAAAAGTTTTTTTTTTTTTTTTTGTTACAATAATAAATTATGCATTGCTAAACAGTCGCTCTCCGCTCAAATGTAGCACTAGCAGTTTGAACCAAATGCAAAGGTTCAGGAGTAGCGGTTATCTCATTCGAAAGTTACAAGTGATTTCCCGAAATTTTCAAGGGGAAAATGCCGGCCGATGGGCCTCTCGAACAGATGGAGCAGAATGGCGCCAGTTACCAAAAACTGGCCGCGATTATCTCGTTTAAATTTTCAGAAAATCACTTGTAACATTTGAATGAGATAACGGCCAGTTCTGAAACTTTTGCATGTGGTGTAGACCACTAGCTTCACATTTGGGTGGAGAATGAGCTTTCGGCAATGCATAGCTTACTTTAACAGCAAAAAAACAAAACAAAAAAAAAAACTGTAAATATTTTGTGGGGGGACACGCTGTACTCTTTATTTTCGGCAAGATGAAAACCACAAATCTGCTTTTCCAATTAAGCAGTTAAAATTAGTTAGCGAAGAAAAATGGCTCGTAGTACCTCATAAATATATTAGCACGGAAGGCAAAGAACAAGGGGGGGCAGGACAGGCACTACTTTCAACTGACGTTTTATTGAAAAGATAAAGGAAGAAAAAGACGAAGATAAATTTGTATAAAAAAAGATAAAAAAGAAAATAGTCAGGAGGATGCACATAAACACTGAGTTAATAAAAAAGTTAATTGAAAAATTAAAAAATAATAAAAAAAAATTATTTAAAAATTGAAAAAAAAAAAGAGTTTAGCAATAAAAAAGGAGGTATCATATTTTTATGATATAAACTAGTGATGGGCCGAACTTTTGCCGAATCGAAAGTTCGGTGCCGAATCTTGGGATTCGGCAAAGCCAAACTTTTGCTGAACTTTTCTAAAGATTCGGCAAAGATTCGGCAAAAATACATTGTTACCAGACTCGCTGATATTTCGTTTTTTTCTGGCGAAAAAAAATGTTTTATGTTTCTTTCTTTCTTAACTTAAATGCAACATGTTTACTAAATAAGGTGATATTCTACAAGATAAATGTATCGGTGCCGTTTTTGTATGTTCACTGGCAATTTTAGTGACTCCTTGCGGAAGTGTCGTGACAACGAGGTTGGATAGAAGCGAGCATGGCGCAGTCACGAATCACGCTACGAGAGTTTCGGTTTTGAGGCATCATCACCGCAAGCCTGCATGTGTGTGTACATTGCTAAAATGAAGGCAATAACGCTGCGTTCTTGCTTTCTCTGGGAGTCACCGTTTTGTGCGCAAAAACGAATGCAACGGTTGTTGAGCCTTCACCAGGAGAATGATAATATTGTAAATATGCATATTCTTCGATTTGAGTCACTTGACGTCAGCTTAGCATGAAAGTGCGGCGTCCCATATTCGCAACGTCTTGTGTTTAGCCTTTAAAATGCCTGTTTCTGGTGTTAGGACACACACAAACGTTTCGGAAGATAGAGAGAGTGAATGTCGGATGTGCAACGTCGAACATTATAGCTCCGTTTAGTTTTATGCAGGTACGTGAAAATTGCGAAATAACCCTAATTGAAAAAGAAATATTATTTTGTTTGGGAACACACTACTCCCGAGCCGAAAACAGAATTATTATAATTGCGAGGAGTGCTTTAGAGTAATTGTCGGCCAATGTCTCAAGGTTTCAGAATGCACCGCATCATTTGTCACTTGCGCAGTGGACTGCGTAAATTACTGGTTGACCTTATATTCTTGAGGCAGAAAATATTGAAGAGAACCTCACTCGCTCACGAACACATAGTTACCGTGTCGCCTACCCCACACCACGCCGTAACCACTGGTTGTTCTACACAGCACGATGGTAACCGCACGACTGCACGACTGCGTCCATTTGCAATCCAAGGCTCCGTCGCGTTCTTGCGCGTGCGCAGACATTTGCCAAAGTTTTGCCGAATCTTTGCCGAACTTTCCTGCAAAAGTTCGGCATTTGCCGAACTTTGCCGAATCTGAAGTTCGGCAGATTCGGTCCATCACTAATATAAACCAACTAGGCCACTAACTGGTTTTACTTTAGCTAGTAGTTAGTAGCTTGTAAAGTCAAAGGATGCGACTTTGAAACCCTAAAAATGAGAGTTGTAAACTCATTAGCAAAATTCTTTTTACCAGTCAGAATGTTAGCTCTTTTGTTCCAAAACTATTATTGTGAGTACCATTATGCTCACAGTAATAATTTTACTAAAGCGCAGAAAGGACGTGCCCTTTTCACAGTTTTATCATTTCCAAGTGCGTAGCACACAACGTGCTTTTATCCACTGCTGCGCAATCTTGAAACAAACAAACAAACAGGACTGCATCCAGCAAGCTGCAGCATTAGTATGAGTGGTGCAGAAATTAAGAAAACACATATAACAAAAACAACAAAAACAAACCTACTAAATTGCGCAGTGTTCAATTCTTTCACTCATTCATTTTAAAAACTTTATTCTCGCGCCGTAAGCCCTTCCACTACCACTGTGCAGAAACGACCTTCAGAAAAAAAAACAAAAAAAACACGCTCTGATGCATTGACGATAGGGCAACGACTTTCAAGGAACATGGGGATATTCCCATATCCAATTGTGACGTCGTGGAAGCATCATGCTGTCACTAGCCGTGATCCTGGCGGCGTCACAGCATCAACGTCACAGCGGCGGTGTCACAACTGTGGTGTCACGTGTCAGTGTCACAGCAGCTCTGTCACAGCAACAGTGTCACTGCAGCAGTGTCACAGCAACAGTGTCACAGCTGCAATGTCACAGCGGCAGTGTCACAGCGGCAGTGTCACAGCGGCAGACAGTTGTTCTGCTCGCTGCAGGTCGCTCTCCAGCTCGACAGCCCTCAGAAGTTTCGGCAGACGGGAGCAGTGACGCCGCGACGATGGAGACACTCGCATTCTTTCGTGCTTCTCTTTTCGGAACTTACGTGCCCAAACACCAGGACCGCGACGTCCGACATTCCGGCCTTCGCGACCTCGTTTGTTGACTTTCAAGGAGTGGTTTTGATGCATGGGCGGAACGGGACGCCAAACGCACCGGCCGGAGACGCATTACGGGTGCCGCGGCTATGCCTAAGAGGCCGTGCCGGGCAAGCTTCCCCCGCGACGAGACGCCCTCTTACCAATTCCACGGTCCAGTGCTTGTTCCCGCGAGATCCGTCCTGCGACCGGAGTGCGTCCCGCTCTGCGAGGTCCGACTCTGAACTCACGAGCACGCGGTCCGCCCCCTGAAGCAACACGTGTCGACCGCCACCGCTCTGCGGGAAACGGAACTTTTTAAACGTTGGCGGGTGGAACGACGGAACACTTTAAAGGAACGCTAAGCTAACCAAACGAACATTGTTTTTCTTTAGTCATGAGCTTCAATGAGAGGCATAGTACGTCACAAAATAAAACTTCTACAGAAGAAAAAATATTTTTCGCTCCATATTTACACACATTGCAAGGCTTACCTAAGCAATTCCGAAAACGCTCCTATTTTGAGGCAGTCTTCAAATAAAAGTTAGTTTGGAAGTCACTCCTAACTCAAAATGAGTAATGCAACATAAATACCGTGCTACAGTCTTTCACTTACGGGAAAAGTTCATTTTGTACGAAGAGTGTCCTATAGAGGCATTTGAATGCTTCTCGAGAGTTCAGTGTCCCTTTAAGTGTAAAAAACAGGAATTCTTCAAGAGTGATTCAGTCTCCCACGATTATATGCACTTAAAAGCACTCTGAAACGACCGAGTGATCCCGTCTCCCATCTCCTCGTTTTTGTAGCGGTTCAGAAGCCTACAGGCCCAGTTAAATGGTACTAAGCGTCACGATGAAAAAGGTGGAGCATTTTGCTCAAAACAATGCATACATCGAAAGCATTAAACGTTGTTACGAACTGAAAAATTACTCCACTCGGGATAACTACAGAGATGGCAAAAACAGAAATATAGCTGTACACCAATTTCAAAATGATCATTGCAAAATGCATTGAGCCCTTGTAAATTGTTTCTTTGGCACAGAGGCTCATAAATTGGCCAGCAGAATAAAGGAGCAACATGAAAACTTGGAAACAGCGTGAAATAAACGAAGGACAAGAACGAGAAGTGAATGAACACAGCGTTGTGTTCGTTCACTTCTTGCTCTTGTCCCTCATTTATTTTGCACTATTTCCAAGTTTTCATAACGCACCAACTAGCCCAACTTCACGCCTTGTTAAAGGAGCAACCGTTCCTATTCGTCTTTCACGACTACATTACTTTCATAACGACAGGGTACTGAGAGAGCTTGCCATTTACGCTAGCAAACGACTAATCAACAGGGGCCTCTTCCCTTTCTTTTTCACCGAGGCGTGAAAAGGAAGAAAGGGCAAGATTTTCAGCCAGGCTGAAGAGAATTCTACAAAAACAACTTTTAAGTACACTGCCCAGCGGTCCAAAAAGAGAAAAGAATGCTGAACGGTGCGGTAGCCTTACGGGACCGGGGTTGACGGTGGAGGCGCTCTTGACAAAGTTCATGAGCATGACCTCTCGCTGCTGGGGCTCGCCACTGGGAGAGGCCACCATCCACAGGTGGTAGCCTTCGGCACCCCACTCCTGCGGACGGCGGGTGGCGCTCATTAGCGGGGGATCACTGCTGCCTTGCTGAGACAGCACAATAAAGATCGCTCTCAGTTATACCCCCTTTTTTTTTTTTTAACAAAGAAAAGCTCGGCACTTGCTTTTGTACTCGAGACTCCAAACTGTGGGTCACCTCCCTTGGTTGTGTTCAGAAACCTTCCTTGTTTATTTTATGAAAGAAAAAAAAAAAACCACTGCTGGTCATATCTTTGTTTCTAGAGCACCTTACCAGCAGTCCAGAAGGTAAACTCTACCGACTACCCGGGGCTTTTTTGACATTCTAATTTCCGAGTATGTCCTGGCAGCTTTGGTCATCACCACCAATCTCGCTCTTCATAGAGCTAATGTAGAAAATATGCTCCGCATATACCAAAATTCCATTAGAGAACACACACACTAGATTAGCGCATACCATTATAGTTGTACCATTTCAACCAACTTCAGACGTCCAAACATCTAGCTGTAACCAATTACTCTTCAAATGCAAAGCAACAGGAAATCTCCTACCTGTATAAAATAATCGCTTACCATATCTAAATGTAAGTCCCCTTACAGTTAATTAATGCTTAGAACATTTAGCTAGTGAAATAACCCCGTGGAAAGATTGAAAATTAATTCAGATCACCTCTAAAGCAACTGAAGCTGAAGCCCAGCTCACAACATTCAAACGTTAGACTAAAAGAACTTTTCCATCTACTCTTGTCCTCAGCCACCTACTAGTTCGCACATCTCGTACGGGCAACGAAAACAAAAGCGAAACATTGCAAGAGATCTTGCACAGTTGGGGACGCTACTCGGACGCCACTCGCTCCGACGGGTCGAACTTGCGTCCAGCAGCGCAACTGTTGGTTGCTTTTGAATGAAGAATAGTCGTAAACGAGCACCGAAAACCCAAACTGCCTGGATCAAGCATGTCAATACAAAGAAACATAGTTGGCAAAGAAACATCGATCAAAATTAGACATGCGACTGTGAATCGTGCGAAAAGAAGCAGCGGGGAGTGAGGCTGTTCCAGAAGCCATTCCGGAGTGGCTTTTACATCAAATGCCGCCACCCTTGGGAGTCGAAGCGCTCCATGCACCGTTTACCCAACGGGCGTTCGCCGCAATACATTCGGACTGATTTGCGAATCGTACTCGTTCGCACAAATTTTAAAAAAAAAAAGAAAGAACTTGTAAAATGAGTGCCGGCTGAACTCGTAACAAGCTTAGCTGTTCTTGATGCCGCGATTGCTTCAGTTTGGTCAATGGCGGAATGCTTCAATTCGATTACAAGTCAACCTCCCCACTTCAGATTTTGAAAAATTTAACAATGGGTCAACCTTCATTTGTGTAAATACGTTATACAAAAAAAGGGCCGTACAAATGTATGTTACAGAGCCACGCAAACCCGCCTCCCCACGCACCGCCGAGACGACGCGAGAAAGCCCTCCCTGCGGGGCGCCCTCCCAGTTGAGGGAGCAGGCCAGCAGCGATCCGAAGACGCTCCACAGCGAGAAGCCGCCCCTGCTCCACGCCAGGAAGAGGGCCGCTCCGTCGGGAGTCCAGCGAAGCGCTCCGACGGGGCCTGCCACCGTGCCGGCCTCCGGGAAGTCCTTTGCCGACAGCGCCAAACGGTGCGAATGTGCAAACTGCCCGCTCGCCTCGTCCAGGTAGCACACCGTTCCCTGGCCGCTGCGACGCGTCAAAAGTGGAACCGACAGTGGACCGTCGTTTAGGAATTCAAGCGATGTCGGTACTGACATTAGGATGCGGCCATCGTCGACGATGTGCCGCTTTAATGGCCGATATTGGGGTATCACTAAAGCACATCTGTGCTCTGTTTCTGAATTGGAAGTCCTATTTTTTCAACGTCGTGCACAAAATGGTACGGTTGACTGGTACGGCTATGTCTCATTGCAATGAACATATATTTTTTTTAAATATAATAACTGTTTTATTTAGCAAATAACGTAGTACAAAAGAGGAGGTCTGCGTAAACCAATCTGAGGCTTGTGTGGTGTGACCTGGCAGTAGAAGCACGTCCTTTGCATTAGTAACAATACAGCATTGAGTTAACACCTCTGTCCTCCACAAAATCGTCCTTAAAGTGAGCCGTCCATAACGAGACAAAAATTCACCCACAGCAACTATTGACTATGGCCTAAAAACGTCCAATGCTACATGGGGATGGCAAGTAAACGTCTCATTTCACGTAAAATTTGAATCGAGAGGATTTATAATTATTCTTGCTATATGCAAATATATTTTCTTCAATCACGTTTGATTATTGCAGGTTGCCAGGTTATCTCTGCTTAACATATAGTCATGCATGCCAGTTTAATTTTGAGCATTTTACTGCAATGTAGACCAGGCACACGCGTGTACCATCCCACTTTGAAAATGAGCTTTCGTCCCAACACGCGGCTGAGATATTTGTACTTTTCGAAGTATCGATCACGGCGGGATAGCCCCGTTGAGTGCGCTTCTTACCACGCACCGGTGCACTGCGGAGAAGCCACACCCGCCAAAGCATGCTTTGTGGGTGCTGCTTCCCCGCAGTGCACCAGTGCTCGGTAAGAAGCAAACTCAAAGGGGCTAACCTGCCGCAATCAACACTGGCATGAGATGACTCACTTGGCAAGCCCAAAGGCTACCAGGCGGTAGCGATGATTCACTGCGGTGACAACCGCCTCCGTGACGTCGGGAATCCACACGGCGTGTGCATCCTGCACATTGCACATTTAGAAAAAGAGTATGGCCGGGTCTCAGTTCAGCAGACACATTCTGAAAGTGAATCTAAAAGTATGCTACCCTACCATAAAGCTCAGAGAGAATGCACACCAAAAATGAAGAGATAAACTACGAAAAATATAGGGTGAGCGATGTTTGAGGATGCAACAGCAAAGTTTTACTAAAAAACTGGTGATAAGTGCAGAGGGGGTGGGGGGGGTGGGCTGCCATTGCAAACCATGTGAAACAGTAACTGACACCACAGATTGTGTACACGAAAAATCTGCGTCTCATGGTGTGATAAGTATGCAGGAATTTACTACAAACTCCTCTGTCACGAGAATGGATACCGCAGAACGCGGACGCAGCACATTCGCCTTTTACAATACCACGCGCGCAAATCGCAGACAAAAATGCGAAAATCCGCTACAAACGCACGTCACAGGAACAGATTCTGCAGATTGCGAACACAAGAGATTCACGAATCACAGTGCAAGAAACACAAGAGAACCCACGGAGAACACGCTTATCACACGTATCAATACCGCAGATTGTGTGGTTGATGCGGTTCCCTTCAGACGTCACATGATCGATATTCAGTCCGAACCCTGGAGTGGGCGATGTTTCTGAATTTTTAATGTTACGGATGGGCAATCTCTCAGGGGGCGGGCATTCGTTCGGAACTTTGCGGTATATAAAAGCAACTGCAATAAAATTTGTGGGGAAGGCCAACATAAGAACACAAATACGACCCAAAGATTTATGGCATCAAGCTTAGAGTATGATAAATCACATGCAGTATGCCACACAATTAAACCGTAAAGGAACAGCATGACGAAATTGTACAATGCGACTTGAGAGAGTTGTCCTCCCTGTTGCATTTGTTATTTTACAAAAGCCATCAGCCCGAAATGACATACTTTCACGCTTTGTTCTACGTTTTGTTTTGAACATTTTGCACAAATATGCACATCAAAATGTTTTTAAATCTTCAGGTTTAACTGTTTTATTGTCAGCATTTAACGTTGGTGCAGCAGCAATGTGAACGAACTACAGCAAACTAGCACTTAATACTCAACACTACTGAGCAAAACTTCGGAGAGGCAATGGTTCATCACGTAATTTCAGCCTTCACAAAACAATGTGCCCATGAAAACTAGCCGGAAAGAACCAATGAACAAAGCGTATGTGTATGCAGGGCACTGACAATTTTACCAGGACTGCAAGACCATTTTTGCACAAGGTCAGCACTGCCAAAGTTCTCACCTTGGACTCAAACTCATGGCTGGAACTGAGAACGACGGCTGCACGCCCGTTGCGGAAGACGACGGACAACGCGCCGAGCAGAGGCAGGTACTGAACCTCCTTAAGCTCGAGAGATTCTCCGTGACCGCTGGGACCTGGCGTAAGAAGTGACCGTCACATTCGGAGCACCAAATTACAGCCGACTATGCGTCAGCGCAGATTGACCGATTGAATGCTGTTGAGCAGCCATCAACAACCTGAGTGAACGTTCAAAATTTAAGAGAGAAAATTTCCCCCTTTCTGACACCTTTGTAACGCACTGCTGCATTTAGGTGAAAGTGCTCCTCAAAAGCTGGCAACCATAATCATCCACTCTGGTGAAAAAAAGCTACGGCTTAGGAATTGTTAATCAATTCCTAGTCGTAACCGACTGCTGAATCATCCGTCTTATATTTCGTCATGCGTTGATCATATGTATAAAGTAGACATTCTAAGATGTAACACTAATGCACTCCGAGATTCATTCATTCCGAAAACTTTAGAGGATTGGAACCACCTTCCCGCATCTATCGCAACAATTCTTCCTGACCATTTATTTAGAACTGCCACAAATAATCTATACTGCTAAGATTGAGCTGCAAAGTGTTCTACTGCCACTAACCCCCACTCCCCTTTGTAATGCCGATGGCCTTGAGGGTATTTCAAATAAATAAATAAATAAAACAAACTATTGCATCACTTCTACTACCAGTACTTCATGGTTTCTTTTTTGATTGTTTTTAATGTTAATAAAATAAAGGCTGTCATACCACATCTACTACTACCAGTGTTTTGCAAGGTTGCTTCTTCGGTTGTGTTTAGTCACTCATTTGTCGGGAGGTGTTCGAGATAAACAAGGAGCTTGTCAAAGCTTCCTTCTTAGATTTGGCTCAAGGTCCAAAAGACACTGCAATTTAGTTCCATAATACTGTTTTACAAACCATGCTGTAAGCAAGCACTGTCCTCCAAAAACGGTACCCTCTATTTAATGCCCAGATCAAATCCTATGCAAGTAAGTAAAAAGTACTGAATACATGAAACCACAAAAATATTTGTTTTCAATTATGACTAACTCGGTCACTGGCCAAGTATTAAAAAAAAAAAAAAGAACTGCAACCCCGAATGCACCTTCTCTTGTCAGAAACTATGTCGACAAAATGTTGTGTTCTGGGACACACACTATAATACGAATTTCACGTTACAGGGAAAGACAAAAAAAAACAATTAACGACGTACGGGAAGACGAGGAGCCTCCGCTGGCAAACGGAATGTCCCGCAGATCCAGGGTCAATTCCTGCCGCTGAGAAGCGTCCCATCCCACCCGCAGGAGGCAGCCGCTCGTGCAAGCCACGAGAAGCTCGTCTCCGAAGTTGAGCACGCTGCGAAAAGACAAAGGAATAAAATATTTGACACTTCCGAGATGCCGTTTCTCTAATTGCTACGACCACACGAGCTACAGAGAAGGTTGAATTCTCTCGGTTAAGACTCGACAGCGCCCGGCAAGCTCACCACCGAACAGTTTTTAAGCTAAAGTCGGTCGCTCTCCAAAGTTTCCCATCCCCCCCTTTCAAGATGGGTATTGTCCCCGCCTCGAAGAAAGACCCTGTGCCTCCTGATTCTCTCTTCTACTGTTCTAAAGCCAGAGTACAGTAAAATATAAATGAAAAGCACAACACACTTATTTGGAGATAATGATTATACTTGCAAACAACTTTCTGTTGCTATGCAGTCAAAGCGATGGGTGCATGTGCACTCACACATCTTAAGTGCCCATTAAAGTTGTGGATGTTCACCCCTCGCTTCTGAAATGCCACAGAGAGTTGTCCGTGAGTATAGTTTGCGTGCAGGGTCTAGGTTACCATTGGTGAAAACCTAATGCAGAGAAAAAAAGCAACAGAATTCCGGAAAATAGTTACTGAAGAATGTATAATGATAATAAAAAAAATATTTAGGTGCTAAATCTGCCGTGGCTTCACCAGTAGAGAATGCTCCCTTTTATTCTGGCATCCCCCTTTTTCCCTAGACCAAAAAAAAAACAAAAAACATGCAACCAGCTTCATAGGCATTTGTTTATTTTTGTTCTTAAATGTTTAGAGAAATTGCGGTGGCTTAGCTCGGCTATGCCAGGATATACGTAGCGTGAGCTTATGTGCACAAAATGAGAGGCGCTATCAAGCAGCTCCGGTACAGCGTCAGACTTGGCTACTACGCAACAGAGGCGCACAGCTGGGCAAGCGGCGGCGCCAGTGCGTCTGCCGCGGCTATGACGTCGCTCCTCTGGAATGCGCAGACTAGAGTCACTAAATAAAGCTTTATTTAGTGATTTTAACGCAGACCAACCAGGTGCGCGCGGCAACGGCAGCTCGGGCGCGCCAGCCGTGCGCCGTGTGACGTCACTGCTCCTCGCGCTTGCGCAGCACGGCTTTTTGGGAGCCACGCGAAACTGCTCAACCTTGGCCAGTGTGGCTCACGCTACAATAAGGCTAAATTTTCCCCCGCTGATCAGGAAATTGAGCAAACTACACTTCTAAACCCCCCTACCCCAAACTCAGAAAAAGACAAAATCACAAAATGTCCTACCCTAACTACAGACGACTTACCTGGCAACATCCACCGAGGTAGAGAGATGACTCGACGGAGCCAGCTTGAGCGGGAGAACACGATCCTTCACGAAGAGCTCGGCGCTTTCTCTCTTTAAAGTTGCTTGGCTGGAAAAGGCACAAAGATTGATAAACGAACCCCTAGAACACCTGGCCGTGTATTCTCTCCGTAATACCTTCAAATATTGTTATTGTTATAAAAGAAAACTTAATAAACCTCTCTGCATTGTTCTTAGAGGCCAACTCTGAGAGACAATAAAATCCAATCCACGTCACGCGTCAAAACCCGTATCAGAAAATCGTCCGCAACTATGAGACCAGCTAATTTTTGCGTGTATTCTTAGGAGCAGAGGTCACAAATATTACAAGGGCATGCAGAAGTATACATTTTCATGGAACTCATTCGCTGAATATCGTTAGCACGAAGTTTGAGTTGTGTCCGCACGTCGCCGTGCGGACACAACTCGTTACGTAAACGCCCGGCCAGCAAAATGCAAACGGTCTTAGAATAAATACTCTAGCGACAACTAACCAGTCAAACAATATGCAATTCCGGGACAAGCTGCCCCCACAAAGCCCTCCACTCTTTCCACTTTAGCAGAGCAAATGTTGCGAATGCTGGAGCAAAGGAAATCCAACAATCACGGCAAGCAGAGAGCTTTTGTGAGGGAGGCCTGTTTCGCCATTCCAAGCCTGCAAGAGGGTACGGCGGCACACCTTTCAATGCTGCATCGATTTAAATACCAATTCTGCCGAGGCGATTGTCCTCACCTACTGTCCAACTGCTCGAAGAGCGGCCGGCTCGACTCATCAACGATCACGTCGTACAGGAGAAGGTGCCCTTTGGTGGTCTGGAAAGGTATGTTTTTGCGACGAAGCAAATTAGCGCCGCTAGAGTAACCAGCAGAATGAGGACGGCAGGGTGCATCCTTGGAACGCAAGGTGTGTCCTTGAAACGCATGAAGCATGTGCTTCGTGCCCTCCGGCACGAGCTCCAGGCTCACAAGGCACCGAAGTGATATCGAAGAGAGGAAGCTCGCGCTAGAGGGAGGACGACCGAAGGGACTCCCTGCCGCTCTCATCCTGCTGCCAGCGACTAGAGGGACCGCGGTGGAGGTCTGGGTGGACTTACCAAGATGGCCAACATCGAAGAGTCCCTTTTCCACACGACCTTCACGTTGTGGCCGTGCTTGCCGAGGGACTCCGGTGTTTGGACGTGGCAAGCGATCTGGACGCATAACTGCAGTGGACAGTTTCGTATTCTGAGTTATTGGGAAAGCATATATACTCCCGACATCTGTCTATTCGAGTTTGTGAACCAACGTTTGGTTTCGGTAAGTTTAGGCAGGGGAGGAGATATGCTTTGGCATAAAGCAAGTTCGAAGAAACATTGGGATATTCAGATATTACAAGAACGTGACGTAAAAGGACGGTGTTTTTTCCGTCCTTTTTTGTTGTGTTCCTATAATATCTGAATCGTTTACCCACCCACTCGCCCCGAGTAAAAATATGACATCAAGATATGTTTCTCCTAAAAAAAGAGCATGGGTGAAGGACAACTGATGCTTGAAACTCGAGACTGAAAGAAAAAGACAGAAGTAATAATGAATAGCAAAAGTCATTGCTAGTCTTTTACAGCATCAGTCAAGTTGTAGACTTAGCAAGCTTCGTAATGAAACATCGTCCGTCACTTTGAAATTTGCCTGGGAACACCATTCAAGACTAGGATGATGCACCAAGGTTCGCATATAAGTGTAGAGATGCAGTTTTTACTTCAGAGGTTGTTAAAAAGCTGCCAGCTGAATTAAAGATCAATGAGGACAGAAACAAGATTAGGCAATCGGTATGCAGTCAGCATGCCGATATGCTAGCCACACCCACTAGCCCAACACGGAGGTGTTGCTTTGGACAAGGGCAGCATTCTTGTGAGCCACACTTTCCATCAAATGTTGATTTGACCAGTCCAGTGTGTCACATAGGAAGTGCCAGTCAAGAGTAAATTGCAAAGCAGAAAGACAAAAAAAATTAATTTCTTTTCTACGAGGTGATGGGCCCTGAAGTATTTTGCTCCAATGTATAGGGTGTCCCAAGTCACCAGGCTCGATCTAAAAAGGAACGTAAAAATCTACGTCTCCCCATAGCAATCTAAACTTTTAGAAGTTTCACAGGTAGGTCTTTTTCTTGTAAAATTATAAAGCATAGCTCCCTTTCTGTAAAAAAAAAATAGGGCCAAGAAACTTGCCAGGGTCGACGGCGGGCGGCGACGCAGACGACCAAGTCGAGTGGCGGGGCACGCTTGACGCTCATATTGATAGATGGCGCTACCTCTTTATCGAGACAACTTGCGACCATCGTGGTTTATTAAAATGAACATAATCCTTTTGCAATGTACCTTCGGTTAAAAAAATTAATGCAAACAATAAAGGCAAAACTTAAAGAAAAAAGAAGCGCGTCTGCGTAACGACAGCGCTTTAGCTGCTAACAGGTGTCGTCTGCTTTCTTTCGCTGGTCGGCTGCACCTTTCGACGCTGTTCCCAATGCCATCTATCAATATGCGCGTCAAACGCGTCCCGCAACTCGACTTGGTCGTGTGCGTCGCCGTCTGCCGTTGACCCTGACAAGTTTCATGGCCCTATTTTTTTACAGAAATGTAGCTACGCTTTCCTCATTTTACAAGAAAAAAACTGACCTGTGAAATACACCTTTGATGAAAAGTTTTGATTGCTACATACGAGCATGCAGGCATCAATTTTTATGGTCCATTTTAGATTGAGCCTGGTGACATGGGACACCCTACATGTCCCCGGGCTTCCTAAAAGTATACTTGCAGACGGGAAAGGAAAAATCTCCCCTTTCCACATCACGAACCCAAAGAGGGAAAGGGAAAAGATGTTCAGCCTTGCCGGTTCGCTAACGTCACCACTCACGAACGATGGTGCCAGGAATATTTGAGCGTGGCAACACGCGACCTAACACACTCCATGCCTTCAACCTTACCAACATAAACCGTCGTAGGGAGTGACTCGCCCAGCCACGAGTATGTCACCAGAGACATCATACTAGTAGTTGTCAGACAAACCTCGACGAGAGTTGGGAAGGACTAGAGGAGCTCGCTGCCGCTGGAAAAAAACCGCTCACCTTCTCGAGCCAGATGCTGATGTTGTCTTCGCCAAGCACCGCAAACAGGGATCGGTTGTAGTCAGATGCGACGCACACAAGACTGGAACTGGCACCTCGGTCAATGTTGAGGATCTGCGGCCAGCGGATCGGAAAATACATGGCAGCCGATATTGTTTGCCTACACGCTTGACGCGAGGCCAAGTGTGTTTTTCTATGCGGACATGAGAAGCTCCTAACGTTCCTATTGCTCGTGGTTATTTGCAATACGAAGTGGTTAGCTTTTTTTCTACACGAAACACGAAGTTTCACGGGCCACCAGATGATTGCCCGTTTGCTTTCTGCTTTTCCTTTTTTTTTTTTTTTTTTTGCTAGGTGGTGACATTTGGTGGATTTCCAGGTTCATCGATGTCATCAAAATTAAATTATGTTGACAAATATTATTCGTCTTGTATTAGTTTTGTGGCTTTAATTATTAATGTAATACATTATTTTTCAAAAATTGTGTTCATTTTAACGCGTGCATTCATTCATTTGCACACTTGTGATGGATCGTCGCTGATCTAGCTGATCTAGCCACTGATCTCTAGGATCTAGCCGATCGTAGCCATCGGCAATCGTCGAAGCTGTTTCGCTGTTTCGTCCGCTGTTCATCGCTTGATTGACCTCATCAGTCGCCAGCTTTAGTGGTTTTAGCAGTATTAGCGTAATCCAGTTCAAACCCACTGAGACCAGAGTGGAACCCTTCGTCGTAAGGCGAACTTTGATCACGTGAACTTGGTCCGGAAACGAGCGTGAAGTCGACGATGGCGGACTACTCCAAGAAAGTCCGCTCCAAGAAGGAAAAGTCCGGCGAGATGGTGGCCTACAGCGAAGCCGCGATGCGCCACAATGGTGCCGTGCTCGAATACTGCCGCACTTCTTTTTCCGCTCTTTCCGGCTGCACGGCAGGCATCCTGGGTCTGACGGGCCTGTGGGGGTTCCTGTTCTACTTCGTGACGGCCGTGGCCCTCTGGCTCATGCTGGTCGTCCGCACCCTGACCACCTGGCACAAGTTCCTGCGGAGCCGGACCACCTTTCTGACGACCGGCCTGTTCGGAGGACTCTTCACCTACGTACTCTTCTGGACTTTCTTCTACGGCATCGTGCACGTCTACTGAACTGGCCCCTGCCTCGGGGCCGAACACCCGTGCGCGGTTTCGCGCTATTTCGTAGACAAAGCTTTTTTTTTTTTTTTTTTTTTTTTTTTGCAGTTTTGTGAAGCGGTTTATGATGGTTAAGGGTATTGATGTCGCTGGCCTGTAATAAGGCGGAGCCTCCGGGGCAATAACGGGGGCACGCGTTAACCCATCCGCCGCGCTGCGCTTTACGCCGCTTCTCGGCGACAGTCTGAGGCGGCTCATTACAAAAAATGTGAACCCACATGTGTGTGTGTATTGGCCCACACGTAAACGCCGCTTGGCGGCGCCCAACTATTCGCTAAAGTATCATTCGGTGAACCGCCCCCTCCGGAGGCTCCGCCTTATTACAGGCCAGCGACATCAACACCATGGTTAAGTTCACGTCTGTAGGCTCATCACACAGGTAGTCTTCTACTGCTGAACCCACATTTGCAGTCAGTTTCGAAGTCGGGAATGAATTTCCCAACCTTGAACATGGTCAAAACAGACAACCATCTTTAGTGAACTTCAGTGTCACCCTTTCTCAAGCTACTTGAGAGCCGGTACCGTTTCTAATGTGTTATAACAGCATCAAAATAAACCTGAATAAAATAAAAGAATATATTGTGTTTTTAACCTATCTTCCAGCTCAATATATTTCCGTCCTCTTCTCACAGCTGTCTCGACCACCAGGTGCCATCAATTTCTAACTTGGTCATGAAATAGCTGCATTTATTTTCCAAGTTTATTGTGCTTTGGTACAAAGGTACAAGTGTCCAAATTATGCACATCACTTTAGTTGTGATTGCATAAAAAAAAAACTCGTAACCTGCCAGTGAAAACAAGCTAGCAAAAGAACTCTGAAAACGTTTCCTTGATACTGCATTCATTAGCAGAGCATGCAACTCGCCGCGTAAAGCTTAGGAGCACCAGCACTCAAATCGCCAACAGTGGACACTTCCGTCCTAAATTCCTCGCATACCCAAATGTGGCCATCGCTTTGAGGGCCATTATGGTGGAATCTGCACAGATGAGGGCTGCAGCAGCTTTATTGCAAAGAGGACGTGAGTTGTCTATATGGGCTTGATCTTGAAGTGGAGGCCGATGAGGGAGAAGACGAGACACTTGAGGTCTTGGACCAGGTAGTAGAAGCAGCGCAGCCCCTCGGGATCTTTGCTCTGGTTCACGTCCACCAGGGAGCCAATCTTGGACGTCGTGAAGGACACGTGCTCGTCCCCCATAACTATCTCCAGCTCCTGCAAAGAGTGAACCCGTTAATGTCAAGCATGGTCGAAGCCAGGTCCACTACGGTCGCCGACAAGGTGAGAACTGAGAGGTGTCTCTTTCGTACACCCGGTCCGCGCTCGTTGCCTTTTATCGTGCTCCGGCTGCGCTTGTACGCTCCGGGTCCACAAGACGCCGAGGCGTTGTAGAACCTTTCAGAAATTCAATGCCTTCTGATGGCTCAAATATCAACCTAATTTTTTGCATGCTAATGGCAGTTGATATCTCGTACCTATTCATCGATGGCAGACGTAGGAAAGTTAGGGTGTAAATTTTCTGTACAGCTCTTTCCATCTCTATTCATTTCAGTGGTGTCGAGAAACTATTACTGAGTACAAAAGCACTTACTCAAGCAAGTATCTTGATAATGTTCACCACATTTTATCGTCGTGAGTGAGAAAGTGGTTCAGCAACCCTTTAAAGCTGGCCCACAAATTTGCGCGAGTGTGAGACTGCATTGTGCACTGCCATCTACTGGGCAGCCCTGAAACTTCTGATTGGAACATGCATCTTCTATTTTTCTTTTTTGAGTACAATGTTTTCACCGCGGGCTTTAAACAGTTTTGACAATGTTGCAAGCAACCATTCATCGTAGATAGTGCGGAATTCCGTCTCGAAAATAGCATTAACCCTTTGATCCAGCTACGTGGCAGACCAGAAGTGTGCCACAGCTGTTCGATAGATGGCAGTTACAAGCAGGCAAATTGCCCACTTGTAACTGCTTTCAAAGGGTGCATTTATGCCTTCATAATGTCGATCGTGACTCCAATGCAAGAAATGCTAAGGCGTTCTGCAGCACGTCAGTTACAAGGGTCAAATCAAACCTAGCAGGGGAAAATTTCCAGTGAGCAAAAGGAAGTGAAGAGCCAAAGTGTTATGTCTCGATAGCTTTGCTGATCGCCGCAGTGCCTACAGTGACGGCTCAGAAATGGGCTGTGGCACCTCTAGAATGAAATCTGCGACTGCCACAAGCCTGCAGTCAGTCTAAAAATACATGGTGTTCAGAGTTTCTGCTTAAACTTTCGAAGATGCCTAAAAATATGCTGTTAAAGATAAAAAAAATAAATAAAAAAACTTTTTGCGGGAACAAATTCACAGCCTTGGTGAATGTCAAGAATCCCCAAAACACACTAATTAGCAAGATAATTAACAAAAATTTACTAATCTTCTCTTTATTAATTAGAGGAAATAAACATATGGTTCCATTGAGAAACTTCCCAAGCATCATGGAAAAACCCCAAATCGACTCTTTCTAGAAAGATATAAGGCAGGGGCAGTATTTTACGGCATTCCGTGAAAACACTCAATTCGGACGCGTCTCTAGGTGTCGGTTTCTTGACGGGACGCATATTTGCGCCCGTGGTTGAAATGCGCAACGCGCGTTCACTGCACTTCCCTCCATCTTACGAGGGAGGTGAGGTGAGGTGGTGGCTGCGCGCCGCGACAACTGGACAGCGGGACTGTGGGTGCAAAGATTTGCTCCGATAAGAAGCTGAGACACGGAAACGGAAACACAACCAAACTTAGTAAGCGTTTTTTCAGGATGCCACAAAATGCTGTCACTGTCTTTCTAAAAAAAATGGTTTATTTAGTGGTGTTCGATGGAGCTTAACAAGTTTCCCAGTAGAACCATGTTTATTTTAACTAATTAATAAATTACTTAGTAGATTTTAGGTAATCATGTCGCTAATTAGTATCTTTCTGCAACCCTTGACGTCCGACGAGACCGGTAGTTTGTTCCCGCAAAAAAGTTCCTCTTTATCTCGAACAGCACATTTTTAGAGTTTTTCGAAAGATTCCACAGAAACACCCTGTACATTTCAGTTGCGAGTCGGCGCGCGTTTGTCCTCTGGTCCTTCTTTCTATCCTCTGCCTTGGGGTGCTTTTTTTCAACGCGTTCCTGCCTCAAATCAAGACAAAGGAAACGCTAAGCTGTGGCCGCGGCCCACTTCAACGATTTCCCCGTGGAGGTGCGCCTGTCCGTCGCATATTACCTGCCTCCCCACTCGGTCTGGATGGGGCCACATCCCGTCGTCCTCTCGCATGATTTCAGAGTCGTCGATGATCCGCTTTAGCTCTTCCATGACGCACTTGTGGACGTAGGCCTGAAAGCAGCGCAATGTCGCACGTGAACACCACAACACATTTCCCCACGTCTTTGCGGCTGGTTCGTATGCCTGCGACCGCTTGCGATTGGGTGCCTTGAAACTTCTCGGGATCTCTTACAACAAGAAAAATACTGGCGCCATCTGTCGAGCGGCCGCGGAACGCTCGTCATTTCCGTATATTTCCTATTTCTTTGAGCGTCGTTCTTTATTCTTTGTTCGAAGATCTTTCGACAATGCCATAAATTACTGCTTCTCGTAGACGGCATGCACATTTGATCTCGCAAAAACTTTTGAGACCTTCGCTCTAGTGAAATGCAGTTTTGGGGTCACCCCATAGATGGCACAAATGTCCTCTCTCGTCACAAGAGATTGGTAGAGCTCGATCGATCGTAAACAAATGCGAGCGTGTGGACGAAGCTTTACCTTCCACTTGCTAAATATGGTAGATCGTACCCCTAAACTAAGGAGGCTGTTTGTTCGGCCGATTTCGGTGACTCAGCGCCATTATGGTGATTACCAGTGATGGGCCAAACTTTTCCCGAATAGAAAATTTGGGCATCGAATCTTTCGATTAGGCAAATCCTAAGTTCTGCCAAACTTTTCTAAAGATTTGGCAAAAATACAGAGCTGCCAACTTAAAAGTTTACATTTTGTTTTCTTGGGCGACAAAAGATTTTAGGTTTCCTTTAAAATGCATTTTAACACAGTTATTACTAAATAAGGCGATATCAGGAACTCAAATTATAACCGTTTAGGAATAATATTTTTTCAGTAACCGTAACGAAACTATTTTTTTTTAATTTGTGAAAACCGTAACTGCACATTTACCGGTAACCAATATTAATTATTTACCGGCAATCTCAAGAATGACCTGGAGGAGGGATCTTGAAATGTCATGGCCATTTGACAGCGTTACCGTCAGCGAGTGGTGCATTCGGTAGTACATTTCCGTTCAACAATTGACCAATTGCTGGTAACTGCAAACTATTACCACAGTCCTGGGGTGCTGTTAAATGTTGCAGTAAAATGTGACACACAGAAAACAGTGGGAGCTCAAGTGATTGAACAATTGCCGAGTATTATAGAAAGCCACGTCTTTAGAACAAAACATTAAATAATTTCAGTTTTAGGTAGTGTCTATTCACAACAATAAAACTGGACTAGAAATGGTTCGTCAGCTAATAAAAGGAAAAAAGTCATAATCGTGTCCATGACTTTTCTTTTTTTTAGTTACAGTTAAGTGCTTTACAATGGGCGAGGAGTTGAATGGGGCTTGTACATCACGGTATGCGGCGCCCCACATGCAAACAGAACCTGAATGGAACCTGCGAGAAAGTCGTTTCGTACCTCTTTCCGAATCATGGTGTCATTCTTGTAGTTGGAATTGTTGGCGTACCGTAGTTTTCCTAAAGGATAAAAGCGGGAAAAAAATGTTATAAAGATCAAAACAGAATGGCGGTTACACTGAACGCACCCGCTGCGTGCAGCAGTCGATTCCAGCATCCAGTTTGCAGCGCGAAAAATTCTATAATTACCCAGAACCTTGTCACACTCTACCTGCGTTCGAGTGGAATATTCCTACGCAATGAGAGTGAAATAACACTTTACTAGCGAGAACTTCAAATGCGACTTCAACGCGCACACAAGAGCTGCGTCGTCCGGCATAGCCGGAGTCTAGCGCCGAACGCGAGGACGCTAGGATTGAAAAACGACGTACCGTCAGGCCGGAACTCAAACTCCAGGAACTCGTGGCCAAACTTTCCCTTGTGACCAACATAATAACGTAAATAGAAATCTGTGGAAGTCATTCTTGTAAAAGCGTGATAAAAACGCCCGCAGGCCTCGTTCGCCAAGCAAAGCGAAGCGTGATGTCCAAATCGATGGAGAAGCCAGAGTTGACCGAGCTATAATAATGGTAATAATAGTATAATAGTATAATAGTACAATCGATAACAAAATACTTATCTCCTACTTTTATTATTCTAGTGTAAACCAATCATCTGCATTACAAATATTATAATATATATGAAATTATCCTGCTGGTAAAATTAAACAGCTAACAGCAGATCAGGCAAACGAGGCATAACAAATAATTAAACGAAACAAAATAAGTAGGCAAGCATGACAATATTATCTATGTAAAACATTGCATTAAAGAGTAACTGTATTTATATCAGTTATTTTAAAATTACTGCTACGCAAATTAGGAGCTCTTAATCGTTATCAACATCAGTTTCTGCCGCAGTTTCGGTTTTGTTTCGTTTTTTTCTCTCAAAAGCGCTCCATATTTAAAAGTGTCTAAATTCGTTCTACTATCCACACTTCGGTTACTGGGTCACTAGGTGTTCAAATGAAAGACAAGGGCACAAACACTAACACGTACCTCGCGGGGGCTGATATCAAGACCTGGAAAGGATGAAAACCCGCCAGAAAACAAAACAGACAGAAAAAAACGTCTTCACGGGAAGTTCGAGCATCCGGTGATGAAATATTCACGACAAGGAGCCCCAGTGCTTCCGTGCCGACTTCTCGATAAAGAACCCGATGCGCACCACACCATGGCCAAGTGCGCGCGAACGGCCGCCGTGTCTGCGTTCCTCTGGCTGTTGGCGCTGTGTCCACATCGTACAATCGGTAAGGACCACGCGCTGAGGCCTTACAAGCGATTCTTTTGCGTTACATCTTATTCGCTTAAAAGTAATAAAATAATTATGTTTTACAAGATAAAGCCGGTTCAAAAAGCGAGCTCTTTTTGTGTGTGTGTGTGTGTGTGATATTTCAGTATATAGGTATTAAAATCGGAATTAAACCACTGCAAAGGTAAAATAATTCGTTTCCATAACATTATCTTTTTTTATCCAGCACACTTTAGAGCACCAATTAAGAAATTAATATAGAAATGAAAGTTATCTGACCGTGGATTTGTTACTTGGGCCTCACCGCACCTACCGTTATGAAAGAGCAACAAATGATACCCGTAGTTGCCTTTAATTAAATAAATAAATGATCTCACCTGAGATAGATGCACTGAACAAGCCTAGATGCTCATCTTTATTACTGCTTTGAACAGTGCCTGAAAACTCGCTTGGAAATGCATGAGAACAGCTGCTACAAAAATAGCTTTCAAACACTTTCTCAGACCAAAAAGAAAAAAAAAATACAACAAAGTGTATACATGACGATTGAAACCTGAGAGTGTGGTTTGAAAAACGGAAACTCGTGAAATAGGAAGTCCCAGGTTTCAATCATCATGTATAACCTGCACCAGCTAGCCTGCACTTTAGCCGTTTCTTCTCAACGAAGTGCACATTCATTTTCGGGGGGAAAATCCCCCAGTAAAACACACGGTCCCGAGAAACGTCCATGACATTACAACCTGCAACATCTTGAGAACGACTCAAGAATTCCTGATGGTCTTCCAGTAATTTGTAATGTATGTTTACTCCAATAAAAAAACCACCGATCGATAGAATATACGCGCCCGTTACAATCCAAGATGGTGTCGTCTGATTGCGCCCTGCGTTTTGCCTGCAGCGCAGTTCGACGGCAACCTGACATTGCAGAGTACCTTCGGCCAGCTGAGCGCCGCTCGCAAGTCTCGGTCCCTGATTCAGTGCTGGAGCAGCGATTCACCGGCCCGAATCAGCTTCGACAAGCCGGGCGGCCTGCCGCGCTACTCGCAGCAGCTCCTACAGGGGGACGAAGCCCACGTCCTCTTGCTACCGGCGTCGGCTGGGGCCAGTCGGGCGGGCCTCTTCACCTGCCAGCAGGCGGTCGGAGGCATCGTGACCAGCGCCGCTACACTCAAGTTACCGCCGAGCGGAAAAGCGCAAATCTTGCCGGTTAAGGTGGGTCCCATTTGGGATAAGGTTGAGTCGCGATCTCCCATAACTGTCTTGGCAAAACGTTCAAGGTTTAGGCCATATATAGTTTTCTTTGAAGACTTTTCTACAAAGGAGCAGTAAGCAACGCGCATACAAACCCCCTCCCCCCTTCTTTTTTTTTTTTTTTTCTTTAAGTGTCATGCATTTGTTTATGCGCAATTAGGTTATGCACATGCCGACATGCAGCTTGGCGTAACGTTTGACATTCACGTTACTAATAGTTCTGAAACAGCAACAAGGTTGACAGAAGCTAGTGAGCACGACATCGTATTTTGATTCGGACATGCACAAATTAATTGATATATAAAATATATTTTGCTGATCTCTATATCAAATTAAAGTGGTACACATGTCTCCGGTTCAAATTCTGTGCGATATGTTACGTCGGTTTAAAGTTGTGCTTTTCTTTTGGTTATACAAGTTTGGTGTTATACGACCTATACTGGCATATACCCCATGGTAAAGTATTATTATTATTATTATGATTATCACCTTAGATCGCATTTTAATAATAAATCCCGCAACCAGGGCCGGCTCTAGGAGTGGGCGACCTGGCCAGTCGCCCAGGGCGCCGCCGTGCCCTAAAAGAGGGGGGGGGGGGGGGGGGGGGGGGGACGCCATCAAAAGTGGGGCTCCGCTGCGCCTTAAAAAGGTGTGTGTGTGTGTGTGTTTGGGGGGGGGGGGGGGCGCCACGGCCGGAGTTCGCCCAAAGCGCTTGATGGTGTAAAGCTAACCCTGCCCGCAACATTAGACAAAAAAAAAAAAAAAAGTGGGTTAGCTTTACTGCATTTTCAAGGTTCGTGAGGTAAAGCCCACCTCAATACCTTGCGAGGAGTACAGCGCACGTGAAAACAAATAATTCCTCGAAAACAACCCCCTAGCGTTCGTACATTTCGTAGGAATAGACGGATATATGGTATACACAAAAAAAAAAAAAAGAAGAAAAGCATGTTTTTTTGTTTTTTTTTAGGTGATTACCGAAACGGATTTGCGCCAAAGTTCCAGCTAGCTTCACCGCATTCCACAGCTTCCCTGAGGAAAAGCCCAATCACTGAATATTTGCACGACAAGCATATAACAATAATAATAACCTTTATCTGCAAGAGTAATCTTACCTCGAGTGGCTTGCGAGGCAAAGACAGAAAGGCGAGAGCCCGTACGCTAATGCGCCTGTCAGCCCACCACGTACTCTGTAACGCCCAAGATTACGCGCATTAGAAAGTCCTTCCTTTCACTAGTGCTCCTGCCAACAAATAATACCACAAAACAAAGTCCTCCTCCTGATACATTTAATAAAACTTGATAATTTTTGTCTTTCAAGAACATGCTTTTTTGTTGCTTTTTAGGAAATTCGCGCTAATTTTGCGCTGTTCCAGGCTTACGTGGTGGCCCACACTGGCGACAATGTCCAGCTCAGCGTCACCAAGCAGCTGCGGAGGTCGGAGCCCCTCGTGTGGATGCTCGAGGGGCTCGAGTTGCCGGACTTCGGGGACCGAGAGACAGTCACCCTCGAAGACGTGGAACCCGCCGATGCCGGCGTCTACGAGTGCTTCTACCGGGGCCAGAGGAAGGCCCTGCTCCACGCCTGGATACGCCTCATCGTAGTCGGTGAACGACAACTCTCGCAAAAAACTTCCGAGTTGAGATGCGCGCTTGTTTAGTATAGAAATACCCTCGTCACTGCAGAACTTGGGGATGAAAACAGCTATAGATGAGCAGAATCACGCGATGACAACAAACATATGCTGAACAATCGTGGACAGAGCAAACGTTCATGTGAACATACGTGGTCGCAAAGTATCAGCAGCATCCTGACTGATCCAGAAGCCTATGTTAGAATATGTGTTAATTTCAATGCTAGTGTTTGTACACTATTTCACTTCTAATTATTTCAATTCAAATCATCATCCATGTCAATAGTTTATAATTCATGACAAAGCTGTCTACGTCCTGCTTCAAGGAGAGCACCCAACTCGGTGTCCTTCCAACGACATAAGACACAATATGTCCGACTCAGTTCAAGCTTATTTTCAAAGGTAATACTGCAGTGATTGCCATGTTCTCATTGATGCCGTCCAACAAATATTTAAACTGCAAGCTGGCGGAAATTAAATAGGATAAACAATATGCACGTCTCGGCTTTAGCATTTCTGCATTTGTGGGACGTAATATTTACATTCACTCTCCTCATTGATCGATCGATCGCAGGATGTCCCAAGGGCAAGTTTGGCCCCGCATGTCAGCAGGACTGCCCGCCATGCCGCAATGGGGGCATTTGCCACGACACTTGGGGAGTGTGCATTTGCCCTGCTGGCTTCGCTGGTCCCAACTGTGACACTGGTGGGTCAGTCTTTAAAATCCCCCCTCCCCTTCCCCCCCCCCCCCCTCCAAAAAAAAAAATGTCTTGCGCACATTTTTAGGACACAAACAGTGATGGAAACTGGTGAAAAAAAAATTATGAAGACCACTTAAAATATTTTTCACTCATGTCACCTCAATTTAGCTTTCTTCAAAATAAGCAAACTCAAGTGAGTTCCCTGCAATATACAAGCAACCTGTGTTTACCTGGCGCTGGTAATTTTTTTTTTTTTTCGGCAAATTCATAGCAATTTTTTACTCAATCAGTACTGTTCATTTATCTGAATATTTAGCAAAGATAAAGAAAAAAAAAAGATAAAAACATACCACCCCCAACTTCAGAGGAATTTTAGGCTTGCAATTTTTTATTTAGTTATCAGTGCACATAGTTCAATATTCACAAATATAAGAAAGGTTTAGGACGCATGCCTTAAATTGGTTAATTCTTGAAAAAAAAAATTGTTTTTTTAGGAACGACAACAATGAACATAGTAGCAGTGACAGACGCGGCATTTGATATTTTATAGCAGGTTTTGTAGCAGGCAAAATGTTGCTTTGGAGCAGCCACTGACACTTTTGGAGCAGATGCCAACATCCGATAGCACATCAATTGTAAATAAAATAAGCGATTGCATCACTAAATGAGTTCATCTTTGATAATGGATCTGGGTTCCTCTTTGATGCTGGAGCATATTATTTGTTGCCTTTTGTAATAACGATAGGGCACAAAATGAACACAGCGTCTTCTTTTTATGAAACGGTGTTTTCTTTTAATTAAACGTTCAGCTGAAGTTCAGCGCTCATCCACTTTCCCCTTTGGCTGTGAATTTTATGCACGCTGCTACCAGTTTGTAATCATGAACCAACTCGCCTGCATTGCTACATTGATATAGAGCCTTCTTTTAAGAAATAAGGCCCTGGTCACAGCAAGTTCCGTTTAAAATGGACACTAAAGAAATTGTTCAAAAATTAATCGTAGCACACTAGTCCAGTTGGAATAAACTATCTCCTCTCACGCTTTTACGCCCAATATTTTATTTACACCGTAAATATAATTTCCGTAAAGTGCCAGCATAAACCAGCATATCCGTTAACATGTCTATCAATAAGAATGTGCATTCCCCAAGTTTTATGAACCTACCAAACTCAAGACACTAATATTATAAACTACAAAACCAATCCCCCACAAATATTATGAAAACCTAGTTATGCTCCAAAATAACACCGTGCCTCAGCGCCTCTGGAACCAGAGTGAAGCCAAAGTTCGCAACTCTTGCGATCGACAGCTGCACAAGAACTACCTTGTTTACTGTATTCATGCATTTTTTTTTATTTTAAATTAAACTACAATCAAGGCCAAAGAAGATAGACCTGTAATAGTAATGAGCATAATTTCCGAGCCTATCGCGCTCACCCATGTCAGCCACTGCTCCTAGCACTCCGGAGCAAAGCAGTGAAGCTCGATGCGCTCGCGCTGGTGAGAGGCGGCACGGAGGCATGCACCAGGCCAATGATGATCACGTAACCTCATCAGGGGTACAAGACCCTGGTTCTGTCTTATCACAGTAGCCGCCATCTTATTGTCTTGCAGTGTTTTCTCGCGACTTTTAGCTCCCGACATTGCTGAGATTGTCTGGAAATTTAGACGAGATGTCGGCGATCAACCCACCAGCGCATCCACTGGCCAGCGTGGTTGACGGGCAATCTCTATGCTTCGTCTCATCTTAATTCAAAGTGCAGCCAGTGCTATGAACCAATAGGACCAACCAAACAGCGTCAATGTGCGACATCATGGCATTTGTTTTTCCCAAATGCGTTCTTTCATCAGCAACAAATCAAGTGCTGCGAGTGTCCAGTGACTTGTCTTTTTAGTTTGTGTTTTGGTGCTTCTGTATCTGTTCAAGCCTTCGACTGTGCCCCGACCTACAATGAAACAAACTATACGAAGAGTAGAGACGCTGTGAAATACATATTTGTACCATTTTCCTTTGCTTCTACTTCTCCGAATATTAGGGTCGACCAATAATATTTTCTAGTCTTTACTTTTGCGCCCATTTTGGCGCAGCTGTGGCACAGTTCTCAGCAAAGATGGCACTTTGGTGCAAGGCAAAATCGTGTTAGAACATAACAGCACAAATGCTACTCATTCGCTTTATGGACAACTCTCCGAAGAACTAGTATTAACGCAAAAGTGTCTCGTCGTTGCAGCGTGTGGCGAAAACCGTGTGGGAGCCCAGTGCGAACGGACGTGCTCTCCCCCCGGGCAACTTGCAAGTGCGAGGCACGGCTGCGCCATCCACCTCTTCTGTAAGCCAGACCCCCTGGGCTGTTCCTGCGCTCCGGGGTTCAAGGGCCCCCACTGCTCACAAGGTGAATGTTCGAGGCTCGTGCGCCATGCCAATCGTGCACGTACAGCTCGGCGCTGCGGATCAATCGCTTCGATTTTAGTTTTCTCTAAGAATGCAAAAGTGTGACTTGTCATGTACGAGTCCTCTTGCTATCATATATGGTTTCTGTTTCTGTGACAGTTAATCCTGCCTCTTAAAAGCATATCTGCAATGAAAAAAGGTTCTTCGAAATTAGCTATGCTAAATTAGTCATGAGTGAATAGTGGGTTTGGAGTTCAAAACAAATAGTGGTTTTGGTTGAATATTTTCGAATCGAATATCCAATAGTTTCTCCGAGCCTTACGCACACGGGCAAGTTAAGCTCAGTTAATTTTAATCAAGCCATTTTAGTGGACCGTGGTTTTGAAAAGTCCACTGCCTACATTGAAATGGCAAGTAAAAAATGCATTTGACATAAAATTAAACCTGTAGAGATGCCCAGCTATACCTAAGTGAGATTTGTAAGTCTTCCTGCTATATGCAAATATCCTTTCTTAAATCTAAAAAAATCACGAACGATGAAAAGCAGGTTGTTAGGACATCTCTGCCTAACATATACTCTTGCATAATAGCCAGTTTAATTTTGAAAATTTTACGTATTGTAGATATCAACATCCACAAAGTTTTCGTTTCTTTTCAAATACACCAAGCTTGCCCGTGCATCACCCCAGTTTTAAATTGGGCTTTCCTCCAAAGCACGCGACTGCAATACTATTTGTACTTTTCCAAATGTTGAACTCGGCGGTTTAGCCCCGTTGAGCGCGCTTCTTACCGAGCACCGGTGCACTGCGGAGAAGCAACACTCGCGAAAGCTAGCTCTGAAGGTGTTGCTTCTCTGCAGTGCACCGGTGCTCGGTGAGAAGCGCACTCAACAGAGCTAACCCGCCGCAATCAACACTCCGGAAAGTACAAATATCTGAGTTCATTTCGAAGCGAATATCGAATAGCGTATAAATCAAAACTACTATTCGAAAATTTGAATATTCGTAAAACAGTATACAATGCATTTAATGGAATGTTTAGTTTGGTAGACTTCTTGCTTGTGGAGTCTATTATTTTCTAAATATAAGGGAATACTCATAGGAATTTGAGCCAAATGGTGCTGTGATTAGTACTCATATATATAAAAAAAGAAAACTAAAATATTTCGGCATTCTTAGAATTTCCTGCCGTTATAAAACGCCTTCATCAGAAACAGATTGCCCTAAAAGGCTCCAAAATACAAAGCTTCCCTAATTGAGATGCACACATGTCTATCGTCCATGGCGTCGCAAGTGGTACATATCGGCCATTTTTGAGAGACCGAAATCAATCTGTCTAACCTGCGTCCTACAACACACAACCAAGATGTTGTAGCAACGAAACAATGCAGGGTCTTTGGAAAAAAAAGTCAACCCAGAGGGTTCTTATTAAAGTGCAGAATACACACTACAAGACAAAGCCTCTAACCCAAGATGCCACAGCGGTGAAAAGAAGCAGGACATTTGAACACAATTCCCACAAAGTTTCACAGTACGTCGAGAATATATGTTGCCCAATGAAGTCCATAACACAGTGTTTCTCAGATTGCCCGGAGGATTATTACGGCGCCGACTGCCTCCAGAAATGCCGCTGCTCCTCGCCCAGCGACTGCGACGCAATCACTGGTCACTGCCTGCAAGGGTGTGCCCCCGGCTGGGGAGGAGACTCCTGCCAGATTTACGGTACGTGATCAACTTGAATGCGGCGTAATAACGAGCAGAAGTTTGTGACTTCCGGTAAATCTTTTAACAGTTGGTGAACAGACCGAAACCGCCCAGCCGGCCGTCACGACGGAGCCAACATGCGAGCCTGGCAGGTTTGGGAAAGACTGCTCGAGGCTGTGCCACTGCGCAGACGACGAGGCCTGCGATCCGAGCTCCGGGGTGTGCCCCGCTTCTTGCAAGGACGGTTACTCCAGGCCTACGTGTTCAGGTCCGAACGCTGCAATAGCGTGTTGTTGTGTTCGCTCGCAATGTAGTCCTGGCACAAATTCCCCAGTCTTGGGCACAAGAGTGCCAAAAAATCGGCCATCAGCGGCAATCGTTATTGACGCTCGTATTCAGTCGACAATCGTGGCGACTGAAATTCTCCAAATTTTTTGCAGCGTGCTTGCCCGGTAGGTTCGGCGACAACTGCAGCCTTTCCTGTCACTGCTGGAACGGGCACGAGAACTGCGGACCAGACGGACACTGCCACGACGGGTGCGCCCCTGGCTGGACGGGAGAGTATTGTCAGGAAGGTAGGAGACGGCAGATACAGAATTCAAAGTGGGAAAACACCAATAAGCATCTGTCGGTAAAAAAAAACCAGCAAAAAGTGCAAGGTTTGCTGCTAGTCAAGTGCGAGAGACAGTTGCACCATTGAGCCAAATCACGACTGCTTTACACACAAGTTGCACAACTTGCGTAAAGCTATCAGTTAAGTAACATGTATTCAATATAATGCTCCCACGTGATTCATTCTCATAAATAAATAATGCATTCTTCCTTCGCTCAACTCAAGAATTACTTTTAATTGATATTTAACTAACAATATACAAATCTGCACTGGACGAGTTATCAGAATTTAACTGCCTATTTCTGGGGAAAATAAATGTCTAAGAACATTCACAAATTCATCAGAAGTATATTGTGAAACTTGTGTCGACGGTACATGGCATTCAAATGGACAAACCTTGCAGAGTGCTCTGAAGACACCTTCGGACCTGATTGTGCCTACACCTGCCACTGCGCGACCAACAGCACCCCTCCTTGCAACCCAATCTCGGGGGCCTGCGGCACGTGCGAGCCAGGATACAGGGGTCCCTCCTGTCAGGAAAGTAAGCTAAAGCCAGCTTTGTCAGTCCTTTCATTTTGCTCTCCTGCAGTGCAGGTACGTACTGCGAGGCCATGCAGAAAACATCTTGCCTAGAGGAGATTGTAAAAACTAGTACTTTAGACTTGGTTGCATTTCAAGCAACTGACTGAGCTTTGGCACAAAATATTGGAAGCCTTAAACAAGAATCTACTGGCATACAGAAGATAGGAATCATTAAAAATTAAAGAACGCTGCATTCTGCAGTTAATGTATATGAAAGACAACTTCTACATTCCTTTCTATTTGCTTTTCTGCAGTAGAATGTTGTACTGCAGAGAACAGCAATACCACACAGGAAAGCTTGCTAAAGGAGTTTTGATAACTACTCTAGGCTCAGTTGCATCCCGAGCATCTGAGTGAGTAGCCCTGCCACAAAATGGCGGTAGCCATAAACAAGAATCTACTGGCAGACAAGCTGGGCTCAAGGAATTTAGGAACTATTGTGAATTGGAGCTTGACATATTTTGTAACAAACGTAAATGAAAGAGATGATTACGTAACTGTGAAGAAAACAACATCTGTTGACAAACTAGGTGCTGAGGTTTCATGCACTTATTTTCTTCTTTTATTACCTGAAGTCTGCTTGATTGTGCAGTTATTGCTGATTGCCTATCGTATCTGTCTGTTGAATAGATTTCTTTTGTCCTTTTTCAGAGTGTAGCCCGGGCACCCATGGGACCAACTGCTCCCTGAGCTGCGAGTGCCTCCACGGAGAAATTTGCCACCACGCGGATGGCACGTGCTTCTGCACGGGACGTCACAGGGGGCGCCTCTGCGACCAGCGTGAGTGCACATAGTAGTTTGGTGCTTGCTCATTGAACCTTTGCTAACAGTTTCATGACACACTTTGCCTTATGATGCACATTGGTGTTTGCGAACTGACACTGTAGCTACAGATTAAGTACAGAAAGCAACAAGTGAGCTCCTTGTTCAATATCTTCTGAAAATCCCTCATATGAGTGCCATAGATGCAGTTCAATCACTTCTTTTGCACTGGCTAAAATCTAGAGACCTTCGTCTAAATATTCTGGCTGTAATTTCTTTTTGCCAGACATATCTTTTGAGTGCACGTCGCGGGACTGCAAAGAAGTAGCAAGACAATAATAGCTTCACTGCCACACACCGGCGTCCTAGGAGCAGCAACTAACACGGGGGTGCGTCTGCATCAGCTCAAACAGGCTCGGAAATTTCGCTCACTCTTATAAGTCGCCTTTCTCTGGTCGGCCAGTATTTGAATAAACGCGATAGTTCTCCACGCCCACAAGAGTCCTGGTGAAATGAATTGCTGTGCAAATGTAGACGATTCCCGTGTCGTCTTTTGGCTCCTTAAGAGCGTCATTGGTTGTCACGTCTCCCTAGATCTTAAATTTTCTCATTGCGGTATACCTTGAAAAATGTATTGGGGGGCTTCTACTGTGTATAATTTGGAAGGTAAGAACCAAAACATTGGACACCCAAGCGACTGCAAAGCCTGTGTCATGCATTGCAGTGGCCCCAAAGGTGCTGCATTCGGAGGAAAGTGAAGTGAAACTGGGGGAGAGCACCCTGGTGTCCTGCACCGTGGAGGCCTCACCAGCGCCGGTGGTTCAGCTGTATTACCAGTGAGTGGTGGCATGCCAGAGTCATTTTTTGTTGTACCACCCGCGACAAGTGAAAGTCAGTCGTCGCATGTCTCGCGTGCAGGGAAAGCGGAAAGACCCTCAGCAAGGTGTCGGTAGAAGCTCTCGGCGGCGACCTCTACAAGGCAACTGCCCCCCTCTCGGACACGCTCAAGGACGGAATGCAGACCTTCCGTTGCAGAGCTCGCAACGAGTACGGTTTCGACGTTGGGACCGTGCAGGTTGACGTCGTGGGTATGAAACGAGACTGTTCATCTGAGCGAGTTTACGAAAGGCGAGAATGTCTGAGGACATGCTCAAATGGCCACACTCGCAAGGTGGCATCCCGTAGTTTTAAATTGCAAATTCATAAATGTATGGGTGCATCTGCGTGTAGAATCAAGTAATTTATGTTGTGGGGACATTTCACGCATCGCCCCACAGGCACACCTTTGAAGTGTAGGGCAGAGGCACCGTCTTCGGGGAATCAAAACCGTGACCACATTTATTTCTGTTTTTTATGCTGGATTTTGACAATCCTTTTGTTTAAAACGTGCCAAGAATGTGCTTCAAGAAATATGTAGAACTAATTAATAAGTGTAAACAGTTAGCTATCAACAAAAAAAATAAACCCCCATTTATTAAAGACTTGAGCGTGTTGGTAATCTACATTGACTTAAAATGAAACACACAAGAGGACGAAACAGATGACACATCGTCTGTTTCGTCCTCTTGTGTGTTTCTTTCTTTTTAAGTCAAAACCCCCATTTCTTTTTTTGTTTATGAAAACGTTCTGTGCATGATCATTGCGGTTCAACAGTCGCAAAGGGGCTGCTATCATCACTACCATGTTATGCTTCTTCCGTTTGTTTACACCTCTAAACAAGGTCAATAACCCACAAGATACCTTTCATTATGTACCTCGGTATGGTACCTGGTGCTTTACTTCATACTTTGTGTGCAGTGCACGCTTTGGATCCTTAACTATTGGGGACCAGTGCAAATCCAGACAAAACATTCCTCGTGTGTCGCAGCCGATCCGGTCCTCACATCTCCCCCCGAAGTGGAGGTGTCCTCAGACCATGCAGAGATCTCCTGGCAACCTTGGAGCTGGGGACCAAAGTCAGGTGGAAGACAGGGGGATACCATTCAATACCAGGTAATTTCAAAACAAAAAAAGAAATGGCCCTTGAGAAGCATGACGCATGTAAGCAAAGAAAGCTGAAATGGCGATCAATGTACTGCATCTCATTAATCTTATGGATTAAGTCGGCAGATCAAGCCCGTCGAATTTAGCACTGCTGTATAACATTTCTGTAACGTCTGCTACTAAATGCAGCTTTCCATCGGCTAAATTTGGAAGGCGTGACAGTTTTTTCGAGGCAGATTTTCATGATATCGTGTCACACTGTCTTTGGGTGTCCCAGCCGTTAAACACATTCTCCCCTAAAACCGTCGACCAAAAGGGCTAACATTGTTTTAATAGGCTCTCCATGAAATGAGCACAGACATTTCACCGGGGTGGTTACCGGCACAGTTCGACAAAATGTTATCAGACGAACGTCGCCGAAGTCAGCACGGGGCGTGATGTCCCGCCTCGCTTGACTTCGGATTTACAACTGGGAGTGACAGTACACCAAGCTACAAGAGTCTTTTTTGCCTCTCCAGCTGCAGTACCGAACCGAGGGGGCCAACAATTGGACAATCGCAGGGCCGTGGCAGGACGCTACCACCTTCAACATGTCTGGCCTCTTGCCAAACACCGAGTATGTATTTGCAGTGGCACTACGACGAAACAATGCTTCCGCAGCTGAACTCCCAAGACCAGAAACATGGGCCACCGCTCGTACACTCTGCGGAGGTAAGCATGGGTGCATGGTATCCGTGCAGAATGGGGGCAAATACATTATTTCTGTTATCTTGATAGTACTATAAAGAGGAGTCTTATCTGAAATATCCGATCCAGAAGCCAGTCCTCAAAGCGCTCCCCAAGACTTGGAGGTGGAATCGGTGTCCGAGGATCAGCTGTCTGTCAGGTGGAAGGTAAGGATTTTGAAAACAGAGAAATTGGATCGTGGGAACAACAAAAAGCTTTCATGACCTCCACACAAACAGCCAGGAATTTCCAATTTTAAACAGACTTCTCGAAGACTGCAACACAAATGGCTGAAAGATAAGCTATTCAAACAGCTGAACAAAATGATAAAGAAATTGGGTATAAACTGCAATAGACGCAAGTTTATTAACCTGCAGAAACATGTAACTTGTTTCATCACCAGCAAGACATGTACAATTCTTGCAGCTCAGGTGGATCGCTTTCACCATGCACAACTTCAGTGCGCAGAAACAGTACTGACAACAACTGGTGGTATAAATAACACAGCTCAGAAACCCTATCCACCATCTCACAAGTAAATCATTTACGTCAGTTTCTCTGACTAGTATAGAGACTACTGTTCAAAACTTCTTAACGTACAGTACATATGTGACACAGATTACACATTTCTCCTGTCGTCCGTCTGACAATGGACAATTCCATTGACTTCTGACAATCAACTCCGCTCCCATTTCTGTGCACCTACAACCCTTTTTGGTGCTAAGTGGCATGGTGCCCCCACTTAAATACAGTGTAGAGGGGTCAGAAAAGATTCCTTGTTTCCTCACACAGCCCCCCCAGCAAAACCAGCTTCACTGCCAACTAACGGGATACGAGGTCCACCTCCGAAAAACAGGGGACTCAGAGGACCTTGCACAAGTCCAGAACTTGGAAGCGGAGGCACAGTCTGCGAAGTTCAACAAGCTGGAACCACACATGTCCTACAGTGTGAATGTGTATCCTGTAACGTTCCTGGGTCGTGCACCGTTCAACTCCTCCGTCGAAGCCAGGACAGAGCAGGGAGGTAGGTGGTTTAGACAGGCCAAGCATGAATTTCGAGGTCCTAACCCAAAATGCCCAATTCTGCTAGAGACCACCCTTCTCTTCGGTTTTGTAACTGAAAGTTATCTATGCAGCAAGCTTGCAGCTTGCAAGATCTGGTCATTGTGATGCTTAATTCGTACCTCTAGTCTACCTTCTCTCCTATAAGAAAGGTTTCTGCTGTGCTCTCTCCCTTTCATGGTGACAAAGAGGAGGATCTAGCAACCTGTAACCTAAGAATGTGACTTAAGAATTAGCGGGGAGTCATCCGTTACGTCAGAGCTGCCATTTGATGATGAACCAGGTTATCACAGTTATCAGCTTTTAGGGTCATGCACTACGGTCCTCCTGTTGCTTTACTTCTTACAATGTGTGGAAGTGTATGCTTTGAATACTTAATATTCTTGGGAATTGCACCCCCCAAATCCAGGCACAGATTTCTTCCTACGCAGCAACCGATCCGGTGCTGACATCTCCCCCCGAAGTACAAGTGTCCTCAGACCATGCTGAAATTTCTTGGGAGCCTTGGAGTTGGGGCCCAAGGTCCGGTGGAAGACTGGGAGACACCATTCACTACCAGGTAATTTCAAAACTGAAAACTGTAGCCCCTGGAAATAACTATACCCGAAAGCAATGAAAACTCACATACTGGTAATCTATTTTATATAACAATTACCTTATTAAAAAACCTATCACCTGAAAGGTTGGCACAGTAAGCTCTCCATAAAATAGGCCCAGACTTCAATGTGGTGGTCGCCAGCACAGTTTGAGAAAATGTTGTCGGACAAACGTCAATGACGTCAGTACCAGGCTGCGCATTCTGCCCAGCTTGACTTCTGACTTTTTAAAGGGGCGATGCAGCGATTTTTCTATTTTGCACAAATACCGCTTAGAACGGATCCCTGACGTTAATGACCTGTGAAATGCCCGTTCGTTTTTCACCCCATGCAATCAAAGTCGCAGAAAAAAATTAAGAAAAACGAGCAGAGTTAACCCCCTTAACTCGCAGCCAGAACAAGCGGCCACGTGATCGGGAGCCGATTATATGGTGCCAATGTTGATCATAGCCTCGCGCTGAGTTGGCAAGGCACAGGACACGCGCCGAGTTCTAGACATTGTTATGGTTTGGTTGTTGTCGTCATTGCAGCGATTGGACACGGGCCACTACCCGAATGCTTCTCGAGCTATCAATTATCACGAGCCCAAATCGAGTGCCGACGCAATGCTCGGGTCCAATCTGTGAGCCGCATTCAAATATCGTCATGGGCGGTACTGCTACCGCCGAGCTACGTCATCAGGTTTTGTGAAGGAGAGATTGAATGAAAACACCCGGTTTCGTCCTCGAAATTACAGCGCAACAAAGAAGTTTCTTGGTCAGTGGCGTTGCGTGCGAGTATCCTTGAGTCCCACTACTGCCAGTAAGCTCGTGTACAGTGAAAAATATTCCAATTGAATATCGTTGCACTGCCCCTTTGAATAAGAGCAGAGGTGCAAAAAGGTTCAAGTGTATTTTTTTTGCCTTTTCAGCTGCAGTATCGCACTGAGGGAGCTAGCAATTGGACAGTCGCAGGGCCGTGGCAAGACGCTACAACCTTTAACGTGTCTGGCCTTCTGCCAGACACCGAGTATATGTTTGCAGTGGCACTGCGACGCAACAACATTTCCACGGCCGGACTTCCGGAACCAGAAATGTGGGCCTTTGCTCGTACGCTCTGCGGAGGTAAGCACGTGTGCATGGTGCCCGTTCAGAATGAAACGAAGACGTGAATTCCGTTATCTCGACGGTAGTACATGAAGTGGCCATAACCTTGTCGTTCACAATATCCAAACCAGAATCCAGTTCTCAGAGTGCTCCCCAAGACCTCGAGGTGGAGTCGGTGTCTGAGAATCGGCTATCCGTCCGATGGAAGGCGAGTATTGTAGAAATTGGATCGTTGGACGAACAAGAAGCTTTCTTGAACACCGCAGAAATGGCCGATCCCTACACCCCATTTCCTTACCTGAAACGCACTTGTCGAAGAGGGCACGACAAACAGCCGAAAATAAATCCCCTATGTCAGTTACTCTGACTGGTAGGTGGACATCTTAGTGCGCTTCTCACACAGATGTCAGCTTTCTTATGTCTTCTGCATGACGGCGAACGGCTTAACTTCCGACATCAACTTGGCTACCAACCATCTTATACAGTGATAAGTGCTGGGCTGCCATTGACACAATGTGAAGGAAATCAGCCAGAAAAGAGTAGTAGATTCCTCTTTTTCTTGCACGCAGCCCCCACGGCAAGACCAACTTCGCTGCAAGCTAACGGGCTACGAGATCCATCTCCGAAAAGCAGAGGATTCCGAGGACCTTGCAAAAGTCCAGAATGCGGAAGCGGAGAAACAGTCTGCGGAGTTTGACAAGCTAGAACCTGACACGCTCTACCGTATCGATGTGTATCCCGTAACGTCCCAGGGCCGTGCGCCGTTCAATTCCTCCGTTGATGCCACGACTGAACAGGGGGGTAGGTATAAAAACACTCGATGGATCTGTGTTTCTCCTACAAACTAGCATAGAATGCTCCAATGTATGAGGCTCGTGCCTTTGAAAGCAAATGGTCCTGCACTGCTGGAATAAGTGGCCCTTGGAAGCAAATGGCGGCAAAGCGCTTGCCCACGGCATAATGGTTGTTGATACCAGTAAGAAACACAAACATTAGCTTATCAAGAGGTGAGGTGGTAGTCACCATAGATCACCCATTATTTTCATTTGTTTTCGACTAACCTAAAGTTACATGCAGCTTGCACTTTCCAAAGAGCCAACTATCTTTTGTGATGTTTAACTCTTAAACCTTCTCTTCCGTTTAAACATGTTTCTCCTGTGCTTTCTTTTCGTACTGGCAGAAAGAATAGGTAACTCGTAGAGTCGCCCTTAACGTTACGGCCCCCATATGGTGACGACACAAAGTCATTGCTGTTATCATCTTCTCACGGTCATTCGGCAAGGCCAACTTTGCTATTATCAACAAAAATAGAAGCAACATGGGTGAAATTACTTAAATTTTCTACCGAATCATGGCAAAACCGTAACACAGACACACTTGTCTCGAGGGGTGCGACATTGCCTCACCGTATAATCCGCTTAGTTCCAGGGCCGGTGGCTGACCTCACAGTGGCGTGGGTCAACTCGAGCGAGGCGCTCGTCACTTGGCAGTCGCCGAAAGTTCGTAACGGAACCCCAGTAGAATTCAAAGTGAAGCTTCATCCGAGAGATGTCGGAGGTTGCGGAGTGACGGGCCTCGAAGATGTGTTCCTTGTGCGTTATCCTCAGGTAATACTCGTTAAGTAAATACACTCCCCCCTTGCCAGCCCCCTTTCCCTTCACCAAGGTAACTCCCGAGTTGTGTCAATTGTATTTGTTAGATACAAGGACCAATAGTCACACACTGTAAGCATTACTCCAAATTTAACAAATTTCCCATAAGAATCTGCTGCAACACGCAGTTTAACAAAAACTAAAATGCCGAAATAGAGATTAAACGTGCAAACGTCTAGTCCGAAAACCCTTAATATTTCTCGCCATGTGATGAAATGGTCTTGGCCATTTAGTTTGTCATTCAGACCCACAGAGGTGACAGTCAGCAATACAGATACTTAATCCTCAAAGGAAAGGCAAGACAAGGAACTGCCCAGTCAAATCAATTAGAATGCTCAGTTACACAAAGGTTTCGAGAGGGCATGCTGGAGTAAGCACGGTCTGTGAAATGCTAGTCTTCTCCTTTTACTTTTCATAGCTCAAAACTACCAATGCTTATTCAGGACACTAACTTAAGACAGTTGCCATATCACAGTAGTAACCAGAAATGGTTAGGTGCTAAGAAAAGCCAATGCTGTGCTTGTTTCAACTGTGTTGCAGAGCGCTCTTGACATGCACAGGAAGCGAGAGAGAAACAGTTGCTTTCTATGGTGCCACATCTAAATATTTAACGTGTCTGCTATATCTTTTGCATCGTCTGGCACTGCAACTGCCCAGTTTTTGGGCAGAGGTTTGGCCCCCCATTCCCTCTACCGAGTCGGAGTGAGCGCTGGAACAAGCAAGGGCTACGGGGAGCAACGAGAACTCAACTTCCTTACCACAGGGGCCGGTAAGCTCTACGATTCATCTTCTCAAAGAAGCTCAATTTGAATTTTTCAGGTTACAGTACAACCCTCTATAATAGGTAGGGTTCGGCGTTTTCGGTTTAAACCGATAAAAACCGATAAAAGTACGCCGAATTCATTTTCGGAAATTCGGTTTTAACCGAAAAAGGTCAGTTTTTAGGCTCGGCATTTTCGATTTAAACCGATAAAAATACGTCGCATTAATTCTCTAAAATTCAGCTTTAACCGGAATAGCTCGCTTTGACCTGCCAGTCGTACCGCAGAGTCGTGGCGAAAAAGAGGAACGACAGTGTCTATCGAAATGTGCCCGAATTTATGGGATACACGGATGCCATCACGACGTTTTTGTTTGAATGTGCCGCATCGTCAATCGGAACGTGAAGTCTGAAATGCCCCATGACTCCCCATATACGAGCGTGTTTTTTTAACTCGTTGAAAGGAAGACTGACTCGAAGCAAGCTGTGCATTTTATGTTGTGCTTCAAAACGTCACACCGTGTCCCTTTTGGTGGTCACAATCGGTTGATTGGCCGATTTTGGCTCCAGGCAGCTCTTCATATCCTCAGCCTGCCAGGGTCCAGTGTTAGCGTTGTGAGGGAACTCTCGAAGCTCAGGGTCATATTAACAGGGAAGAAAGAGTGCGGATCAACGAGAAGAACTTGGGAATGTAAATGTGTGTGTACTATAATAAGATCACGTAATCCTGATGTACAGACGGTGAAGTTCCATTTTTGTTTTGGAAATAGGCTTTATATTTGACTTGTCTGTACTTCTGTTTTTTTCTTGTTTCTTTTACAGTTGCACACATTTGCCAAATAAAGTGTCCATTTCTTTTTCAATGTATCTGTGCCGTTATTCTTTGAATGATCACGAATATCAGAGCTACAAGAATCATCTGATCCGGTGACCGTTGGTGTTTATTGTATATTCACGGAAAAACGCCGATAAAATTTTGTGGGCATAAATATACGCCGAAAAAAACCGAAAATTGAATTTTAAAATAAACACCGAAAAAAGTACGCCGAATTTTGAAAAAATAGAAACCGAAAACGCGGAACCCTAATAATAGGTTAAAGTTAATTTAGAAAAGTTAAACGGTTTTACCACAACAGTTCGTTTTTTTCATTACCTCCACACCACAAATTCCTCTGCCAGCATTGAAATTGTGGGCTCGCGATAATTCAAACTCGGATATTTTATACTTTTGGTTAATTCAAAGAAATTTTAAAATTTCGGTTGTCCCGCTATGTTTTTAATGTATTCATATGCCGCTTATTTCGCACGGCGTTTTTGTATAATTCATACCTTTTTTTTGTTTGTTTTAGCAGCCCCGTCGAGTGCGCTTCTTTCCGTGCACCGGTGCACTGCAGAGAGGTGTCACCCACGGAGCTTGCTTCCGCGCGCAGGTGTTGCTTCTCCGCAGTGCAACGGTACTCAGTGAGAAGCACACTCAATAAGATTTCAGCATTCTGACATCATCGCAACGCTGTGCAAGAAGCAGACGATTAAGCTCCGCATAAAAACGGGCGCCACGCGGTAATTTTCCTACGAACTTGCGCGAACGCTGTGACATGGCGGCATGGTATAGGCAGTCTTGTACACGTTACTAAAAAAAAGTAATCGATTACAATTACTATTACTCTTGGCTAGAAAGTATTCGATTAGATTACTTGATTACTCGACGGCAAAAGTAATTGGACATTACTTAAAGAAGTAATCGTTACTTTTCCGATTACTTTACATCTTTAGCGCTCATAACAATGAACTACTTCCAACCTATATCTCACATTTGCACAAGTATTGAAGAAAAACGGGTTCCCTCTTCGTGGTCGTTGCACCTTCACAATGCGGACACAGGGCGTTCGCCAGTGTGTGTGTGTGTGTGGGGGGGGAGGGGGGGGGGGGGGGAGCGGAGGGGTTCTAGATCTTGTTAAGCTTGAGCAAGGGTTGTCGCTCAAAGTTTGCGTCGCTCATTTTATTATTCATATGTGGATGAGCTCGCATGTTATACAAAAGAACAGCAGCTCCAGGATTTGAAACGGATCATGTGTAGTATCCATTAGCGGAAGAGATCGCCCCGACCACTTCTCAACTCGAAACATTGCTTGTTACAAAGGCCACGTAGGGGAAATGGGGAAATATTTCAACTGCCTTTGTTATATTTTGCATCCGCTTTAGGCATTCTTCGGTTCTGGTTCTCCTACGGGCTGCGATAGGTACCCTCAGCAGGATTTTTTTATTTTTTTATTTCTGTGTGTGTGTGCGTGAGGGGGCTAGTTTGAACGAAGGACTCACAAGCTACATTCTGCTTCCTCAAACTTCGCCCTGAATGGCCTTTGTCACACACTGTGGCTTTCCCGGGGCTTCCCACTCCCAGTCCCAGCTCGAAAACAAAACAAAGAACGGACATTCCACAGAAACTGTACATAGAAAAAGATTGACTTCGTTTCCTACAGCTCCGCAAAAATCTTTCTTTTTTCCGTTCGAAAAAAAAAAAGGAAGCAAATTTAATAAATGTCATTTCATAAAAAAAAAGGCGTGTGCCTTTTTTTTATGACCGTAACCGTTACAATTTGTCCTGTGGACAAATTGTAACGGTTACAAGTAATTTTATTACTTCAAAAAGTAATCAGATTACTCTTGTGATTACTGCCTAATAAAAGTAATCAACTGATTACATAATTACTCCAAAAAGTAATCGATTACAAGTAATTTGATTACTTGTAATGCGTACGGTACAAGTCTGGGTATAGGTCTGTATGTCACAGCGTCCGTGCAAGTTATAACTACCGCGCATACCAGTTTTATTCACGCTTGTGTCCCCTGCTTGATGGTCCAACTTAGACAGCTTCTTGGCCTGATAACAAACTTGATTTTGTTTTTAGTTACGTCTAAACAATACATAAAAAAACAATGTTAATGAGAGATAAATTAACTTGTGTCATACATTTCCCAAATGTTTCATGTGTGGCTTACCTGCTTGTGATCAGTAGGCCTATGTAGAGGAAATCACCAAATATCTGGTTTGTATGCGTAGCCATTCATATGGCAAATCTTAACTTTACCTTGCATATTATGTACAGTCACCGGCAATATGAAAGACCCACTGGGAGCGCGTGGCCAAGGCGGTGGCTGGCGGGGACGCTGCGAGCACTCCGGGCAATTCCATTCTGCTTCGAGGGGAGGACGCTCACTCGGGGCTCAGCACAAACTGATAAGCGCGTTTCGCTTTAGCTGAGCCCCGAGGGAGCGTGCTCCCCTCGAAGCAGAGTGGAACTGCCCGGAGCGCTCGCAGCGCCCCCGCCAGCCACCGCCTCGGCCACGCGCTCCGAGTGGGTCTTTCATATTGCCGGAGAGTGTAGATGCATTTCTGATGATTCCCACTTCTGATAATTAAAAAAAATTTGTGGCTTCCTGGAGTTTAAATTAATGAGAATCGACGCATGCTACAGTTTTTCCATTTGGAAAATTGTGTTTTTAGGGGCTCAAGGCCCAGCCTATCTTTAAACTCCTAAGTGTTCATGGCTGCCCCCACCCCTAAGTAAAGCGTTCTTCCAGATTTATTACTATCTTAGCAAACATCAGCCATCCATTAATGGATAGCAACATGTGAAACACCTGCTAATATGTGCATTATTATTATTTGCAAGGTTTATAGGCTTCTACTCTACTACTCTATTGCATCAATGTGGATACTGGGAGGGGGCCATCAGTCAAGAGAAATAGACATTCCACGAGATTAAGAAGTTTGAGAATCCCGGGAGCAATAACGCAACAAATACTAACATAGCAAATAGTCAATCAAATTTTAGTTTTATGTCCCAAACCAACAAAGGGTATTGGCACGCCTCAGAGAAACAACAAGGATTAAATTCGACTACTTGAAGATCTTTTGTTGAGGAACCGAAATCTCGGTTACACAGCGCCTTCTCTGCAATAAGCCTCCGTCGGATTGCGGACACTTTAGCGGGGAATTCATTGGCTAACGTAGTAACAATTTTCTTCTTGCAAATTGACTTGATTTCATAGTGACGGATGTTGTCACAAGGTGCTTCAGAGAATCTCTGGGGGACATAAATTTAGGATAAGCTCCGCTCACGTCCCAGAGATGCAATGGAGGCCGAATAATGTGTCCCCACATTGATGTACAGCACCCAGCGGGCCTCCCCGGAATGTCAAAGTCATCTGGGCGGGTCCGAGGAGCCTCTTCCTGAGCTGGGAACCCGTGCCCTGCCGAGAGATGCACGGACCCCTGGTCTTCTACGAGTGCACCTTCAAATTTGCGGATGGAACCGGCAACGTGCTAGCCACAAACGCGACTGGTAAGGACGCTAATTACGTAAAGCCGTCCACTTTCCTAAACCCGATGTGTGGTCTTGTAGCTTGAAGGCGGGCTCAAACGTTTGAGTCCTAGTGTATTCGACAGCGTTATGACAACTTGCGATGGCTTACCACGCTTACGGTGAGAGAGCACTCTAGCGCCACCTTTCGGCAGCACAGGAATCACTTCCGTTCTGTGTATAACTAAAATTGGTGACGGGCTAAGAATGCAGTTTACACGCTTCGCAACCAACGCACGCTTCCGACACCTCCATTTTTGTTACGCAACAATATGGCCCGAAATGACAATAGACGGTGTTCTGCCTAATGTTCCACAGTCTGAAGTCAGGGAACCTACCTAACCTTTTGGGCTATGCGGGGCACTAAACCGAAACTGACAAAGACCACGTGGAAGCCATGTGCAACGGGTTTTCCATTCCCATTTTTACAGACCCCAACGTGACGCTCCATGGCCTGCAGCCGTTCCGCAAGTATGCGATGCGCGTCAGGGCAGTCAACGCATTTGGCTCCGGCCCCCTCTCTCTTCCCGTGACGCGGACCACCACTCAGGACAGTAAGGAACAACGGCGATTCCTTCGCTTGCCCACGAAAGAACCCTTAAAGGCGTTCCAAGGGGAACGGGCAATGATGCAGTAGAATTATGTCGCTAATTAACCGTATGAACCGGAAAAATATAAATTGTTGACAGCAGTGGTGACGAGCTCCTGGAGTAGCAGGTTTTAAGAAAGCTGAAGGGGTTCTGTATTTAAGAAAACAATAAAAATACTTAAGTCGGCTTTATATGGCCTCCAGGATTATGAATATCAAAATTATATTTCAGACTGACGCGCCAAGTAGCCACAAAAGTGCTTTCGAAGTAGCGTGAAGCCCCTCCTTCCCGTCTCGTTTGGTGCAAGGAAGGAGCCATGATGAAGGTATTATAATGAGATCTCGACATTTCTGCGCTTCCCGGAAGCCTTATTTGAGCAGTCAAAATGCACTGCACGCGTTCCCTCACAAGCGGCACGCGCGAGGAAACTAAAACCTTTGGGTACCACGTCACACCCGGCAGTTGGTTATTCAGTTTTTCTCGAGTCTATTGATACACCTGGATCAAATTCTTGCAGCATTCAAATTCACGGGACAAAAATGCACTAGAACTCACATCTAACTAATTTTTTCAAGAACCTCTTCAGCTTCTTTTTAATCCCCGATCGTCCTGAAAATATGCTACCTTATAATGCCAAGCATGTGCCCATGTCACACTAAGCACCCGCCTGCCACTTGAGAAATATTTTAAAAAAATAAGCGTTCACCCCCAACTTGCAAGCCTACACAACAAAGCAAGCGCTTCTCCATGTCAGCCACCTCTCCGAGCACAAGGCACAAAGCAATGAAGCCCGACCTATCACATGCCCCTCTGCTCATTTACGCTTGAACCCACTTTTCGAGATTACATTAAAGTTTTAGGTGGCCGTTTGCTCGGTACTTTACAGCAAGTCTCCAGACCACTTTGCAAATGCTGGCTTTCTTTTCTTTTGTGTCTTTTTTTTTTGTATGCAAAGACTTCTTTATGTAGAAACGCCCCTACCAATGTGATTCTTTTCCGGCACAATGCCAGAAAAAAAAAAATAACTGGCCATACGTTTAATGAATGCAACTTGCATGCTGTAGTTCCAGGAAAACCAGAGCAGTTCAGAGTGGAACAGGTCACGGACACGACGGTACAACTGCACTGGGAAGAACCCCGGGAACCCAACGGAGTGCTCGTGGAGTACGAGGTACGCGTCCGCCATGCTCCCAACCTCGCAGCATCTCTGTACCTCACCATTGTCTCCTGCGCGTTCATTACGTGCTGGAGCTAGAACAAGCATGGGACGACTTGGACGGTTCTTGTTTAAAAGTCATTTTATGGTTACAGCAGCGCCTGGCATTCTAAAACCTTACCACAATAGACACTGCTCGTCCCAGTGTGTGATTTCCAGTTTCCTGCGCTTTTCTCTCGCATCCAAGGGGCTTCCCTCGAAGCTAGTATAATTAGCGCGGCAAAACGGGTGATTGCGCAACATTTGTTAGTGGGTTGCGGCGTCTGGCGCCAAACGTGAATCTGTACCATATAACTCGAGAGCGCACGGGCTGAAACCCCCGAAATTTACTTCGAGCGACAAAACGGAACAATTAACATTCCAATAGTATAAGAAACCTAGACTAGTGAGCTATAATTAAAGAAAAAAAAAGAAATCCGGTACCAATCTTTCCGGACAGGAAACCAGATAGATCTCCACCTGGTTCAAAGAAAACACCCTGACCCGAGTAATAACACAACGTCGTTGTCATCCGCAAGGTTAGAACTGCAGGAAGAGGGGCTTCAGTCGTCCCTAATCCAGCGTGATCTTTTCACCTTTGACAGGTGCACGAGAATGGAGTCACCTCATACTGTCGGTGAATACAGTAGCAGTACCTAACTGGGTATTAATTGCTTAGTAGGGAGAACATCGTACAAAAATGTGCCAAAGGAAAAAAATGAGGCACAACGTTTCAACAAACAATCTTTCCAGTCTTCCCCCTTTGTAATGGTGCTCAGCAGAATGCCCCCTCTTTGTTACTAACTGGCTCGTTCATTATTTGAGTTTTTTGTTAACAGAGAGGCATGCTAATCAATCGTTCTAGGTGTTGGTGGAGGGCAGCGACGAGGACGGTCCGCGGCCAGGTGCGAAGGCAAACGTGTTGGCCGACAACGACCGGACCGCGACGTTGGAAGACCTCTCTCCCGGACAGAGCTACAAAGCCCTGGTGAGGGCCCTCACCGTTGCGGGGCCGGGACCGTACGCCGTGAGCCACTTCACGACGGCCCCCGCGGGTGAGCTTGCAGTCCGGATGTTGGCAATCTCTGTGCGCCGACAGATTTCATATCCGTCGGATAATAAACTCAGATGTCGTATCGTCGGATGTGCTTCAAGCCCTTCAGATATTCATCAGACATCTATCCGACATGCATCAGATTGAAACAATGATGCCACATCTTCAGATATGCATCAAACCCTCCAGATAGCCATCAGATATCGATCTTAACCGTCGGATATAAATTCAGATGCCTTACCATCAGATATGCATGCCAAACCCTTCAAATATCCATCATATCAATAGGGTATAAAACAAGATATCATATCTTCAGATAGGCATCAAAACCTTCAGGTATCCATCACATCCATTGGATATGAAATGAAATAACATACCATCCGATATGCATACCAAATTCTTGAGATATCCACCACATCCATGGAATATAAATTCAGATGATGCAAATCAAGCCCTTCAGATATCCATCACAGCCACCAAATATAAATCAGATGCCATATCATCAGGTATGCATTAAACTCTTCAGATATCCATCACATCCATCGGATATAAAATAAAACCTTTCATATCACGAGATATGCATAAAATTCTTTGGGTACCTATCACATGCATTGGATATAGAATCGGATTCCATACCATCAGATATGCATCAAATATCTATCCTAGTTATCAGATAAAAAATCAGATGGTATATAATCGGATATACATCAAACCCTTCAGATATCCATTGCATCTATCGGATATAAAATCAGACTTTCACATCACTCGCCATAGACGTGTAATGTGTGTGGCGGAAACTGTATGAAGGTTTGGGAAGAATGAATAGACATCCTTGATATTGGGGGTCAGGGAAGTACTTCTCTGGCAACAAACAGTGTTGTTGAACTTTTGTTGGAATGACTGAAAGCCCAAGTGGCAACCTCCTCTGGCAAAAGCTCATGCCACATCATATTAACTACCTTAATCTCTGCAATGGTGATGTGAAGAAGTAGCAAGAGCACTTATTTATATCCAAATTTGTTTGCATAATAAAAGTAACATTTTATTGACTCTCTTTTTTAACCAGCTCATTGGAAGCTGAAAAAAAAAAGCTGATTTTGTGATTTGTCTTTGCCCATTTTGTATGCTTCTTGAATATGGCTTTCCGTCTTTCAGGGGTCAAATACGAAGATGTCGAAGTTAGCTACGTCTCCGGAGGTCCTTTCAGCGCAACCCTCCGACTGACATTTCCAAAAGACCTAGCACTGAGGCAAGTGGCCAATCACAAACCTCGACGTCCAATAGACCCTTTTTGAAATTCAATCCCATCTGGTGGCTCAGAGAGCAGTTCCACCTTCGACAAACTAATGGTGGTCATGAAACCTTTGGTATGTTTTATTGGGCATCAACACTTTTGCACACAAATGGCAGATGAGAATTGTTTTTCGGTCACCTCATAATTCTTTCTCGATTTGTTTCAGTTTCGATGGTGCGAACGTACAAAGTGCCGACCCATAAGCCCCTTGATTAAATTTCCGCCATCAAAAGGCTTTAGAGCCCAACTTGAGATTAACTAGACCAAAAGCTTATGCAGTCGTCGTATGCATGGTAATTTGTGCATCATGTCGTACCGGCGTCTCAAACGTTACAGGCCTGCCATATTCCCTGCTCGGTATCTTCAGCTTCCTTTGTCAGCCTAGAGAAGGCCGCCATTAGTTTGCAAAAAGATTGAGGTACACCTAAGCATTCCTTACGAGATGTGAATGCGAAAGCATGCAAGCCGCTCGTCCGCTCCCTTTTTCGTCTGCTGCATACTTTACGGCGCTGGTCAGCGCGTGTGCTCCCCTGGGCATGGTGACCTTGGACACTCCATGCCCAGGGGAGCAACGGCCCAATGATGGATACGCAGCGCCCTGGGGTGAATGGTCATGGAAACTGACGAGCGCAGCAGCCAATGGGAGCCCCGTCGACGCGCGCCAGCAAATAACACCAAAGGATCGGGAAAACTATGAGCCGTTTTCGCGCTTCAAACTGATGACATCAGCTCGCTCCAAGAGACCAGTTAATGCTTTCGCATTAAAATGCCATACACCGAGATGATTATAGGGATCAAAGTTGCCAGACTGAATTTGGAAAGGGTCCATTAGAGTTGTAACGAGACCCTTTATCTCTCCCAGTTACTACGAGGTGGTACTCTCCAAGCAAGAGCCAGGCTCGCACGCTGCCCCAAGCTACCCTGTTGCGAAAGTGCATGCTGTGACCAACTCAACTACAGAATACTTCGTCGTAGGGGACGGCCTCTACTACGGCGGGTTTTTCAATGCTCCCCTTCTCCCCAGCACCGGCTACAAAGCTGTCGTGCTTGCGGTCTTTGAAAACAGCCGAGGCAGCGTGAGTAGACCAAGGAACGCACTGGGGGCATACCGTAAATGATTCCATTTTCGCGAGCTCATTGTTTTACAAACCTTAAGATGTGTCAATTTCGGGAATATCTTGCATGCACAAAAATATGTGACTTGGACTGACATGCTACGTTACCATGGTGAATACGTTCGCCAAATAAAAGTTTTTGCAAAATTTTTTAACTTATGAAATTTGCAAAAATTTAGGTTTTCGTAAAAATCTAGTTTACAGTATTTCACGAGCTTCCCGTAGCCGCCAATACGTGATGAAAAATTGTTTACAGCATTCTTGCCTTTGAATTTGAAGAAATTTGTTTAGAACTGTGCATAACACAGCTTTAAACATCAGGTCGACACGGTTTTGCATTAGGTCATACAGAGTTGAACAGCCTTGTATGAACCTTGCTAACAGGAATACCTCGCTATACAGATTTAAATGTTTGGGGATAAACTGGGTAAATAGGTATAGTACATGCATTTTGTCTCGCTATTATGGATTATGTTTATAGACCATTTTTGTGGGGGACGGAAGGAATCCATTTTGCCACGTGCGTCTCCGAGCAAACACGACCGTGGCCAAATGGTTATCGTGCTTGGCCCCCACGCAAAGGGCCGAGGTTCGATACCTGGGGGCGGACGCACCTTTTTGTTACTTTTGCAAATGTCGCGTTCTGGTAAATTCAATTAAGAACCCTGTTGCTTGCTCGAGGTCCGGATAAAACAGGACTGTAGTGAACACTAAATCGTAAAACCTAATACAGGTGCCCCTACACAAGGAGTTTCAATGGCTGCCTTTCCGACGTCCGAGAAAAACGGTCAATGCCAGCGACTGCGTATTCGTGATAACTGAAATAGGCAACAAGACAGCTAGGCATTGTTGAAAAGTTTTATCTCCCGCATCATGATTTTAATTTGTTAAAGTTGCACACCAACTTAAATGAGGAATGTGCGACTTGTAGAGCAGGTCGTAGTCCCATGCATGAACTAGTGCCACTTCCATGAGATGCTATTTTTTTTTTTTTCCCCAGGAGCCCGTGCGGCTAGCATCCAAACCCCTGATCTTCACCACAGGTAGGCCTATGGCTGGCGTTGGAAACTAAAGCAAAGGTACAGTCGTCGACGATATGGACATAAAGCGGGCACCAATGTGCTGGAGCACATACAATATCTTGTAGCTTCTCCTAGTACTGGTAAAAAAAAAAAGCTAACTAGATGTGAGCATTCAGGCAGCATGGGGTCAATCTACGACACCGGTTCACGCTTTAGACCAGAAATTTGGCCGTTGCAGCATGACTGCTAACCTGAAGTCTTTAATATGCATTGTGTAGTATTTATATATGCAAACTCGTGCCAGTGTGATGCTCGCCAGATCGATAACAAGCAGAGGCAAGGATCAAACTTGGTAGTCCTGGGTTCTGCAAAGCAATCTTTCATCCCACGTGTTCAGACACGTCAGACGTGTTGGAGTCACTGACATAGATGTTTCGACAGGTCAGCCGCTTCCCCTAAATCGCCGATCCAAAGCAGTAACGCTTGTCGCGACCTGTGTCTGAGCAAAGCAGTGAAGCTCGATGCCAGAGCGCTGGTGCAAGCCAGTAGAGCTTGACGAGAGAAACCGGAGAATTCTTAAGTCCTTCACAATTTTCTAATGTTCTAAGAACTATGAATCAAATTGAGCGGCGAATGCAGATCACGAATTATTCAAAGTGTCTAATATTCGCGCACCCGTATGAAAAACAGTCACTTTTTATGCGCTTTTTCCATCAGAAATTCAGAGAGAAATGCGAAAGACTGAAGGGGTATAAGTAGAGGAGTACAGGCCTGCTCCAGTATCCCAGTCCATTTTAAAAAAAAAAAGTTGTTTACCGCAAGTCGATTTGCATCTCCAGAGCCTCATGCAAGTTACCTGTATTGGAATTCAATATTCAAAGAACAATATCCGAGCTCCGTTTCCAACCAAACCACGCACTCAGGAGAAGCGCCGGTGCGGCTGGACATTCGTTCGGTGTCCGTGTACCTGTCCCTGTGGATCCTGGTACCGGTGGCCATAGCCCTCAGTCTTGTGGTCATCACCACCACTGTCCTGGTGCTCTTACTCCGCAGGTGAGTCCACACGACGAACGCTGCCCCTCGGGCCATTTCAATATGTGCAGCCTTTGTCGAACTGCGGGCATTTCGGTTAGGACTTGAATCCGCTGGGAAGGGAACCCTCACATGAAGAGATTAATCACGGGGATATGCCATTACGGCATACAGGAAGGCTCGTAGTGTTGAGCAGTCTCCACTTTTATTGTATGCGAGTCAATCCGACTCCTCGAACTTCCAGAGCCGACAGGTCGTAGTATAGCGTCCGTTAATCGCGGTGCACTTAATGGGTCATGCTTAGAACTAGTCTCTTCCTGACACCTGTCCCATAACACCACAATGATGACAGATCTGCAACTTACCCTCACCACGCCGTAACATTCAGGCTCGGGTAACGACCGAGCACATAATGACTAGGGATGTCGCGAACCTGCCCAGGTCCGAGTTCGACCAAGTTCAACATTTTCAAACTTTCAACGTGATGTTGTACAAAGGTTAGACCAAAAGCGAACTTTTTTGTGCATGCGCGAAAATGGAAAGAAACGAGCCGACACCACCTGGCGGAGGAAAAGTGCAATATTTGGTGGGTGTATTGCAGCGCTGGTTCACATTACTAACTAACGAAAGTGTTAAAAGTACTCATTTTTGCTTTCATATCATGTAAACATAGCTAATCATTGTATAAATTATAAGATAAACTACTTTCTAAATTATTTCTTTCCCTTAGATTTGAAATCTTTGTGTGGAAGCTGGGCAACACTGTCCATGTGTCCAACTTTGCCACCTTGCCAAAAGTTCAAGGGTTCGCCGAACCAGTCGAACTTCGAAGTTTCATGAAAGTTCGCGGCATACCTAATTACGACCTCTCGCAATATTTTACGGCAAGAGGAGAATGCACTGGCATGCTGGCAGCGTTTCTGAGGTGGACCTGGAGCTGCATTTCCCTAGAGCAAAGGTTTTTGCGGTACTTGTGAGATCAGACGTACACACCATCTACGAGAAACTATGGTTTACGACGTCGTCAAAAGCTTGTTGAGACAACAATGACTGAATGATGCACAAAAAAACAGCGACCAGGAAATGTACGGAAATTGAGTGTGTTTCGCGGCTGCCTGACAGACAGCACTAGTGCATTCTCTCATCGCAAGAGGTCCCGAGAAGTTTTGAGGTGCCAGTCGTAAGCAGTTGCAGGTGTGTGGACCAACTTCGCAACTTCCGTCTCTCGTGTCAACAAACGCAGGCAGGAGTTTGACGTGACGCTGCACGATCCAGTTTTCGACGAGCCAGTGATGCGCGCCGACTCGAGTGCGTGTTCCTCCGACGAGGAGCCTCCGAAACCGCTGGCGGACTACGAGGCCAGTCCAAACGTCCCGCGGATTGACTGGCAGACCTTCCAGAGCACCTACATGTGAGGGGTAGGGCCGGCCGGTGCACCGCCTATTCCGGCGCGAGCCCGGCTCCGTTCCGGCTCGGGACGACCAGACTTCCCCGTGGTCCCGTGACGGCCGCTCTCGTCTCGTGGCAACACCTGCGCGAGCGTCGGGCAACTGAGTGTCAGGCGCGCGCTCTTTCCACCGCCGTACTTCCACTTACAAAAAAAAAATTTTAAAATGTCTCGATCTGATTAACTTGGAGATTCACAGAATGTGTTGTGAATGAGCGGGGCACGTGCTGTATGCGTGCGTGACGTCATGCTGGGTCGTGCCATGTCACGTGCCCCTATGGGACAACATTCCTCGTGCGACCACAACCCGTGCGTCGGTCGAACGTGACGGACGAGCGTAATGCGTCGATTTTCTCGTGAAACCCCGCACCAACAGATTGTGTGCTATGAAGTTGGCAGTGACCCCTCATCTCCAGAGTCCTAAAATGTATGGAATGTGGTATTTAAACGAAGCGATTGTATACGTTTGTTCGGGACATTAAACGGTCGTTCGGGGAGCGACGAACACATTGTTCACTCATTTGCCCACCGAAGTTAGCTGGAAAGTTGACGTCGCGCGAGACCGCGACTCGACGCCGCCTTGTCACGTGACCATGTCGTGCGACGTCAGGTCACCGGACGTCGATTTCTCTGCCAAATTTAGCGGAAAACTTTATGTCACAAGACACGGCATCGCGGCGTCGAGTTGTGGTGGCCCCCGATGCACACGACATTACGCTATGTCGATTTTCACGCCAAATGTAGAGGAGAAAGCCTTGGACGGACAAATATTAAAGATTAAGGGTTTACTTTAAAAAGCACTCCATGCTTTAATACGGGTAGACATTCACGGAGAGGAGGAGACAAGATTGCACGGGGACATCAAAACACTGAGATCTGGTTGGAATGATTTGGGGGTAGAAGCAAAGCCAGCTGCCTCTGTCTCTAGTCACTCTTTGAACGTGTTCTTAGAGCAAGGAGAGATGAAGGCGGCCACCTTTGCATCTACCCGTTAACTATTCCAACCAGGGCTTGGTGTTCTAATGTCCTTGCATACTCTCACCTCCTCCCCCCCTTCGATTTCTCGCCGTATACCGAGCAAGTCCTACGTGCCAAAGCGAGCATCTGTCCCTTCTTCGTACACCCAAAGATTTGCCAGTCTTTACTGGCTACAGATCAATTTGTTCACGAGGAAGCGCCCGCTCCCAAATTTTGTTGCGCAACTGCATGTGGGCGCTTGAAACTTAGCAAATAGAGTAAAAAACGGCCAAAAAACTAAAAGCTAAGAGTTTATCCTTTCTGTCATTCTCTTCCACTGCAGCAAGATGCCACCGATCAGATCAGCCAGTAAACAAGTTGTCGTCCCGTGCCCACAACAGATACCGTGCGACCACCGTGATGAAACGACTTTATGACAACTACCGTGATCTCGGCGGATCGCATCGGAAACCCTGCAGCAGGAAGGCCGGCCCACAAACCAGTTTCGGCTCAATAAAGGACACCATTGTTTCGTTTTTGAATGAGGCATAATCACTGGATTGGATTGGATGGGAAATGTCGGTCCACACAACAAATGATGTCAGTCCAATAAAAGCAGTTTCTATTATCATTCAATTTTTTTAATGAGGCATGATCATGGGATTGGATTAGACGGTTGGTCTAATGAAGGCAACTTACACTTTCATTCAACTTTCGAATGAAGAATAAAAGCTAGGGACGTCGCAAACTTTTGGTGAACACGAGGATTGAGTGGTTCAAGGAGCCTTCAAACAGTTATTGATATTCGACAAGGATGGATGGAGGGATGCTAATGGCTGTACCCTTTATAATAGGTGGTCGCTTGTGCCACCTAGTCTACAAACTGTTCAGATGTTTCTAGAGAGTGTTTGACCACTGTTCAAAAGTTTGACTTTTGAACATTATTGCCTAACTCTACACAAAAATCTCAAATTAAAAAAATAAAAACTTATCTCAGTTTATTTAATATTATAGACCATGAGTACTAATGTTTATGGCATCATAAAAGCAAAAATATAATATTTTAATGATTCAGTTAGTTTGACTTGACCTAGGCATATTCGCAACATCCCTAACGATCACTGGATTGGATTGGACAGGACACGCCGGCCCACAAACCAAATGGCGTCCTGTCTAATAAAGCAATTTTCCACTACCACCTCTGAATGAGGAATGACCCCTGGATTGGAATGAATTGGATGGGAGACAAGGCACAAACCAATCCGACCCGACGTCTGCTAGTAGATTCCTGTCGGAGGAGTGTTGCCAAACAGCAGGCTCCATGAGATGGGCGTCTGCCAGGGACCTGTGCGGCCACAGCGTTCCTCTCCGTCCTTGAGCGGCTGCGTGAAAAAAAAGAATTGTAGAGGCCTTCTACTTCACGTGAAGATAGAGGACCAACGAAGCTGTTATTTCTATGACGTCTAGGATGATGCCTAGAGGACGACATCTAGGACGACATCTAGGACGACCTCAAGGACGACTTCTAGGACAACGTCACGGACAACCTTAAGGATGATTTCTAGGACGACCTCGAGGACGACACCTAGAGGATGACGTCTAGGACGACCTCAAGGACGACTTCCAGGACAATGCCTAGAGGACAACCTCAAGAACGACCTCGAGGACGATGCCTAGAGATGATAACAAGGGATCAGGACATCACTATCTATTAATGCCAAGGAAGGCTGACTCGTGCATTTTTTACCAGATCCTAGCGCATAACAGCTTCGCTGTAAAAAGTGAAGTTAAGGGGAAAACAGTTGATCGACAATGAGGGTGAATCACGATCGCCTGGGGTTTTGCGAAATGAAAGAAGAGAAGGATGTAAATATCAGATACAAAAACAGTGTGTCTGTGAACTAAAGTTGTCCAGGGCATAGGCTGATTGCAGATTTCTGAGCGTTTTACCTCGTTGCAAAGCACACAGATGCTTTTCGGATATTCTTTTGTTTCTAGAAGACGTGATTTGTACCTACTTCCCATCGCCAATTAGTGCACTAATGCCCTAATTGGCGATCAGCAGAAACAAAAAAATGGGTTAAGAAAGGTTAAACTGTACAAACAAAATAGAGCAAACGAGATAAGGAATCAAATGGCACAAGTGAGATGAGGATAAAGGGACTATCACTTTGAGTTTGTTTTCAGTTTCGTGTAGAAACTGATGTCTAGACGCACAGTTATTTCTGCGGAATGCCAATTTGTTCTTGACCAGTGTACATCATAAGAGACCTACGGGAAAAAAGAAAAGTCAAAACTGGGCCCTTCGTTGAGATTCTACCGTAAATATTTTTAGCCAATGTTTGACCGTGAAAATATGATTGGTGGAGGGTGAGTGGGTGGAGCCCTCACCTGGCAGAGGTGCAGCCATTCGTCCAATCGATCGGCAAGCAAGATGGCGTCTGGAGTGTTGTCGCCTTCCGAGCAGTACACCAGCAGAAGCACCACGGGAATCTCGTCTGACACGCTAAACATCCAACAGAAAACACATTTTCAAAATTTTACTTACTGATCTCAAAATATTTAAAATCGAATGTGATGTCTTCCAATCATTATATAAAGAAAGAATTTGCAAATTGTAAACCGTCGGCTACGTATAGGAAGTCGTCACTGGACGCCATATTTGTGGGTGCTCTTTAAAGTGCATGCTCAGAACGAGCTCACATTAATAGGCTGCTAAGACCGGCAATCTTGATGGTGTGGAATGCACGCTGAAAAAGAACTGTGGAAGCTCGCCGTCAGCACGCGCTCAACAGTCGCGCACACAGCTATGACCGCCAGTGAATACTCCCTATAGACCTGTTCTTCAAGGGCGCCGCCATCTTGAATTGTCGTCACTTCCAGTATGGGCGAAAACATTGTTTTGCCGTCGCCAAGCCAGTAGAAGACACTTGGGATATAAGCGTAACCGTCACCTATTATCGTTTTGCCTCCCCCTTATTTTTTTAACTAGTTACAGGTTGAAACGCTTTAGACTTTTTTCGCCGCCCATACCGGATATGCTAATTAGGTGGCTGGGGAAGAGAGTACACAGAAAAGGTCTGTAGAGCGACAGTCTTTTGATTTGAGCTGGGAATTTTGTTCTTGCAAGTCACCCCCAAAGGTAAAGATCCCCAAGGATGCATGCTGTGCACACCAGCAGACGATAACAAACTGCACAACTGCCAAACGCAGAAACAAAGTTAAAAGGGGCAAGTGCACAGTACACCAGAGGGAAGTGACCTCACAATCTCCGAGCCTAATTCGTACATTTTTGCATCCCGCGATAACTGGGACACAATCACACGTTCACCAACCAAAAACCCAGATGAATAAAGCAAAAAGGTAATATTGGAAGGCTCACCATTTTTCGAGAAGGGAGCGAGTAATGCCCGACCCTGGCATGAGCAGCACACCGTGAGAGCTCTGTTCGTGAGTGACGGGATCTTGCTTTTCCAGCTTATTCCAGCAGAGGGCACCCAAGTCTCCCTGCACCTGCTGAGTCACTGCCGGGGAACAGTAGTAGTGCACAGAGTACCTGCAAATGTAGCGTGAATACTTGTCAATTCGGAAGGTGTACGTTCGTGTGTTATTCCAACACAATTTGCACTTCCTCGTTCCAACAAGTCTCTTAAATTTACTTTGCAATTCAAGTGCTGTGCCAGAGTTGAATGTTCCTTGCTTGAGTTTTCACAGTGGAGCGGCTAAGGGCTAGTTTCCCCAGTATCGTGTTTGCGGGCAAACAAATGTCAACACAAAACTCTGGAGAGCTTTTGAAAGAGCTAAAATTCAAATCGGACTAAACTTTGTAGTAGTTGTAGCGCACTACTTCTCCCAAAATTCTCGAGGCTTACCGTAAAATACCGGAAATACCGAGCACCTGCCCGTTCTATTTGGAAAATATACAAGGGACGTATCTTTGTGTGTTGTTAACCGAAGGAGTGACCATCCCCCAATTTTACACAATTATCTCCAAATTTTAAGTAACCACTTGCATGGCACTAAAAAAACAAAACAAAAAAAAACTTTTTGACGTATGGCCAACACAAAGATTCAGAAACACTACTAGTAGCCTTAAAACCCTCCCGTACACCCGTCGGCATAAACACAGCTTTGTTTCTTTGCACGCTGCACAGCACACGTCTGGTAGTCGGATGCTCGGAGCAAATAACCGCACCGACGTGACCGTTGAAGATTTCGAGTCCCGCATCCCGTACAGCACATCTTTCTTTTTACCTCGCGACTGGGCGAAGCCCTCGGCACACTCACTTTGGCAAGTCCGACGGGTCGGTGTACTGCGAGAGGCAGCTGGAAAGCATGACCACCAGTCGAAAGCGTTCCTGCTTCATCCAGTCGGTCAGGAACTGGCGGTACTCGGTCCTCGAGTTCTGAAATCAAAAACCAAAACCAAAAAGGGTGGCCTTGGACAAAGAAAGAAAAAACAGATTGCCGACGCAAGATCTTCAGCTTTTGACTTACCGGTGACACCGGTGTCCTCTGTTGGACCAGCAAGAGCTTGCTGCCGTGGCACACGTACACTGCACCAAAGCGAGCGTTTTGGTGAGCGCCCATAAGCCGCGGTCACACACAGCGCAGTCTGCGGACGCCGTTTGCGGCGTGTTTGTTCCTTGTATGACGGTTCTATCGCACTGGTTGTACAAACACTGTCAGCAGACATGTTTGGAGCATGCAAACTTACGAGCGACGACCTCCTCTAGGCTTGTGAGATTGTCATAGCAGCTGCATCTGTACGTGGCTCGCATGCGACGTCGTTGCAAAACGAATTCGGCTGTGCGAGTTACACGCCGTAGGAGCTAATGTCACTGGATTCTGGGAAAGTGACGCCAAGCTCCCCGTATAGTCGCCATTTTGGTTCATGAAGTGAGCAGTTTCTCCTCGACCTCTCCTTTCTTGGTGGGCCGATCCAAATTTCCGGTGACCGGTTGCATTTTAAAGACATTTCTTGAATACCGAGATTTAGTTCTCCACACCGACGAAACAAGCGCGCGTCTTCGTGCCGCCACCACACGCGGCGTCGGTGCTTGGTGGCATCGAAAAAGAATGTTCCTGTCTTGAAATATGCAAGAGCAACAATATCATTGTAAGAGATCTCTGGAGACAAGCGTGACTAATAAACTGATTGCATGCACAGTGCCAAGGACGCTTATATTGGCGAGGAACGCTTTCAGTACGGTGATGCTCCACGGCGATCTTGGCACGGCTGGTTCAGCACAACCTTTTCGAAGCTTCGAAGATTTCAACGGACCAAAATGGCAATTGCCATGGCAACCGAGAGCGATGAGCAAATCACCTTGCAAGGTTTGGTCATCAGTACGTTAGTATCTCTTTGTGTCCGACTACCAGACAGGGAAGACAATGGATCTACCTTCCCAGCATCCAGCGACTTTGGTAGAAGCTATGTGCACAGCAGCAAGGTCCTTCGCGATGGATAAAAATGTGGTGCCAGTGCAAGCCATCCATCTATAGGGAATGCTGACGCCCAAGGAGGTCATAACGGGCAGAAGGTGGTGTCCGTATCCCCCTTACATGGAGCGAAGTGTAACCGAAGTAGGCGTGGCCACAAATTGTCCCCTTGGTCGCTCGGTAAGGGTAGGCATCGAGCATGCGCGCACGCGCGGGCCACGCGCCGCGCGCAGTCCAATGCGGAGAGCAAATAGTCTGCTTCCTGCGCAGGGGTTACGGTGACGTCAGAACGACGCCGAGTTCTGATTGGCTTTGATTGGAAGAACAGGGGGTAGACCTCAAAGCTAGATGCCTTGAGGTCTACCCACTATTTTGTTTTAATTAACCGATGAAAGCTCGGTGTTCTGACATCATTGCAATTTCTCACCACTGAAATAGGTGCCGGCAGCGCCCGTGCGTGCTTCCCTCCGCGCGCCTCGCCATTGGCGCTCCGCAATAGCCCCTCCTCCTCCCCTCTCCTAGGCCCCTCCCCTCTTTATAGGCCACGCCAGCGGCAGACCAGCGACATCAGTACCGCAGGCGAACTTGCGCTGCGCATGTGATGCGAGCAGCGGTGCAGACTCACCTTGGCACGCTGTAGCGAGTCTCTGATCGCCGACTCTGTACGGATTTCCCCCAACCAGCGGTAGCAGGGCAGTGGAGTGGATGTAGCCGACGAGCTCTGTCTCCAGCGTTGACAGGAGCAAGTCGACGGCCAACTGGGCCGCGTTCCCCACCGACACCACGGGCTGTAACGAAGTTGACAATGTTCCGATTGCTTCAATGTGGCTCCGAATCGAAACGTTACTAAAGAAACCAGCCACTATGTTGTACTCACAAATACCAGCACGTATTCCTGCCATGACTTGTCTTTGTAAGCTTGTAAAGGAACGAACATAGTGGAAGCGAGATGGGATGACAGGGCGCTTTTTCCGCTTTTCCTTTACGAGCGATGCGCCGCCGAGAAGCACAGATAAGTCGCGGATAAGTCGGATAAGTAGCCTACTAAACCACGTTGGACGAAACAATCCATTAGTAGCCAGAGCCAGTTACGGAATGCGTTCGTTCATTCCGTTCGATCATTTCACAACGTTCATGACGTCACAGTCAGCAGTCCACAACCCATGAATAAACGAACGTTACTGTAGGCGTGAAGGGAAAACAGAACGGAGCTGACGAAGTGGACGAAGCTGGAAGGCTGTGTTAACTATCAACTTGATTCCGAAGTCCTGACGTTTCGCGAGATCCTTGAAACATAGACGAGATTTTGCTCAAAAAGAACGCGAAGCGTACAAGACAATGACCCGGTAAACGAATACACGGATCCATCCCAGACGAGCCATGGACGGTGTACAGCTCAAAGTCGCCACACAGGTCGAGAACATCAAACGGTTCCAAGAGGCCATCGCCAAGAGCGGCCAACTGAGCCGCGGCATGTGCGGCATCCTGTCCTCTTTCGACGACCGACTCATGAAGCTCGAGCGCACCATCCTGCCTGTCTACCACGAAACCGGGAACCTGCAGCGACGCCAGGAAAACATCGACAAGACGCTCACGCTGCTCGAAGAAGTCGTGTCCCTCTACACCGTCTCCCAGCAGGCAGAGCCCAAGATCGCCAAGGGACCCGGAGACCTCAAGCCGTTCATCGAGGCCCTGGAGCAAATCGAGACTGCTCTCGAGTACTTCGAGCGCCACAGCCCACATAACCCGGAGGCGGCTTTGCTGCAGTCTCTTTTCTCAACTGGCGCCTCCAGCTTGCAAACAGAATTCGAAGCTTTACTGGCCCGCCACAGTCGGCCCATAACCCCAGTTGCCATCCTGGACATGGTAGACGCCGACGAGGCACCCGCGGCCCAGTACGAGCCGCTCCCTCCTCGAGTAGTCGAAGACCTGGCGCTGATGTCCGCCTGGCTTCGAAAGAGAAACTTGACGCAACATCTCGACATCTACGCACGACTGCGATCGCGCAACCTTCAGCGCTCCATGCAAGGACTCCGGGAACACCAGAAGGCCGGCTCGGGCACGAGTGGGTCCCTAGCCCCGCCGCACGGACCCGGGTCATCGCCCCAGCTGGGTGGTCGGAAGAGCAGGGTACCGCGGAAACTCCACGAAGCCCTGATGCGAGGCCTACGGCGCGGCAGCGAAGCAACACCGGCCGAGGCGCCTAGAGATGATCTAGTCGACCAAGAAGTCGACGCCTACCTGACTGCCCTAACGGCGCTTTGCAAACTCATGCAAAGCGAACGGACCCTGCTACAACAGGTCCTCGGGTCAGCAGACGGCAAGGAGCCTGCTGCCCTGCCACTCGAACGTGTCGTGCTTCCAGCTTTAGAAGCCACCACGGCCGAGGGTGAAGCGTTAGCAAACCGAGTCAAAAGATGTGTGGCACGTCATGACTTCGTCACCGTTCTCTGCCTCTTCCCGGTCCTGCAGCACGTTCGAGCGCTTCGTAGGGACTATGATGCTCTCCTGGCTGGACCTACGGGACAGCCGGGCACAGCGGCGGCGGCGAGGCTCCCCGGACTGGCAGTTACTTTGCAGACAACGCTCAACAAGGCTCTCGAGGAACTCGTGGACAGTGTCAAGAGCGACCCGGAGGGCAAGATGCCTCGAGACGGCACAGTCCACGAACTCACCAGCAACGTAATGGTGGTGCTCGAACAGCTGCTGGGATTCGTCGAAGCCGCCGGCGCGGTGCTTGCCGTCTGGGACCTGGCGTCCTTCAGCCAGAGCCGCGATCCTAACAGAGCGGCCCTAGCCCAGTACGTTACACGGGTGTTGTCCGCTCTGAATTTGACGCTACACAACAAGAGTGCCAAGTACGAGGACACTGCACTCCAAGCTGTCTTCAGGCTCAACAATCTGCATTATGTTCTGCGGGCCCTAACTCGTTCGGGGCTCCTGGAGGTGGTGGAAGGCTATGAGTCGTCCCTCGGCCAGCAGTATCTGGACCAGATCCGCGACCAGAAGAGACTCTACTCGCAGAGCTGGAGTCGTGTCTTGCACTACGTACTAGAAGTAGATCGGCCTCTGTCGCCGAGTGCCAAGCTCAAGGACAAAGACCGACAGACCATCAAGGACAAGTTCACCGGCTTCAATCGAGAACTGGACGAACTCTTCAGGGTCCAGAAAGCCTATGCAGTGCCCGACGTGGAGCTGCGAGAGAGCCTGAAACGCGACAACAAGGAGTTTGTGCTGCCAAAGTACAAACTCTTCTACGACAAGTACACGGCAGTGCCATTCACAAAGAACCCAGACAAGTATCTGAAGTACAGTCCGCTAGACGTCTCCAACCTTATAGACCGTTTCTTCGACGCCGCAGCCTGAAAAGGGAGACAAGTCTGCAAGCTTGTTTTGAGCGGTCGTCACCCATTTATTTCCGAGCTCTCCTGACCTCTTCTTCATGCTGACCAAGGGAGGGTCATGGGTTGTGGGTTCTGCAGGTATGTCATGACCACAGCAGAAATGGACAGCCTGCACAAGGTTATACAACAAAAGTATTAATGCAGGGGAATTGGGAGGGAGGTAACATTGGCACAAGTGGAATCATCAAAAGCATTACGGCCAGCAGAAAGCTGTTTGAATTGTCTGCCGTTACTTTGCAGTTCGTTGAATGTCTTCTTTTGCAAGGGCAAAGACCAGCATGATCGCATATTTCTTTGGACTATATTTATTTGGACACGAATAAAAAGGGTACTCGCATAAAACTGCTGAGGATCTGTTTGGTGTCGTCATTGACCCTGGAGTTTGCGAAGCTAATGCTGGAGCAATATAGGGCTACCCAGGCACACCACTTCAGCTGTAAAAAATTAAAAAAAAAAAAAAAAAAAAAAAACTTGAAACATGCTAAACGAACGCAACCGGAAAGCTTGAAACTTGGAAGATTCCGAGAGGATACCTTGAGCATGAGACCGCACATGCTGAAGATCATTGAGAGCACATTCATGTAGTCCGGCGTCGGGTCGTCGCCAGGCGTTCCAGCCGCTGGGATTTTATACCTGTGAAAGATTTAAAGGTGATATGTCCTTTTCAGCGGGGTTTCCGCCTACAAAAAGAGCAACTTGACTGAGGCTACGGTGCTACGGTTTTGTACCTGACAATCTTGTCTGGACGCCGAGGATCGTTGACGTTGTTGGAATGCATCTTTAAAGATTTGTGGTGCGGGATAAGAGGAATAAAGAAAAAAAAAAAGCTATGCCCTGTTATTAAATTACTCGATTCTCGACCTGATCGGCGAAAAACTACGAATGCACACCAGCCATTGCTGGTCTAAATTAAATAAAAATGGGGATGTACGAAACTTAATGTGCGTTTTTTTTATTGGGCGGTGAGGCGCGCCACAGCTTGAAGTCATGCGTACATCCACACAAAATAAACATAAAGAGTTTGAAATGATTAACACAAGCACTGGTTATGTCAATCACTTAAAATATTAGCTTATTTTTTACCGTAGAGTTATTGTGTTTTATCACCAACATGGAACCTAAACTCCTGAACCACTGTCCTGAACTAACAGACAGCGGTAGCGTTTAGTAAACCAGGCGCACATATCCCCAGCATGGTGCGAGGGTAACAGGTGTGAATGGCCGGTGGTAGAGTGTACTGCCTTATGCTGTTTTCTCCTACCAGCCGTCTTTTCAGCAGCTGGTAGCTGGTTCACACGGCCTGAACATTGTTCCAGAAAGACCCGATCCCAGCCAGACTTCTGAACTGCGCAAAAGAACTACGTGATCGCCCAAGACAGCTTCCACAGCTGGCGAGTGAACACGACCCGGGGCGGCCGCATACCGGCAATTGGAGAGCCCCGATCGAGCCATGCGTGGCAGTTCCAGCGTCTACGACAAGCGTCCTCCGACATTCGCGCACTGACATTTCGCTCAAACACCGAAGCGGCATCCTCGACATGCTGCCCCGGCGGTCGCGTACGGTGGCACTCTGTTCGCTGGCGAACCTAATTAACGCGGCGGACCGCGTCATCATGCCGATCGCCATCATTCCCATGTCCGAAGAGTACCGCTGGAACCTCCACTGGCAGGGCTGGATCCTGAGCGCGTTCGCGATCGGCTTCATCACCAGCCAGGTTAGTAGAGCTACAGTAGTAGAACGCCACCCGTGACCATCTTGAGATCCATGGTCGTACACAAATGACAAGCAGACCGATGCATCGGCCCACTGCTGGCGAACGCTGATACATGGTGGTCGCGTTTAAACGACTTCTAAATACGGCACACACGGCACCACCGTTACTGTGCGGAGACTAAGTCGTCTGCTTCTTGCGTCGATTTTGCGATGATATTCAGAACGCCGAGCTCTTATTGGCTGATTAAAGAAAAATAGTGGGTAGACTTTAAGGCATCTAGCATCGAGGTCTACCCACTATTTTTTTCAATCAGCCAATAAGAAATCGGCATTGTTTTAAGTCACCGTGACTCCTGAACAAGCAGACGACATGCTCTCTGCATATAAATTTTCCTCCCCTTATAAAAAAGGAATGCCGTAACACGAAATTTTTATTAGTTTGTAGAGATTCCCGTTCCACGATGTTAATCATATTCCATAGTTTGCCATTTCATCAGGTAATAGATTGCAATAGTTAATGAGCTCACCTTTCCGCACTGGGCATCCTCTATCACAGTACATAACCCAGCAGTTCTGAGGAGAGACAGAAGAGGTGGTGATGCTTGGTCAACAGGTTTAGTCTGCTGGACGTGCAATGACTGCTCTCATTGGCTGCAGCCAACTTTCCCTTGGACTGCTAATATTGTGGGCCCCTATAGTTGGTTAAGAGTTCAGGGGAAGCTCCTCTTACCTCTTCCCACTTTAACAGAGAGAACGCTGGACAGGGTGTTGCCTCCTCCCCAGTGTTCGCTCTGCTAAAGTGGAATTGAATTCGAGTCAAATTTTGGCATTTTTCGTGCCAAACCAACAAAGGGCGTCAGGCATGCCCCAGCGGATAACTGAGGATTAATTTCAATCAGCCGGGGATCTTTCGACGTGCAACCAAAATCTTCTCTGCAATTAGGCTCCAACAGAATGCGGGCACCTCGATAGGATGCACGCCCGCCGCCTGGGGATCAGAAGGCCGGCATTTTGCCTCAGAGCCACCGAGACGGCTCTGCTTGAGTGGAAAGAGGAGAGAGGAGCTTCCCCTGAACACTTAGCCCGTCACCTACTGTAGCCAAAGCAAACCAATGTTGCACCAGCCACGATTCCTCATGAACTGCACGAGTGGCCAGAGCGAGTCAAACGATATGGGAGATTGGGCGTCTCCCATCATTGGCTCCATCTAGCACGCTTGCTCGTGTAACAAACTCCTCCATTTCCAGCTGCTGGGGGCTCGCGCCGGAAGCTGCCACAGCAACAAAGCCGTTATGACCTGCGCCGTCCTACTGTGGTCGACGTCGACAATCGTCACACCGCTCGTGGCGTCTTCGTTGCCCCTGCTCCTCCTCAGCCGCGTCCTGCTGGGGTTCGGCGAAGGCCTGGGCCTCCCCACCATGTTCCACATTGTGGCGCAGACAACGCCGGCCGAGGACCGTCCGTGGGCCTTCTCCTGCCTCATCACCATGGGTGCCGTGGGCCAGACGACGGCCGCCATGATCTGTCCTCACCTTGCCTGGCAGACGACGTTCTACGCCTTTGGAGCGTTGGGACTCGCCTGGATGCTCGCGTGGATGGTCCTCCACCGCGACGATCCTACGCTACCTCGAGAAGAGAACAAGGGACCTCGCATCTCGCAGCTCCTGTGCCACTGGTCACTGTGGGCCATCTATGTGGCACACTTTGCCATGAACTGGTCTAGCTACCTCATCATGCAGTGGCTCCCGACATACTTGTCAAGGGAGCTGGCGGCTTCGGCGGGTGACCTGAGCCTGACGGCCGTGCCGTACGTCTGCAACTCGCTGTGCGCGTCGCTGACGGCCGGCTTTGCCGACTCCTTGCTGGCAAAGAAGCGCTGGAGTCTGCTGACAGTGAGGCGGCTGGCGACCTGCTTCGGCCTGCTGGGTTCGGGACTGTTCCTGTTGTGTTTCTGCGCGGTGAACAGTCTGTGGCTGGCGCTGCTGGCCGTGTCGCTGTCGATGGGGTTGCTGGCATGCAATTCGGCGGGTCACCTGGGGAACCACGCGGATGTGGCGTCGCCGGGCTACGCGGGGCACAGCTTTGCCCTGTCTAATACTCTGGTGAGTGGAGTTTGGGCTCGCTCGAATTTCCGTATGTGAGAGGTTAACGTTATTTTAACAACTCGGTTGGGAAACCGCCATAGAATCTGCTTTGAAAAAGAGGCTCCGATCCATACTCGAGAATCAAACTAAAGGCGATCTCAACACTGCCAACCGCAAGGCTGCAAGTATTGGTTCAGGTCGAGTAGTTCAAGGGCCGGTGGCACAATCTTGCAGTGCCATTTCGCAGTAGCTATATGAATAAACTTTCATGTTTTGACTCGTCGCTAAAAAGTGGTTTCGGTGGACGCGAGCTTTTGGGTTTCAATGGCAAGTTTCCCAACCGAGTGTTTTAGTAAAGTTCGTACGAGGAGGCCAGACAGAATTATTAGATGGCTGGTGTGCACTGAACTAGTTTAACTTCTTGCACTATCCCACTATTTGCAAGATTGTTATAGAGCTTTGGGTTCCTCCGTCGATGCCCGTCTAGGAAGTGCGTTCTTGCAGGTCAACTCTGTTCCACAACTCCGTTTGCTTATACCCAGGTAAATGGGCACCCGTAGCCATAGTTAAATGTAACCGCGGTTAAATGCAACTGCGGTTAAAAGTGACATCTAACTAGCGTATGAGCGAGCTTTCACCCGCTAGATTTAGAATAGCATTCCCAACATTAGCGCGCATTGTGACCGGCACATACGGCGGGCATTACTGAAGGAAACACCAGTTTTAGAAAGGAGTTTCTCCACTGCAACTCGGAATGCTTGAAGCTTTTGTTGGGCATGAAAAATGTTGCATACCCCCCTCAAAAAATAAATAAGAAAATTATTTGAGTAACATTACAAATTTGTTACAACTATAATTGTCCACCCAAAATCTGAAGATAATCCCGAAAAAAGAGAGGGAATTGTTCACGTTAAGCTTCACTGCTTAGCACCTGTGTATGCGCATAAAGCTGCACCACTTTGCACCTGCTCCTTGGAGAAGCAACTGCTTCAGGGGCACAGCAGTTTGATAGGGTGTGCGCTCAATTGGTCCTCTGCTTATATTTCCAACTTCTCCAAAAGTAGGGGGTGAACACTAGTTAAGACATGGGCACATGTTAGGTATTTTACAGCATACGCTGCATGCTTCTGCCACTGCCGATCTGGCACATTTCCTTGCATGCACTACTCCTAAACCCGCCAATTTGGGAATGGATCTCTTAAAATGTTGCGAACAAGAGGAAGTCCGCTCCGTGCACTCGTTACAATTTAGCAAGAGCAGCTTTCAAAAAACCTGTGGTATAATTGGCTTAAAAAGATTCTAGGTCTGTTCTTTCTCAAATCTGTCAGCCTGATCACTTCACGAAATGGCTTATCAGGACGCAAGACAGATCCCAGTAGTGGTTCACTGCTGATTGGTATGTGCTAGTTTCATCGATTCTTTAAAGGCTTCAGAAGCACCAGGTCTTACGGCTACTCGGATACTAACCTTTCAACATCTCTCCGAGCACATGTGAAGTACAGATCCCAAAGGTGACCTGCCCTTTCACAGTTGCCTTCTTGCCGCACAGATCAATCTGCCGGTTACCCTCCGAGCGCGTGGAATGCGCAGATAGCCGAGCAACCCCTTCCCCGACGCAGGCCACCTTGCCGGGAATCCTGTGCGGCCCCCTGACGGCCGAACTGGTCACCCAGTCCCACGGCCGCTGGTTTCCGGTCTTCGTGCTGGCGGCAGCAGTCAACTTCGTGGGAGCCGTCGTCTACGGCAGCCAGAGCTCCACCAACCAGGCCTTGTGATCCGGGTGCCGCCGCCACCAACACTCGTCGTCTAGTCTACGCACACCGACTCTGCCAGTCGCCACGGTGCGATTTCGTGGCGCAAAGACACCGTGGTGAAGCACCCCCAGGCCTTGGATACGGCCGTCTCGCCACCCCCCAAAAGTGCTTTCAGAAGGGAACTATAGTACCACAGAAGTAACGAATTGCATCTAAGGTGCTTACAAGATGCAACTTGTCGCCTTGATGGGTCAGTCCTGTAAGAGTCTCAAATCGCGGCGATTCCCGTAGACTACTCAAAACAAAACAACTCTAACTGCGAGGCCCGCCGTCAGTACTAAAAAAAAAAGTTGTTTATTTTCCTCACTATGCAACATATGTACAAATGCAGTGTCTCGGCAAACGAGAGTAAGTTGCGGTGAGGCCGTGAATACGAAGCAGCGCGCTGTAGTTCCCGCGGGGGCGAGGAGTGCCGGAACGTCGACCGACGCCCGTGCATTGCCGTGCCGGTGTCAAGAAGGGCGTCGTGCGCCGTGGCGCGTCACCGAACACGCACGTCCCAATAAAAACGTCCACGTTCCGCACGGTGGTTGCAATGTTCCCCGGTGGTCGGTGTTGTTGAATTCTCGCGTAGAGCGTCCACGGATCGATCGCGGCGGCGCCACGGTACCCGCAACGCACCTCCGACCGGCGCGTTTAGCGTCCCGTCTCGTTTGTACCTCAAAAGCTGTCCCCAAGTGGCAGCAAATGATCTCCCAAAAGCCAGGGTGTCGCGTCGTCGGACGTCGAGATCCCGGCAGTCGGTCGTAGAAGTTCCAGTGAAAGCACAAGCCGCTGTCGTCGCGGCGTCCCAACTCCTGGCTGCCGTGGCCTCCGTAAACGGTCAATGTGGAGGCAGAACGGACGTCTGCCACATCCACTCTTGGCACCGCCAAGATTGCGGCCGGCGACGGCACGTCGTCGTCGGGTTCAAATCAAGGGATCACTTTCGACGGCGGTACACACGCCGGTCCGAGACACGTCTCGGGCACTGCGGCGGCGTGGACGCGCGCTTACGAGAGAGAGATGGTGACGTTGATGCCGAGGTTGCCGCTGTCGGCAAACAGCTGGGCGATGCTGGTGTCGAAGACGAGGCAGTCGCTGCTCATGATGGCCGCCTGAACGCCCTCGTGGATGCTGCGGGGAGTGGCCTCCCAGGTGAGGCGACGCTTGAGGCCGTTCAGCTCCAGGCGGTAGATGAAGTTGTCGGCCTGCTTGCGCGAGCCGATGAGCTGCACCACGGCGAAGAACTGCTGGTGCCCGTCGTACTTCTCCTGCTTCTCCAGCACCAGCATAAAGTGGTGGCCGAAGCACGACTGCATCATGACCCAGTCCACGGCCCCCGGCAGGTTGATGTCCGTGGCCAGGAACACTATGTCCTCCCCTGGGCAGAGCACGCCGCGGTCAGTTTGCCTGACGGCCTAGGACGACCTCGTGGGACGGTTCTATAGGCTGGTTTGTACATCTCTGAGTGTGCACCAGTGCATTATGTTCCCCGTTTTCTTTTCTTGCTGCTAAGCAATATTCCCCAAGGAAAGAGAAAGGAAACATACAGATCAAAACAAAAACAGGGTTTTGACTGTCAGCATGATTGTTCTGCAGTGGCAAAATCTGGAGGCGCCAAGACGCAAAGCCGCAGCGCTGGTGATGGGGACATCAATCGCCCAGAGCCCTGTGCACTGTTCAAAGAAATTTTAATGCATACTTTAAACGCAGCAGCATCTCTTTTCTTTGTTTGAATTATCTTTCGTCCACCCTTCGCTGCCTCCATGGGCGTACCAACCAGGAGGGCAAGGGGGACGCTTGCCCCCCAGTTCTTAGAGTGGGGGGGCAAAGCATGTTTTGGGTAGTGAAATCTGTAGCTTTTCTCAACTAACCTAGTGCCCTAGTACATTCCATGCTAATAAACAAACACAGACATGCAGAAACACGGGTCACCACGGGCAGGGTGGAAGGTGTGTGTGCTCACCCTGCAGGGTGGTGATGGACTTGTGGGAGTGAACCAGGTGAGCCATCACTTGGTCCAAGGATCCCTGCCACTTGCAGGAAGCCCCAGGGCATGGACATACGTAGGGCCTGCCCAAAGACGCGGAGCGGGCCGGTCATCTCGTGCTCTAGATACGACAGCAACTTCGGGGCGCTTTACCAACAGGCAAAAGTTGCAACTGTTTAGGAATACATTGCAATGTCTAGAAAGGTAGTACGACCCTCTCCCGAAAGGCTAAGTCGTGAGAAAAAGGGGACAGCGCCCGCAAGCTCGGAGGAAAAGGATCAACTTAGCTCCGAGGACACATCAAAGTTAAAAGTAAGCTGTGTTTCAAAGGGTCCCTGCAATCAGTTGCAACATTCTGTATCTATGGCAATACGCCTTTCTCGCTAACATAGCAGCCCAGGAACCATAGCACAAGTTCTAGAAACAAGCATATAGATTATACAATCTTATTGAAGCAGTCATGGGTAAACAAAAAACAACGAAAAAAAAAAATCGGAACAAAGTTGGCAACTTCTGCATCCTCGACAAGAGTCCTCACTTTGCCTCAACTCAATCGGTATACGAGTTCTCTTCACGCAATCCAATATGAAAGAAGTAACTTTAAAAAGCATGGCCTGCTGCTACTTTTCAGCTAAAGAGAGCTGACTCGGAACCAAGTTTATTTTCTTTCCTTTTTCGAAATGCCAGCAGTACCTCATGGGACTACGATAGCTTGCGCTGTGCCACTTGAGTGAACAGAAAAATGCAGGGCCACAAGCCACACAGTGCTTCTGTGGCGCCGAGCTAGCGCTCCACTATATGCGGGAGCGAGCGTTTCCCCATGCTGCTAGAAACAAGTTTCCGCACAAATTTGGAAGCAGCACGAAAAGGCAACCCGTTATCGACCCGCACCCGTACGGGTTTTCGCCGGACGCAAACCCCACGGCGCATCAATGGCCACGTCAAGCCGACGACCGAGCCAGCCGAACTCGCCTGAACTCGCAGGTCTCCTCGTGCTCGGGCTTCTCCGAGTGGGACAGCAGGGCGGGGCAACCCGTGGACGAGTACTTGCACGGGAAGAAGACCGAGTTGGCCACCTTCTCCATTGCCAGGTTGCGGATGTTGCCTGCACACGGGTCAATGGGTCACGACATGCCCGCTTGTAACTCCCGACTCGAGCGTTTGGTCAGTGACGCCTAGAAGACGAGGCCTGCACGGGGCGTCGTTGCAGACAGATCTCCGAGACTCGCCCTGAGCATACAGAAGCTCGACGAAGTCGCCGCAAAGCGGGGGACGCATTCTTTTCGGCGTCACCGAAAAGCTAGAGTTGCGCTCGCTGTGAAAAGCTGCGCGATGTGCTGGTGCAAAGGCCGACGAGGGGCGGGCAGTGCTGCTTGATCCACTAGCGACGACGTTTGGGGGGGGTAAAAAAGATGAGGCCTTGCCTCCTAGGCGGTACTGGTCCCATGCCCTTTCCTCGACACGACCCGGACAACCACGAACATCCAAGCTGGATATCCCTCTATCTTGCCTGCACGTAATAAATGTGCCCAAAATAAATATATATTTTCTAATTTTTTTACAGGTGTTGTAAGGTCGAACTCAGAGATTATTGCAGCAGTGGACAACGTGAAGTGTTGTGAACGAGTGCCCGCGACAATTCCCTCGCCGCATCGAGCTGCAGCAAGAAATGCTGGACAAGTGGGCTTAGCTAAGTATTTTATCCATCAAGTATGCTTATTTTTATTAAAACATTCTAGCATTTCTACCTTCAGTGACCATGTAAGAGAAGGGGGGAAGGGGGGTCTATTTTTTATGATATTTTATCTCGTGAACTATCTATACAGGGCAATATTTGTAATGGAAACGGAACTTAAACAAAAAAATTAAGTTAAAACTGCCAACTGAATGCTGTCTTCGCTAGATGTTTCTCCCTCAAGTTTGGTGGATATTAGCCAAGGGTATAACTGTCCTGGCAAGTTTGCTAGATAACTAAAATCTGTTAATTTACTCTTTAATCAGTGGTTTTACGGGTCATGTTGCAATTACAGGAGTGATGGCAATTACTATTAAGAGTTCAGGCCAATTAACACAAAATATTGTGTTTAAAATACTAATTAATAAATTTTCATTTTTTTCAGACTGATTCGAAAATTGTGTGTATAAAGTGCGCTACGAGCCCTGCGCACAATGACCCATTGTGGTCAGAGCTTGTGGCGCGCCGTTTTTAAACCTGGCCAAAAAAAATGTTAACTTTTATTTAAAATGTTTTAGAAACAAATTATATTTTGGAAATTCTTTTAATTAGTCTGGCCTCTAATAGTAATTAGCTTCATACCTGTGATTGCAACATGACCCGTAAAACCTACAGCTAAAAGGTTAACAGATATTATAATTAACCAACTTACCATACAATTATTCTCTCGGCTAATGTCTGCCAAACTCGAGTAACACCTAGCGAAAACAGCATTCAGCTAGCAGTTTACTCTTTTTCTTAAAATTCTGTTTCCATTAAAAACTATCACCCCATATCCAGAGAAGTTTCCGTCCACTACGGTAGGCAATTGGTGGACTAGCCTGTGGTGTTTAGGAGAGGACCCATAGGGTTTTCCTGTAGAAACGCTAGCTTCCCATCTTAGAAATTTGAAGCGGATTATATTTCTGCAGGCTGTCAAGAAATGAACACGAATCCAAATTTGTCAAATTCTAGTCTTTTGCACGTTCATTTTAAATGTTTGATATCAAGATTAAAAAAAAAAAAAAAAATTCGTGAGTATTTTGAAAGTTTTGTAATGGGAAGAACAGTCCACGAGTCAAAATGTTTACATACATCACCCGACCACTCCACACTTCTTGCTCATTCGCTCAAGCTCTGCGGAAAAGGTGTGGAGGGAGGTTGGGGTCGTCCAGAGCCGACCATAATAATAATGATGACTTACAGGCTCTTTCATACTTTTAGGAAGTGCCCATGTTGGATGACAATTAGCAGTAGTAGCCAAAGCGCAGTCATAGGAAACATTTACATATACTTAGGAGCAGATAATTCTCAATATTAATAACAAGTTTTTCTTTTCAGTTTTCCCAGGAACCCGCACTCGTAAAATTTTAAATGGGATAACTGCACCACCAAGACACCCATGTGAAAAGTTTATTTTCACTGCATTCGTTGGGGTATTCATGCGGATTTTTGTGCCCGAATATTGCTCGAGAACAGCCTGCTAGGATGTCCTTTGCATGCCTCGGGAATACACGAGGCTCGCCCCGTAGACATTGCAAGTTCATCCCCTAAACGTTTTCTGGATATCCACGATTGTTTGGATGGCACGTCTCTAGAACATCCTCTGGACGTGTCACGGTATAAGAGACACGTCCTGTGGACGTCAGGAGTTCGTCCTCTCCACGCTTTGTGGACGTCCACCCCGGGCAATAGACACATCTCGAGGATACCCTCTGGACATAAACTGAATGTTTGTGACATCCCCCAGACATGTGATATGTTGCGAGGGATATCTGCTGGATATCCACTAGATGTAACATGGTTGTCTGGGAAGATCGGCGGAAGAGACGGTGGAAGGCATCTTTTCATAATCGTAGGTCGCCAAGCAGCAGTGACCGGCGAAGAAAGGGGAATCAAGTGACCTCTCAAAGCAGCCTAAACAAACTCCACATTAAAAAAAAAAAAAAAGCTACGGCAGCGTTTGTTAGGCGGCATCTGCACAAGGGTCGGATTGGACAGATTACTCCGTGGAGCGCTTATCTCGCAAGTAAGACGCCCAACTTTCACGGTGTGTCGCTGCGACGTCGGCTCCGCGACGGGGGCACGCTCGGGCTGCAAAAACGGCCTTGATCCGACGGCAGACGAGCGCACTTTTAACCATAATTTGTTGTTGTCAGAACCTCCGGTGCCAAGCGCAAAAACCAGACAGCCAGTCACGGACGGTCTTGCCCTCCCGATTTCGTACAAAAGGGGCACATCACCTCTCCCATTAATGTATATAAAAAGAGGAGGGGAAAGAAAAAAAATTTCGAGCCTCACTGAAGGTGGCTTTGCAGGTTCAACCATTTACAAAACCTCAATTATAGAACTAAAACCAACACTTCCTAGATAAGAAGCCACAGCATTAAATTTGCCGAGTCATTTACTCGAGGCCAGCAAGGGCACCGGTTGGGCGTCAATGCGGCATTCGAGCACTACAGCCTTGTGTTTCAAGAGGTGTTGCCACAACACAAAAGAAGCTACGAGAGCGGGCCGGAAAACGCGTCGTCGAAATTGCGTCTATGCCACGTTTCGCCTCATAACGAACTGCAGAGGACGCCACGAGCCATCCCGGCCAACTAATTGCCGTGAGCGTATCACGCGAGTGCGCACCTCACGCGTCGCTGTGCCGCTCCTGAAGGTCGCACAACCCTCAATTGGCATCGAAGGCTCGTAGCGTTTCTTGCGGTTTATCGTAAGGCGAAATGAAGTATAAATCAATGACAAGAGGCTCTCAAGTCACGCCGTGGTCAGTCAGGTGTAGATCCCTTACTTCACATGGATGCAGGTAGAAACAGAGGAAGATTAGATGAGTGTGTGTCTGGACATCAGAGCGCAGAGCTTTGATTCAAATGAATGGAGGGCAGACGCAAAGCTGACTGCTTTTATTAATACGCACTCTACAAACGCATTTGAATGCCGGCGTCCACATTCAAACAGAACCTAGACACAAAGGCAGCTAACTTTGTGTCTAGTTAATATTCATTACAGTCTGAGCACGGCACTCCCGCGTCCCTGAGCGCTCTAGTACCCACGCGCTGTTGCATTACCACGCACTTGTATCTCGTGCTCCCCCTCAGAGCATTTCTGCACATGCATGGTGTTCACACATCGGCATCTAGACTCGTATATAGCTATTTTGTAAATCATACCACATCTCCTGTTTCTACTACTACTGTAAATAATGCACTTCAGTGCATGCCTTCACCCCTGCCTAATTCCATATTTCTTTTTCCCACCGATGTATCCGAAGTCTATAATATATTTATTAGCCTAAACAATAGTAGAAGTATTGATGCATACATTATCTAAATAAAACCAGCAAAGTATGTTCTAGATATCCTAGCACCATACGTAACTTATATATTCAATCTTGCACTTGAGTCCGGTGAGTTTCGCATCAAAATGCATAATTCCAAAGTTAGTGTATTGCATAAAGGTGGCGATTTCAATAATATTAACAATTTTAGACCAATTTCTATACTTCCAGTATTCTCTAAGCCACTTGAAAAAAATAGTTTCAAATAGAATTGTCTCTCATCTTGAGATATACCTTTTAATTACAAATTCTCAATTTGGTTTGCATAAAACTTATTCCAGTGAGTTAGCATTATTAAAACAAAAATAAATAATATTAAGAAACTAGATAATCGCTTATTAACAATCGCTATATATCCAGATTTCTCTAAGGCCTTCGACACAATAAATCACAATGTCCTGATAGCAAAATTAGAATACTAAGGCATTCGTGGGAAAACTTTAAGTTTGTTACAATCTTACTTACAGAATCATACCCAGCTTGCGTCTATATTAAATTTTAAATCTGAATAATGTGTCCCAAGGCAACATTTTAGGCCCCCTATTATTGTTCTTCATATTAACGATATTGTGAATGTATATCATGATCTTAAATTTGAGTTTATTATATATGCTGATGACACTAGCATCTTTTCCGATACAGATATCCATACTCTAGTAACTAAATGTAATAGCGTTCTTGATTGTGTAGAAAAATGGACAAAAGATAATGACCTTAAGTTATATTCGCAAAAAACCAAAGCCATTTTATTTAAAAGTCAACTAGCTACAGTTATGATCCGAAACCCACTGATTTTGAACAATGAATAAATTGAATTTGTCGACACTATTAAAACTTTAGGCGTTTGGTTTACAAATGGTATGTCTTGGAATAGACATGTTGATTATCTTTCGTCTAAACCAGGGGTCTCAAACACGCGGCCCGCGACTCGCTGGGAAGCGGCCCGCAGGGCAATTGGCTGCAAGTCCCGGTTTCTATGTCTCGAGTGCTAGAAATGACTTGCGTCATAGTAACCTAATCTCGTCGATTTATTTTCGCTCGAAAAGTAGCTCTGCTCTTTTAACATATTAATATATTTTAAACTTACATGTGTTCATTTAGCCCTTGTTTCGCTTTATTTCTTGCTTCCCAGCTTTTTGTAATGCACAAAAAATTCCGTTACTAGTCTGCCAGCACGAGCTATTCGTTGAAGGATACATGTCGGGCTGGGCAAACTCTCGCTTGGCAGGGGCAAGTGCCCAAGACATAACTATGAGCTTGGAATACTCGCCTTCAAAAAATATCACCATTAGAAAAACAAGTATTTGTTCAGAGTGTTATAATAGCAATTGTAAGGAATGCAAGAACTGTCAAATTAACTTATTGTTTCCTAAAGACATGTTGAGCTGGGAACGACAGATTAGTAAAACATATATAATAGCGCAAAAAACACAAGGACAAGTATACAGACAGGCGCTAATCTTGTCCTTGTCTTTTTTGCGCTATTATATGTTTTAATAAGATGAACCAACATGAACCAACTAGGCCAACAACGTACCCTACTGAATGACAGATTACTTGCTATCTTGTTCTATTAAAAGTGCCAACACGTTGGCGGGCGGTATCATCTTAATTCTTGTTATCATATCAGGGTAGGGCCCAACGTAGTCATATAAACAAATAAAACTTAAACATGTCACTGGCAAAACTGCGAGTTTACAAAAAGCATAGGTCAGGAGGTCACTTCTAATTAAAATCTTCTACCCCCCCCCCCCCCCCCCCCGTCTTAGCTTGGCCCTCGACCTTTCCGATGTGAGCTATCTGGCCTCCACACTCAAATGAGTTTGAGACCACTGGTCTAAACTGTCGAAAACAGTGGGGTTACTACCCAAGTTTAAATCATTGTTACCTCGTTGTGTTAAGCTCCAACTTTACAATGCTTTGGTATATTTTCAATTTATTTATTGTCATCTAGTTTGGTGAAATACAACAAAAACAAATATAAATAAACCACATACTTTCCAAAAGAAAGCTGTGCATGCTATTGCCAATGTTTCATATTATGATCATACTGAACACTTGTTCTCATTATTTAATACAAAACCAATTTCAAATATTTACAGGACTCGACTTCTTGTGGCATACAAGAAGTCTACACAGTTTAAAAATAAAGTTTTTGAGGAATTATGTAACCAAGTACTTTTCACTTCCTCCATATCAACTCCGCCCTAAAGAAAAATGGTTTGTTTCACCATCATACATTATACTATAACCACAAGCTTAATTACAAATTAACTACTTTATTAAATGAATTATTTTTAAAAGGTGTTGATATTCATGCAATGACGATGGCAGAGGTACGAGCATTATTTTAAGGTTGTTTTCTTAGGTATGGCTAAGGCATACGGATCACTGTACCATTGTATACCACAATGAATGTATTAATTTCATTTTTTTTCTCTTGTTTTTGTTTGATCTGTGGTCTGTACATTAAAAATTGTGTCCTTTCTCTCAATGTAGCTATTTTGTCCGTTTTTGAAATTGCTTAGGAATCGCCTGCTGTAAATAGGGCCAGGACCTCCGTCAAGCTGCTGCAGCTGCTTTTTGTCGTGGTCCCCCGTTTCAGTGATGAAATAAAATAAAGGTTTATTATTATTATTATATCATTATGGAGTTCGCCGATCGGACCTCGGCAACACAAAAGCAGCGGCGCCATCTTCACGAGAATTCAATCTGCGCACTCTAAACTTTGGCCCCAACTTCGTATTCGACGAGTCTAGAGCTCTTGGTGCAAGCAAACGCGAACTCGCACTTCAACGGCGCGTCTATCTATAGACCACAAACCTATGGGCCCGCGGCAGGTCGGGCAGCAGGTCAGCTTCTGGCGGCACGAGGAGCAGACGAGGTGGCCGTTCTGGCACTGCAGGATGGGCGGCAGCACGTAGTCGAAACAGACAGGGCACTCGAAGAGGCTGGCCAGCGCCGAGGTCGAGTTGGATGCCGGCGTCGGGGAGTTGCCCGGGAACTGCGCCCTGGCCTGGTGCGCCGCCGCATCCGCCGCGGCACGGGTCGGGTACCCCGGGTCCGACTTGACCTTGGGCGGCGGTCGATTCATCGTGGGCGCAGCACACTACCGCTGGCAAGGTTCCACCTGCACGGCGTTCCGCGTCGCCCGCATCAACGGACGCTGGTCAAACAAGGGTCAGATTTGGGTGGTCTTACGTGCCAAACCAACGAAGGGGTGTCTGGCCAATGCCCCTTAGAATACATTGCCTGTGCTTTTGCCCACATTGAACACCATTATTAGCGGGTCCACGTAGTGCTGCCTAGCCTCCCCCAGATTACGGGCACCGCCAAATCGGCACCCATAGGCCGGCATTTTGTCTCATAGCCAACAAGGCGGCATGCATGTTGAGTTATCAGAACTTGATATCAATTTCTTTGCGCCACGTTGTAAAGGCTGGATTAGCTTCTACAGTGCTCCAGGTGACAAAAATGCTGAGCATGCAAATAGCTTTGACAGCACTGTGGAAACCACGCTAGCCTCGACAGCACACCACAAAAGAGTTGGCACCATGTACAGCTTTGCAAACCTGGCTGGGCGGCAGACGTTTACTTCAGCCACTTTATAAGTAGGTAACTTCTATCTCTGGGAATGCATACGGCTGGTTGGTTACTAAACAACATATAAAGGTATTTGAAAAATTTACTTTTATTGAGTAAGTGCGGACTGAGTGTGCACAGTTGCATGCAATTTCTGAAAGACTGACACCTACAGATGCACAGCAGCCAGTCTTAGGCCCGCTTCAGACGGGGCAACTTTTCCAGCAATTTTGAGGTTGCTGGCGGGTTGTTCCCTAGCTTTCCCTAGATCGACGTGAACTGCTCAGATCGGGACCGGCTCAAAAAAGCGAGCAACTCGGAGCAATTCGAAGACGGTTGAAGCAGCTGCAGCCAATCAGAGACTCAATATTTTCACTTACACTCCTGTGGTGGTGATGATGACAGCTAAAGACTTAGTTCTGGTTTGGAATGAATCGTTTTCGGAAATAAACAGTTTAAAAAAAATTAGTCAGTATACTCTACGCCGTTCAAAGATACAAGAACGCGTTTTTAGCGCGTAGCTGGGCGTCTAAATAGTGAAAGAAGAATCAAATTTAATGACGATGACGGCAAGTCGGAGTAATTTGGTTGCTGCGTGTGAATGTGGGCGGCCGGTGTAGCGATGTCAAGTTGCTGGGTGAAATTGCTCTGTCTGAAGCGGGCCTTACAGTTACAGACTGCAAATGTATCTACTGTTGTAACTAATTTAAAAGATGCTAATCTTTTGCTTGAGGGCTAGGGCATGACAAAGCACAATATCTCGCCAACTGCACAGCCACTGAGTGATCTGAGGGTTGGGTTTGTAAATGATTGCCAAGAAAAGTCGTCTGAAATATGTCCCCTATTCCGCAAAGTTTACATGAAGCCTCACCTCCTTGGCGTTGACTTACGCTGAGAACGACTACCGCATTTACGACAGGACGCCTGTTACGAGAGCGTTTCCGGGCGACAAGAATTCCTCCGGGCCTCTACAGAACATAAAAGTAATAAGGATCAGCTAAAGCGGGCACAAAATTCTCGAGTTCAGTAACTTTCGCCGCCCTAAGAAACGCTCTCGGAACAAGGAAATCGGGAGGCTGTGGCGTACCCAACATCCGAGGCGAGAAAAAAAAAAAAAAAGATCGTAGGAATGCGAACACTCCACAGAAAGAGACTCACTGAAACTTCAACCAGAGTGGTTCACGCTTCTGTGCAAACAGAAACGCTACTATTATCGACGCCTGACGCTATTTGTTTGGATCAGCGATGCATAAACAAACTCCGGCACAAAAGATGGCTATAGTAGCCACTGCGTAAACGCCTGAAACAAACGCAAAAAAGCTCGACCTCCGTGGAAAAAGATAAAGGGAATCCGAAGTCCCCCAGCGAGAGCGCTTGGTATGCGCTCGGCGACATGTCAACTGTCTCCCGTAAGTGAAGAACGGACAAAAACGCACAAAAAAAAGCTATTCCTGCAGTCATCCAGCACACTTAGAGGTCACAAAGGGAGCTTTAGCCTCAACGGCCCAGGACAAAAAGGCCAAAATGTGCTGAAACGGAAGGAATCCACGCACAACCGAGCCAAAAAAATGCTACCTTCGATAAGGCAGTGGGCTTCCTAGTTAGCTAGCGGGCCAACGAACGAACCGTTCAGCACAGTCGTCATTCGGGCTTGCATATCGCTACGTTTTGACCTTAGCGGAGAAGATTGTTACTTACGAGACAAAGCTGCGCGTGCATTTTCACGTTCATATTGCTATCACGTGCTCGGAGCTCTCAGGATAAGGCTACACAAGAGAAAATACGGTCACGGTCTAAACCCATCTCGGCTACTGCAATCTGCAATGGCGCAAAACCAACAGACGACAAAAAAGGGAAAAGAAGAAAAAAAAAAAGAAGAAAAACAAGAAAAACGAGAAAAGAAAGCGTCCGAGCAGGAAGTGGTTCAAATGGTGATTCGTGAAGCAAAAATCGCGATTTACCTATTCAGAAAGAAAAATCGTCTTTTTTAAATGTCTAGGTCAAAATACATAATTCTAAAAGATACCATCTCAATCACTGTGCTGAATATATTGCAAAAACGTTAACTGAAATGTGGTTATGTTCTCGATTCAAACTTTAAAGTGTAAATATTATAAGTTTTGCTACTTGGCTTTAAAAAAAATATATTTAATATAAAAATTAACACAAAAAAGTAAATTAAACACAAAAAATAACATTTTTGTTGTTATGTAATCATCATCATTAATAAAAACATAAAGAGATGCTAGCTATATTTTTGTAACAGACGGTAGCTTGCGCCACCTAAGGTATGTTGGCACAAGACCAGTGGTCTTTAGCCATACAGTTATGGAATCACTTGCAAAAAAATTGATTAATTCATTCTGCTGGAGGAACTAGATAAACTTCGATGTCTTGCACTCTTGCGCAAGACTTCGAAGTTTATCCAATTTGAAACTAATGTCCAAATCCAAATTTTATAAACTTTTTTTTTTTTTTAATTAGGGCATATACTTACAATAACAATCTATCATTTGGTAATCAAGATGCTCAGTCTTGCTCAGTAGGCAAACGCTGCAGGCTGATTTGCCGATCCTGCTCAGTCAACTGTAGTGCGAAGATTCCAATGAAAATGGCCTACACCCTACACCATAGGAGTTGACTGCGGGGGGACATCGAGGCTTGTGCCCTCCCCTGGTGAGATTCGGGGCGGAGGGAGGGGGAGGGGAAGAAAGCCTCCCCCGGATAGTGTTCTAGAAGGGGTGCCTGGGCCATGACCTTTACCGAGACGCTGTTTACATGCCATGCAACGAGCTTCTAGTAGTGGCATGTAAACAAAATAACACCCACATTGCCTTTGTTGACAAAATACGTAGGAAATAGAATCCCAAGCGTGCTTTCGTTAGCTTCAATCTCCAGTTCTGGCCGAGAAGGTAACGCTCACTCCCCGCACTCCTTTCCCCCCCCCCCCTCCCCCCCTGCCCCCACCTGGGAAAATGGAAAGTCTACGCCGCTGCCCTACACAACAAACAAATTTGCTGTACAACTCGGCTTTCCAACTGCCCATTACTTGAGCCACGACATATTCAGCACTGTGTGCAGTCTCTGTCCATGTGGCTGCAGCGTTTGTAGCCCAATCGTCAACCTTGCTAAATAGATTAATACCATCCGCACTATGGACAATACAACCTAGCCACCTGAAGTTGACAATGCAGACATCGTCCCGTTTTCTGTTGCAGAATCTATACAGCAAGCAAGCGTTCCAAATGAGTCTTTGGTGAATTGGAACGCAAGGATAAGCATGGCAATCCAAAGGTAACACAGGCAGTGTTCTAATATTTACTTAATCTTCCTCCAGGATAAGGGTTCTGTACCTTGACTTTCTTCTTACCAGTCTCCAGCCGTTTTCAATCTGTGCTGTCACGTGACATGACCCGCCGGAGCAACTCTGATCCCTTTGGGCAAGATTAGGGACACAGCCACAAGGAATGCGCGATACGACGAAGCAGCCAAGCATGCGTCGCCACTGGCCAAGGTCATGGGGAAACAAAAGCATGTGGGCAATTCGGCGGGTAAAAAAAGGCACGAGGCACACAAGGAGCAGACGGACTTGCATGCCACATTGTGTCTGATGCCGCCCTTCTTTCGCAGTTGCTACACAAATCCCCAGGAAAGGTACACACAACAAGCAAAAGAACAACTCAAAGAAACTGTTTATTGACGATGAATGACATGAGGCGTGAATCGCTTCTCGCGCCTTTCGACCATGACTCCTGTGGCCTAATAGTATCTGTTCTCGACAGCAGACTCAAAAAGAAACGGAAGAGCCGGGCAAGACGAGGCGCTTCCTGTGCTCGTCTGCCCGACTCTTCGAACAACAAATGAGGTGCACGGCTACGGCTACGCAATGGGGAATAAACGTAAGCAACCTGTGTCCGTGCTGTAGCTTCCGGTAGAGGCCTCAGTGGCCGTTGGTGGCCTCCATTTCCACGTCTTCCGCTGCAATGAAAAAAAAAAAGAAAGCTTCCAGTATGATGCGACCACACGGTGCCTGGAAAGAGTCTCCGACTGAAGTGATCACCGCAGGTGTCATCAACAGCCGGAAATCGATATCCCATCCATTTCTGGCTCATGATGACACCTGTCTTCAACACTGCTGCTTGTTGTTATCCTGGCAGGTGTTGCAGCAGGGGATGTGGATGCGGCAGGCGCCACTACGACGACGACCGCTCGTTTTCTTTGCCGGCATTTTTACGACCAATCGTCACGATCGTGACAATGCACAGCGAGACGCACTGGCTTTCGCGACATACTTCGAGGCTACTTCAGGTATGCCTCGATGTAAAGCAAGCACGGGATGCTAAACACAACAGTCGAAAACATGTTCCAGGCCCCTGGTGTTGACGAGACAAAACGGCGACGGGCGCCCACTCAAAATTTAGAGAAAATCGCGAAAAAATGGGGGATGGGCGCTTGTCCGGTCATCAATTTTACGTATCAATGTACTGTGCATATTTTCTCAGATTTTAAAAAATTTGGGTATGGGCGCTTAGTGTGGTATGGGAGGATGCACGGTATTCTACTGTAAGTGCACGCGCCCCAGCAAATCGTCAAACAAACCTTTTTTATAACAATCTGCTTTAAGAATATCTGGAAGGGAGGCACAAATCACCAAAGCTAAATACCATTGGCTCTATTAAACTGCGCCGGCCGAGATTTACCTTCCCCTATTGTAGCTTTTGTGTCCACTGCGCCCCAAAGTCTGCATTCATACACCTTCTTCCTCTTCCATTCCTCTTGAGCAAAACAAAAATTGACAAAAAGAAAACGAAATAGAGTCCTAAACTTTAAAATAGACCTATTACTAACTTACCCGAGCATCATAGAGAATGTTGCAGACTTAGGTACACACGATGCATGGGCTAGCCTTCCCTATAGAAAATAGTGCAATTAAAAACAATGTTAGGAACGCAGGTACATGTGTGTGCAGAGTGCCATGTGTTTTAGATTTTTGCTTTCGAACAGTTTGAGCTGAAGAAGCTAGCATGTGCAGAGTGTGTACCTACCTTCCTGACATTCTTTGTGATGATTGGGCAATTCAGCAAAAGGTCTACTGATTTCGACAGCAGTCACCCCGGAAAATGGTGAATTATGTTGTTTCTACCATGATATCCAACCACACCAACGTTCTTCCGGAGTGTTACGTTACGTTATGCCGCGAGACATGGAGGCATCCGTGCTTCGCATGTTTGCATGCAACTCTACACCTCTAATTGGTTACCATGCTTCAAATGAAAGCACGGACATCCCCGTGGCTCTCGACATAAGCTCCCGTAACGTGCTGCAACATAAGCAAATGCTCCTGCATGAATGGGCCTTTACTTGTCGATCAACGTCGCACTTCCACGACTAAAACCCCCGGAGCATTGCAACGCCAACTACTCCGACATAGCCCCCTGCAAGATAACCCCCTCCCCCCCCCCCACTCCACCCGTACCACCACCACACTCACTGCCTGGTGGCTGCATTGCCTTGCCGGAGGTAGGCAGGGGCGCCCCCGCCTGCAGGGCGCTGCTCAGGTGCTCCATCTGGTCCAGGGTCGTCGCCACCATGATGGCCTGCCGCACCGCCTCCAGCTGGCGTCCTGCCCCGCCACCTGCAGCCTTGTCCGTCCCCGCTTGCCCGGCCTGGCCCCTGTCCTTGGTGGCGCCCATCTCCTTCTCCAACTGCTTGCCTTTCTTGCCCTTGAACAGCTGCTGGGCGTCCGTGCGCTCCTGCCACCACACCGATAGAGAAGCGAACAAAGTGACACAGAAAGTGTTTTCACAACTTTTAAACAATGAAGTGCTCTATACTCTGTTTACCCCCAAGCTAGCAGTGTGGTGGAAAATATGTCTTCATTGCATCAGTGATAAGTCTACTTTCCACCGCATGGTCACGCTCCCCTCCCCATACCCAAGCGCAGAGAGCAAGAGCAGGTGACGAAAGAAAGGCGACTGATTGGTCCGGTGCGTAAGTGGCTTCCAACATGCTGTCAGCTTAAAGGGAAACGGCATATATAAATCTCGTTTTTTGTCTAAACCACCGCCAAAACCAAAACTCTGCATTTAGACGAAATACTGCTGCTTTCGTGCGGCCCCATCCTTGAGGATTGTCAATCGCGTCTCGGCCAAATCAGCCTGTCCTGCCCTGTCACTGCTCGTGAAATAATGGATGCTCTTCCAGCGTCGTGAGGAAGTAAGGATCGACGTTTCCAAAAGTTGAGAGAAACATAGCGATAGACATTTTGCAAAAAGCACCCCCCTGGCAGAGGTCAGCATTTTAGGTTGCTTTCACTTTCACTCACCCTCACCCTCACAGCACACTCACCTAAGCCCCTCACAGCTACACCCACCTTCAGCCCCAACTCACCCTCATCCTCAGTCACACCCACCTTCAGCCCTTCACTCACCCTCACGCACTCATGGCCCTCACGCCAGCTTCAGATGGGGCAATTTCGCCCAGAAACTTAACATTGCAACACCAGCTACATGGGCCGCCCGTGTTCACACGCAGCGACCAGTTGCTGCAATTTGCCATCGTCATCTTGAAATATTTTTTTTTTCTCACTATTTAGACACACAGTTACACGCCAGGAACGTGTTTTTATGCACTTAAATCTCGTTGCGAATACTAATGCACCTTTCTGAAACAGTTTATTTCCAAAAACTATCAATTTCAAACCAGAACCAAGTCTTTTGTTGTCGTCATCACAGGCACGAGGTATCGCGTGAAAATATGGCGTCCCTGATTGGATGCAGCCGCTTTAAGCGTCTTCGAATTGCTCCGAGTTGCTCGCTTGTTTCGAGTTGGACCCGATCTCAGCAATTCGTGTCGATCTAGGTGAAGCTAGAGAACGACCCGCCAGCAACACCAAAATTGCTGAGAAAGTTGCTCCATCTGAAGGGGGCCGCATGGACTCACCGCCCTCACTCACATTAACACTCATGAATTTTCCTGGTTCAGGAAACTCGCTCACCTTCACCTCACCTATGAAGATGAGGGTGAGTGAGGGCCCTCGTGAGTGAGGTTTGCCGAGGTATGCTTTCGTGACTCCGTGCAAGTACCGTGGCCAGCATTCACAAGATCGCTGTACACACAGGGGAACTCCAGTGACCACCTCTGGTATTAACATCCACTCTTCATAACTGTGCTGTGCTTTTGAACGGAACGTTGATGAAAGAAGTACTTCTGCCAATGTTTGTATCAACGCTGCAGGCTGCAGCCAAGCGTTGGGATAGCGGATGGCGGAGGCACTGCAGGAAGGCAAGCGAGTAGCTTTGCCACCCTTCTCTGTCACTATCATGTCACATGACAGCTTTGCAAGGAGTATATACGACATTTCCAGAATTCCCTGCGCATCACATGCAGCCTTTCAGGATATTTTGCCGATGATCTATTGACACTGCAAACGCTGTCCTCTAAATGAGTGTGACAAGCTTACTGCTCAAGATTTAGTGATCCAATCCGAGATAACACATCAAAGAAACAAAGTTGTCCATCAGCAATTGAGCGAACTATGCATCCGTTCTCATAGTTCTGTTGCAACAAAAAAAAACAAGCTCGGATGTGTTCTTCAGTTGGTGGCACAAACAAACCCCACTCTTGTCCGAGCAAGCAAAAGGTCCTTACTGGCATCGAAGTTATGGACAGCCATGGTCAGATCTTATCAGCTACAATGCCATCACAGAAGCTCGACCAGCATGAACCGGGAACTCCTTCGCCATATGTTTTGTCATCACTCCATGGCCCACCATCCCTTTCCAACAAGACCTCACCAACACCACACCCTTTGCAGCCACTTTTATGGGTAAGCTTCACGGGTTCGTAAAAGAGTGCAAGAAACAGATTGGTTGTAATGTCCGTACCTCCCCAGCTTGAAAAGGCCAACGTAAAACTTCAGAAAGATAATCCTTTTATCGCTCCCCCTCTCCAAGCTGCGAGGGGAGCTAAGTTTGGGCAAGGTAAAAAAGTGGAGAGAACATAAAAAAGGAGACGGGCAATGGCTAAATTTTGCCCCTCTTCAGTCATCATCTAGTAGGCCAGGTGGTACATAATAAAACTGTTTATTTTCCTGTACTGGGTGAAGCCCTTACTCTTCCACCCATTCAGTCCTAAACAACTCCATCCATTCATCCAATTCTTAACCAGTGTGAAAAGGCAGCCTACCTTCTGCCTGATACGACGGAAGTCGAGGACTCTGAGCTGTGGCAGCCTATGGATGAGGTAGAGTCTGTAGTGCCTCTTCACTGTCACTGGATTCTTGATGAGGCTGCACAAGTAGAGCTTCATCACTGTTATGTCACTTGCACAAGATGCAAACAGGACACGTGCGCAGCTGTCACACTTTGGTCCTTAGACTGCGCTAGTGGTAGATTCTGTCAGAAAGCAATTCCAATAAACTGTGAACCAATGGATGAGACACTCATCTAAATCAGGGTTAAGAAGGATCCTCAACATAACATATTATAGTTAAATTGTCTACAAACATGTTTTCTGGATAGAAAAAAACTAACTCGTGCAAATAATATGGTCAAACAGTACTGTCCTGAGGTGATGATAAGACGGGTAAAGCGGCGAAGGTGGTGACGGACACGTTTCGAGTTTGACAGGCACTTCGTAAGTCTAACTTGCCAGACCCGACAGATTTCTGCCACTATCTCTGCCGCTGTCTCCACAACAGTTAGGGGTCGTACTGTGCGACCCCAAGTGTTTTAACGCACACATGAGGAAGCAACCATGATAAATAAACTTCAAGTGAGTTTCAACCTTGCGACTGCACTCACAAATCATCAGTTTAGATACCTCTATTGAATATCTGCACCCTTGGCTTCAAACGACTGCCTTCGAAGTCTACAGCTGTGCATACCTGAGGTAAGTCAGACTTTTTACGGTGGCCAATGGATCCAGGTCTCCCAGATTCTGAATTTGGTTGTTTGTGAGTACCAACGTTTCCAGAGCCGGAAGGTTCTCTTGCAAGTTCTCGCCGATTCGACTGAAATAGCGGAAGTGCCGTAAGACAGACGACGAAGTCACACAAATGCGAGCAGGCGTCAGAGAACTTGGCAGATTTCGATATGTGCTAAAGACGACTACCCAAGAGCGTCTCAAAACGCTCACCAGATTCTGTTGTTGTTCAGGAGAAGGCACTTGAGGCGTCTCAGGAGCGGAAATCCGTCCAACTTTCTAATATCGTTGTCTGACAAGTCGATAGAGTCGAATTGGTCCTGCATCATAAACACGCGGTCAATCCCAACTGCCGGCTCAAGAAAAAAGGGAAGGGCTTGACAGCGAAATAGCGACGATACAAACTCACCAAAGTGGCACCGAGATTCTCTATTACGGGAATCTTGTAGCCTGAGAAAAAAATATACTCGTAAATTAGCTCGCAGACAGAAACGCAGACAACAGGACGTTTGCCGGCGTCTGTCCAATGAAAAGCAGACGCGCCATTAAAAAAAACAACGCGGCCTCACCGCGCAAGTCGAGTTCCCGGTCTCTCACTGGATTGATGGTCTGCGCCGCCATCTGTATAAGGTCTTGAGATAACTTCACCATTGTGCTCGGTGCGTAGGCATTCACAAAAGAACCAACAGTCGAAATCGACGCGGAAAACCTTACGAAAGCGAACGAAACAAAACGCCAACCACCACACTAACACTGGATTATGACTTGGCTTCGGTCGGCTAAAAGTAAAAACCGTAAAAACCATCTTTGTACCCAGTTTGATGATGATGAGGGTGAGAGAGAGAGGAAAGCCTCTTTTGCTTGTACGAATTTTTAGTGATGTAAAGCAAAGCGATGCGAATCATGCGAGTTCAGAGTTCACAAGAGAGGGTGTCCGCAAAAGAGGGCATTTCCTCCTTCCCCTCCTTTACAACTGCTCGTGTTTCGCTTTCGCCCCTGTACCTGCCTGTACCTTTGGCAACGCTTTGAACCATGTGAAGTCAGTGAAGCAAGTGAAGTCGCTGAGTGGTCAGTTGCTCAGTTTCAGTTTAGTCTAGGGAGAGGGAGGTTGTCAGTTTGTGCACTAGAATCTCGAAAAGCTATAGTAATCGGGATAATACCAATTATACTATTGCAGTTAACGCCAGAAATCGCAAATGGCAGCGTCTTCCAAGTCTGCGCTTTTCGTCTGTCGAGGTAACTGAAACCGCCAGCGTGCCGGTCGTGCGCGAGGCAACACTCCGGTCATTAATTCCTACCCTCGCAGGAAACATCTGCAGATCTCCGATTGCAGAGGCAGTCTTCCAACATGTTGCCAAGGAAAGAGGAGTCCTGGCTGAGGTACTAAATTTTTTTTGCCATTCCATCAAATGTGCGCGACAATTGTCAAGAACGTAACCGAAACTAAACTGGGCGCCTCGCCTTTGAAAACAATAAAGGACAGTTAACTTTTTACGACTTATTAATTGTCACGTGCGCGACAATTGTCAACGTAACCGAAACTGAACTCTCGGCGCCTCGCCATTGAAAACACTGGAGGACAGTTGAACTTTTTTTGCTCATTGGTCGTCATGTGCGCGACAATTGTCAAGAACGTAACCGAAACTATACTGTCGGCGCCTCGCAATTTCGAAAAGAATATTTCGACAAAGTTATTGTGACCAGTTGGAACGCCCCTTCGCAGTGGAACATCGACAGTGCAGGAACGGTCGACAAGCACGTAGGCAATGCCCCAGACAGGAGAGCAATCCAATGCATGAAGGACCACAACGTTGAAATGGATCATCGGGCCAGGCAGGCAAGTTCACGAGGCACTGCTCAGAAAAAGTTTACGCCAAGAAAGCTGAGAAAGTACGAATTTTGTTTACCAGGTCACACTCGACGACTTCCGAGACTTCCAGTACATCTTCGCCATGGACAACGCCAACATGAATTACCTGACATGTTTGGCGCCAAAGAGCTCCAAGGCCAAAGTCGAGCTCCTTGGCAAATACGATCCCGAAGGCCAGAAAACCATCCGTGACCCCTATAAAGTGAGGCATTGTCTAATATTTGTAACCTAAAAATGTCGAAACGTCGCCCACCCCACGATTCCCGTCGGACGTCACGCAGTGGCCGACGAGAACCGTATAATCCTCGCGATCTGCGGTTCCGGTACGTCTGAGCTAGGTCTGACTAAAACAAACGAAAACATATCGAGGGGCTTTAGGTCTGACAAGTAAATTCGTAACTGTTTCCCGCGTTTTTTTGCTTTGTGAATTCCGCGCGCGATGAGAGTCCTTGCTTGTAGTACGACCGCACTATTCGTTCTGTGGCAAAACAGTTGGCGAATTCCCGCGTTTTTGTCCGCGAACTGAGCGCGTGGTGTTGGTTCACGTGACAAGCCAGTTTCCCACGTTTTTTTTTTTTGTTTTTTTGTTTTTTCCGGCGCGAACTTTGACGTTGCGGCGTCCGCGATCGCAAATATATCCGCGGTGTCCTTTACCGGGACACAGGAGTTCGTAGCGGGCCACGTGTTTATCACATCATGAAACGCGACTTCGCCATGATTTGTGGTAGGGGTTTTCCCAGAAATTGAAATTGGGAAAGGGGGGGGGGGGGGGGGGGGTAGTTTCGTAAAGGTTACGTCAAGCGCCCGATTTGAATTGCATTTGTTGCATCACCTGTACAAGCTACGTGTACCACAAAAGAGTACATTTTATTTCGAGTTTCATCACTCCGCTCTTGTGCCTGTCCGTTCTTGGAGCGCAGTGTTTCGCAGAAAACCTAGGAGGCGCCTTCTCCCTGCCTTGTTACAGGACAGTGGCAGCCAGGGCTTCGAAGAGGTGTACGCACAGTGCCTGAGCTGCTGCAACGGATTCTTTGACCAGCTTAGCAGCTGAGCGCCACCCTGGGCCGTTCAACCCTGGGCCTCGCTGTCGTTGATAAACCACTGCTTGTACAAGGTGCCCAGGCTGCCCGTCGACACAAGCAGCTGTTGACCTGTCAAAGTTCAAATAAACATTTTCTTGCAGGCCTGCACTCCACTTACTTGAACTAAAAGTTGCTTCAGACATTAGTATTTGAGTGTGAACCAGTGACTCCTCGCTTTGCACTATGACACTGCACTATGGCAACGTCAATTGCCATAGCAACCATCTAGTAGTAAATAGTCGCGAGCGGTTGTAATGCAGTCGGGTCCATATCACAAGAGCGAATGGTCGTTTTAGCGAATAACGGGGGCGCGCGTTAACCCATCCGTCGCACTGCGCTTTACGCCGCTTGGCGGCGACAGTCTGCGGCAACTCATTACAAAAATATGAACTCACTTGGCCCACCCGAAAACGCCGCTTCGCGGCGTCCGACTATTCGCTAAAGTGTCGTTCGATGAAACGTGGGCGTTCGCTAAAACGTGATTCGATCAAGTGAGTGCCTCCCAATGCAGTCGGCCACGCACTCCAGCACAAGTAAGTGTCTGAACCAGCCCCGAAGACTCTACTCTCGTAGTATGGTCACAAATGAAGACAAGGAGAGTGAATATTAAACTGAAAATAAAGGTTTAATCAGCAAACTTGTGCCAGAAAGTATGGTGGAGGAACAAACTTTGATACGCTACTCAAAAGAAAAATGAAAAGAAAAACTAAAGTAAGAAACGGGTTGGTTGCAACGTCTGTACTTCCCCAGCTCAAACTTCAGACTCGCTGGCAAGCTTTTGCCCCTTGCGCTTCTATTCACACCTAAATAACTTCAGCCACTGCTGCTACTGCCTGATGTAAAAGGTACAATTTTTAGCATCCATACAATCCTAATCAATCGAGCATACCCAACAGTGTTGCCAATGAAACACTTGTCGCTAGATTTAACTACTTTTAGGGTCAACAACTAGCTACCACAAACTTCCTTCAGCTGCAAGTAGCTAAGATAGTTTTTCTGTGGAATCTAGCTCCCAATTTAGCTATTTTCACAGATTTTAGCTTTTATCTAACGAATTTAGTTCAAGGTTAGCAACGTGGTGTCACCGCAGTTGGAAAACATCAAGTTCGGACAAAACTATCTCCCTCTTTCCGACATCTTCCACTAAATGATCAGAGTAACCGTAATCGGGGTGCCAAACCTTTCACCCTGACTAGACTCTGGCTGGCTGCAGTCCTCCCAACGAAGCCAAAGCCTGCATCCAGGAGGCTTGCTGACACCAGTGCAAAATTAGGCGCACATTAAACAAACGGTGCCACAACGTGTACCAACCACATGAACTAAGATGAGCAGCAAGAACGAGAGAAAAATTTGAAGTAAAGCGTGTCCTCTCGTCATATTATTAATTAAACATGCCATCGACAGCGTAACCATTCTTAGCACCCTGTTTTACATATCTGTGCAACTTATGTATGTTAAAAATAGTTTTCGTTCCCATGTGTATTTGGCTTCGTGTCCTGTGTTGTATCGTTTGCATATTGTCAGAATCGATTCTATCATTCTCGTTAGACTTCTCCTGGTGAGTTTTCTGGGTCTCAATTATTGTGTAATGGCATAATAGATAAATATTGAATTTCTAAATAAAGCACGTCTTTATAGACCTTACATTATTTTTATGCTTTACTTTTTTTTTTCTATTTAAAGGGCAACTCCACTTCCGAAAATTTTGGTATATGAGTGATTTCGCATTAAAAAGCCATTTAAAAGACACTACGTCATTTGCTTCGCGAAAAATGGGATATATATAGTTTTTAATCTAATTTTAAACACAAGCAGGAATCGAAACCGAACCTTCGGCTCCGTCCGGCAACATTGGCCTCGGACCGCCAAGAAGTAGTCTGTTCTGTCCAAGGAGGTTAAAAGTACTAGGACGGTGCATGTTGCAATATTGGTGAAGCCTAGTCATAAAAAGTTTAATCGATGTTGTGGCCAACGTGACCGTAGATCTCTCTGGCAATTGGTGCGCGTGACATGTCACGTGTGAGATGGATGGTAGATTGTAGAAGGACTCCTAGCAGGCTTTCGCGCGCTCCGTCCGGTAGGTTTTATCAGATCGAAGGCTAGACTGTGGTATATTCTAGTACCCCACAGCTAGACGAAGGCTAGCTACGGTCACGTGATGTGGTCACGTTGGCATGGTAAGTGAGGAGAGCAAGGGGAAAAATGAGAAAGGCGAGGCGTCAAGGGAGCATGGCTTGTGGAGGCTATGCGGCTGGCGTCATGCCCTCTCCTATGCTTGTATCCTCCTTGGGTGTAGAACAAAAGACAAAAAATATGGCGACAGGCAACGTCTGATAAACTTGAAGCGTTGCCCCCCCCCCTGTGCACATAGTGTCCGTAGTGTGGACGAGACTTTGAGAGGCAATAATCACAAACGGTGAGACGACGGTGCGGTTGTGACGCGGAAAACGGCAGGGCGGCCGGACGGCTCCCAAGAAGCGCGCTGTGCAGGCACGTTACACCAATCACATGGACACCACTGAGCGCCGAGAGGAAACGTTGCGGACATCACCCTGCACGCTTGCCCAGAGAAGTAGAAACAAGCAAAAGGAGGCAATGGTGATGACGTATAGCTCAATGTTGGCTTTGTCCACGCTGCAGCCTTGACTGCGCTGCCAATTGCGTCTCGATTCACCCGGTAGAGTCAGCCGAGTTTGGCAACTTGGCGAGTTGCAAAGTTTGCCGGACCGTTTAACAAACATTTAGACAGAAGTAAGCCATAATCTTCTACGTGTGATCTTCCTAAGTGATACTCAAAAAGACTCTGTTTTTTGTTGGTTTTTCAAAAACAAAAATGAAGCGAAGTTGCCCTTTAAACACTTCCCTTTCGTCAGTTACAGGTGAAGAAAGGTTTTCGAGGGAAAGGAGGGCAGGGTAGGAGGAAGCGAGGAAGCAGATGGAATGCTAAAGAGGAGAGGAGGAGGCTTCCTCCTCTCCAGCATTTCGTCTGCATCTTTCTCCCCAGCCAGAAAACTTTTCATTTAAATACTTTTTTAAAAAGTACTGTAAACGACTCAATTTCCGCGGGCTCAAATTTTCGCGAAGTGGGTCAAAGCTGAAAATTTGGAATTATTCGCGGGTTCTAATTTTCACGAATCGAGCGTAGCTTCCGTAGTGTTCACATATTGCCCGAATTGTGTGTAGGCGATTCGCAAAAATTAGGTCCTCGTGAAAATTTAGCCGTCTAATTACTTATCTCAAGTCGACAACTGTCGGATTTTTGTATATGCCTCCAGCGACTGTATTTCAACATGCAAATAAAATGAATGAACTAATTTTCCGGTTTTGGATCCCCCTACACCGTCCGCGGTGGTGCTCCAGGTGTAGGCGCCGGCATTGTTCAGGCGGCTGTCTTCGCAAAAGCGGGCCAGCGGGCCTTGAAGTCTCCCAGCTTGTGGTCAGGCTTGTAACCGAGCAGCGCGAGGGCCCGAGCACCCTCACGACCCAAGACACGGTGTTCCCGGTCTCTCACGGGAATCATGGTCTGGTCCGTCATCTGTATGAGGTCTTGAGATAACTTCGCCACTGAGCTCGGTGCGTAGGCATTCACACAAGAAACAGTCGAAACAGATGCGGAAAACTAAACATTGCCAACCTTTGGTACGCCAATGAACGCAAACTGCCCCACAGTGTCCCACACAAACTGCACAAACTTCGAACGCCATAGAGATCAGTGGCCGCCAATCACTTCTTCGCTGGATTATGGATTGGCTTCGGCCGGCTAAAGAATTATCGTCGGAGCCATTTTTGATGATGATGAAGGCAACGCCGCAACGCTCCACAGCCGGTTTCATTCCATGATCGCTGTGAACTCGCTTTTACAGCCCACAAAAGCCGACGTTATCTGTCTGCGCACGGGAATCTCAAACAGCCAGCAATCGAGAGACGACAACTGCAGCTGCAGGAAAAGCAAGAAATCACAAATGGCGGCCTCTTCCAAGTCTGCGCTTTTCGTCTGCCTGGGTAACTGCTTGTTTGCCGGCTTGCTGGTCGTGCCTGAAACAGAGACTGCTCATTAAGTCCTACCTTTCCAGGAAACATCTGCCGATCTCCGATTGCAGAAGCAGTCTTTCGACATGTTGCCAAGGAAAGAGGAGTCCTGGATGAGGTAAGTAATTTTCAGCATTGCCAACAATGTGCGCGACAATCGCCAACGAAGAACGCAACCGAAACTGAACTGTCGGCTCCTCACCATTGAGTACAATGGAGATTAGTTTAAACTGTTTTGTGACTTATTGGAATGCACCTTCGCAGTGGAACATCGACAGTGCAGCTACAGGCGACTGGCACGTGGGCAGCAAACCAGACAGGAGAGCAATCCAATGCATGAAGGACCACAACGTCGAAATGGACCATCGGGCTAGACAGGCAAGTTCACGGCCAAGGCACTTCACCGAAAACGTTTACGTCCGACTAGGTGCCGAGAAAGTGCGAATTTTGTTCACCAGGTCACACTCGACGACTTCCGCGACTTCGACTACATCTTCGCCATGGATAACGCCAACTTGAATGACCTGAAAGATTTGGCGCCTAAGGGCTCCAAAGCCAAAGTCGTGCTGCTTGGCAAATATGATCCTGAAGGTCAGACAATCATCCGTGATCCTTATTACGTAAGTCATTCTCATTTCTTGTGCCATTTGGTGCCCCAAACACTACCTACATTACGAAGTTTTTTTTTTTTTTCCCACTTTTTCCTTACTAGACATGCAGGTTTATTCATTCACATACACCGACTACCCGAAAAAGAAAAAAAAAAAAAAATATATATATATATATAACGCTTAGAATAGAACACTTCTAAGCCGACTAACTTTACTTAGAATTATTGTCTTCCTTTGGGTGCTAGTGCCACATACCAAGCCAGGTCTCTCGGAATGCAGCCGAAATACGTTGCAGTTCGCTTGCCCACGACACTGGTGCGCTTCTCAATGGAGGATGCAAACGCTGCCCAGGGTTGACGTGCTGTCGCCACGCTTGCTGCGCCATCTACAGTGTGGCGTACAACATTGTCAGCCATGTGCTCTGTCTCCTAAACTTTTCCCGTCATTGAGTCCTTCCGTCGGTTGGATCGGCA